GGACATATAGGGGACAATTGTCTCCTGCGTAACGTTTCTCTGAGCCACCTTTAGTACCTTTTTAACTAGTTGCAGTTTCAACGATTGCCACATTAAGAATGCAGCTAACAAAAATGGGTTTTTATAAATTATTGTACAACAAATAATTCGCCCTCGAAATCGCAGGAAATGCTGTTTCCAAGGCTCTGGATTTCAAAATTTTCCGGGTAGCATGCCCCGGACCCCTAGTGGAGTCGCGCCTCCGGATGGATTGCAGGGTGACTATTTTTCCTAGCTACGCCACTGCCCCGAAGTACAAGCTCACCAAATTTTGTGGGCTCTGTTCATAGCACAAGTGCGCCAACCGCACAAACGAATAGTAGAGATGTCCAATCAAAGGTCGATAGTTTGCCTCCGTCAATTGCACAAAAATATAAGAAAATGTGCAAGGTATTTCACTCACTTTGTGATCTCAATGTAAGAAATGAACGTGTTGCTTCATTTAAAACACACGGATACAATCTTCTGGGAAAAGATATCAAAACTCTTGAACCTTTGGAAAAGGGTTTTTCAAACGATACATATGTTCTTTCCAACCCTGGATGGCTCAATGATGAGGTTATAAATTGTTACCTTCTATTGCTAACAAAAAATACGGAAAAGTTTGGATTGCGTAGTTTTGCATTCACGACACAATTCATGACAAAACTTCGATCCGTACGCCAGCCGAACAATAAAGAGCGCTTTCATGAAATGTTAAGGAGGCACTACCGAGGTGTTTTGTTTCATCTTTACGACGTGATTGCAATTCCTATAAATGTTGGACAAGGTAGTCACTGGTGTATGGCAATAATCAACACTGTTGAATGTTGCATTTATTTGTACGACCCAATGGCAAGAGGCAGTCAATATCTAACATTGGTAGATAATATAAAATTTTACTTCAAAGAACTTTACCGAATGAGAGGTCAATGTATCGAAATAGCAAACAAAAATTTCGTGTCGGAATTCTCGGCGCATTGGGAAGACAAATTTCCAGCGCAGAATGATGCCATTAGCTGTGGTGTTTTGTCCTGGCTTATGCTCGTTATAGAATGGGCTTATATGATCATAGTCCAAATATTTTTTGATAAACGCATTGCGACCAATAATTGCTAATGAGCTGTACATTAATGAACTCTTTTCATTTCAAAACAATATTTCCTCGTGACGTTAGATGTTGTCAAATACCAACGTCTTACAAGCAAAATGTCGGTCGTCTCGTAACTCTTAAATGTTTTGTAATGGGGAAATACCTAGACAGTTCCAATGGAAACACAATGATAACATTGTTTCATTAAATCAAACTTATAGCTTTACATTGGAATATCATAATTGTGGTGAGTACGTTTGTTATGTTCTTTTCAACGACGAGCAAACACATCTCACAAACACATGTATTGTTACCGCTTTATGAAAAATCAATTAATGAAGAAACTAACTGTATGTCTTGCATATACCGATAAATTCATTGTTGATGCACAACTGGCTGCTCTAATGCGCCGTTGCTGCAGAAATATCAGACAACGCAACTGGCTGCTCTAATGCGCCGTTGCTGCAGAAATGTCAGACAACGCAACTGGCTGCTCTAATGCGCTGAGAGACGTCTCGTATTATATCACGAGAAAATGCGGCTGTCCATGTCGGAATTGCACCACCCTATCGCGGTGTGGTTCCTAGGCATGCTGATGAGCCCTGATATTGGGCGAAACAGTCACATTCTTTAAAGAATAGAAAAGAATGAAATAGATTAGATTCAAAGTCGAAGCATCGTATAGTTACGCTATTTTGTATTTGTACTTCACTATGATGAGTCATTTCTACGATAGGAGTGAGGTCAGCTACTTTTAAAAGCAAATTAGAGCTCTGTCTCTTTCTGTCTATGTCTAATAAAGCTATCTTTCTGGTAAGATAGCTTTATTAACTTGTGTTAAAAGACGTTGAAGGGCAACAAAAGTCAGAAAGTAAGGACATCCTAGAATATATTAGTACCAGTTGCGAAATTGTATGTTGTATGTACGAGATCAAAATGGACACTTGCACGCTTCATTTGTACGATTTTTATTGTGCGCTCGTTCGCTACGCTCACTCGTTTGTTTTCAATCCCTCTTCTACTCGTGCATAAAAATCGTACGCACTCACCAACCATGAAGGAATATATTAAAATCACGTGTTAACCCTGACCATTTTACAATAAAGATGTCATTCTGATGTCGAAACATGTTTGTCATCGAAAGATGTCGTTCTGATGTCGAAACATGTTTGCGCTTAAAAAATCGTCGTGTTTCTCAAATTGTAATGTTTTATTGACAAATAACTTTAAAACACCAACACTATTCTGAAGTTTTGATTTTTCGTGCTATTATTATATTCTCCTACATTATTTAAATTTCGAACCTATGAATATGTTTATTTTTTTGCAACATATTATTTTTTTAGTGATTTACAATGTCTTCAAACTTGACAGCTGACATTGTCTTTTGTTTCATAGCTAGTTTGTCGATGAATGACGATGACGCATGCAAATGCGTGCACCAAGGGTTAATCGTTCTTCGACACAAACAATAGAAATAAAATCAGTTTATCGTGTTTTGTTTCTTCAATCACTGCAAAACAATATTAAAATTTTTGATTTGAAATCTGCCAAACCGACATTCTGTGCGTCATCGTTGAATAACAAAATACGTCACAAAGCTGTTGCATTTTCCAGTCGATGTCAAGTATGCTGACTTTGGAAATTACTTTTATCAGCAAAAAATAAAACATGCTACCTTTTGTTAGTTTTCTACAAAATATCAGCAACAGCCTACTCGGATCGGTTCAGAGATCATTTTAATGTTTTTGTAGAAGACGAAACTCTTACCAAAAATTCTGTAACTTCCCTACCAAACAACACAACTGAAATTTTCTCCGGCAGTTGGAAATCTTCAAAGGAGTGGCCTTTGCTTTGCCGCCTTTCTCTTTAGTTCACTAATTAGGAATGCGATTGGTCCATCATAAAGAAGTAGTAATGCGATTGGTCCATCAAAAGAGATACAAATGAAGAAGCCAGTGTTAATATCACGCGTCATAATTCTCATTCACTTTTGTTGAGTGTGCCCGTGGTAATAACAGATATTTAGAAGTGTGTACGGAAAATGTAAGTGAACAATCCTTTATAGCAACTAGATTGTTTCAATAATTTTACCCAAAGTAAAATAAGTATATATATTTAAACACAACCATATGCATATTTTGATTGTTTTATGCTTGGGATTGCCTTATTCTCTACCAAAGTTTTATACATTAATACGCTGCATCACATGGTACTAAAGCATAAATATTTAACCTTTCTCCGGAGGCGAAACTATAATGATATTTTTATTGTATTTATGATTCCATTTTATGTAATGTGTCACTGCTTGAACGTTCGTTTACTCGTATAAACGCATGAGCATCGCCGCGTTTACATGTCGGTGCCCAAGGCATTTTCTTATTGCGGTACCCCATGACGCATTGTTATTTCCTTTTAGCATGGATCGCGGGGCACATGGCATATTTGCCACTGTGCGATATCGGCGCTGGGCATAAGACGATAAGTTTGTTCACGCTGTACAACTAATGATAAACATTATTTTCTATTTAGAAATGGCCGAAAAAGAAGCACAAAATGGTAAAACGATAAGTAACATTTTTTGCAAAGTTTCTTAGTTTTCTGCATTAAGTGAAAAGAAATATTTCAACTTGTCTTTATGGCAAAGTGTACAATGTTCAACAATAGTTGATTCAATTCTATTACATCACCATCAACCTTACTTAAACGTGCTTATGCTAAAGAATAGTCGCAAAAGAATTGTGTTTATTAACATGCATGTTATCCAATCAGTTTAATGTGTGTTCTTTGTTCCAGATACTCAAAACAAACGAGAGAGGGGGGGTAAAGGTGAGCCAGTTCTTCGGAATAGATATAAAATTTCAAAAATGTTAATAGCTAAATACATTTGCATAAAGATGACTCAAACCTACAAAAAATATCTCTTTTTTTATGAATCGTCTTAATCAGAAGAAGAAAATCGAAAGAAGCGAAAAGGTTTGTTGCATAATTTGTACAATATATCGACTAAGAGTGTTTTTTGTACTTGTGCTTAACATATTACTTATACATGTATGATAATTGAATATCTTTATGATCGTTTTTCATGTTAAGCGAACGCCAATGAATATAGTATAAAAAGCTGTTCCGCAACACTGTAAAATTCACTATCGCTTTTTATAACAACCATCTAAATGCATGGTTGAGAACAGGTTTCCAATTCTAATACATGTTTTTTTGTATTTTGTTGGGCATGGAAAATCTCTAACGTCTTTATCGTTCGCAACTTTATAGCAGACGTCGAAAACAAGCCAGAGGAAATAAGTGAGTTTAAACTAATGACACACTTGTTCGCACAAATTATATGTTGATTTTATTACTTTATTATTTCAGAATGTAACACATGCAATGACGTGGGCACGCCCCCGAAGATTGCCCTAGCAAACCGCGTCGAGGGACGCAGGGTGCCAGGAGAGGCCGCGGCGGACGGCGTGGTCGTCCCCAATGGCGAGGTCGCGGAATTTGGCGTGGAAGGGGGCGTGGAAGAGGGCGTGGCCAAGGGCGTGGCCAAGTTGTTATCAATATATTTACAAGGTAGAACGATTTTCATTAAACATATATCAAACAAAAAAGATTAAAAAGTTACTTCATCAATTAAGTAGTGAAGCTTTTTAAACTGTATTCGCACAGAATAAAAAGAAAACATTCTGATTCTGACTCTATTCGATCAATCAAAAACAAAACTTATTTCAAAACAATGCAAAAAATAAATATGATTTTCTTTTGTTATCTCACATTGTTCTTACCATCTTTTGCAGGGACTAAGGAGGTTAGAAAGTCTTAACTAAAGAGGAAAAAAAAGTTCAAAAAAATCGCCAAAAAAAATAAAAATTTTTGAAAAAGTATCTTTCCTGTGTCCAATCATTATTACAAACAGCTATTCATTATCAATCAATTAAATTCGCCCGGATGGAGGGCAAATTCAGGTCCCCGTTGTATTGCGACCTTGTTTCGTGAAGCACTAAAAAAGTATACACGAAGAAGCCCAAACCATTGTGCCATCTGACATCCAGCTTTTGTTTGGCTCGTTCTTTAATAAACTGCATGTAAGTTTTTAAGTTCCTAAGGAAATTTATTAACTAAAACGTTGAAAAATGTTCTTTACGAGCTGTTATTGTAATTACATGTTGTTTATAAGCTATATGATATGTCCATTCAAAGAAACAACAAACAAAACATTTTTCTTCCTATTTGTAATCCTCGGAACAAGATCTCTAAGCTGATACCAAACACGAGTTTATCACAGCGTGTTAACTAGTTCAAAATCCTGCATGCCTATTAATTAACGCAAAAATGCTCCACCTTTCCAAAGCTGTAGAACCGCTTCACGAATTTGGACCAAGATAATAAAACCATATTTGTAATCCTCAGAACAAGATCTTTAAGACGATACTAAACACAAGTAAATTGTAGCGTGTTAACTTCATGAAAATTAGATATATATAAACATGTCAGTTAAGTACCGCGAATATTAATTAACGCAAAATGCTCTACCTTTCCAAAGCTGTAGAACCGCTTCTGAATTTGGACCACAATAATAAAACATATTTGTAATCCTCATAGCAAGATCTTTAATCTGATACCAAATACGAGTATATTGCAGCGTGTTAACTAGTTCAACACCCGGCATATTTAGACGTTAGTGAAATAATGCAACATGACAACTTGCCTATTAATTAACGCAAAAATGCTCCACCTTTCCAAAGCTGTAGAACCGCTTCACGAATTTGGACCAAGATAATAAAACCATATTTGTAATCCTCAGAACAAGATCTTTAAGACGATACTAAACACAAGTAAATTGTAGCGTGTTAACTTCATCAAAATTAGATATATATAAACATGTCAGTTAAGTACGGCGAATATTAATTAACGCAAAAATGCTCTACTTTCCAAAGCTGTAGAACCGCTTAACGAATTTGGACCACAATAATAAAACCATATTTGTAATCCTCATAGCAAGATCTTTAATCTGATACCAAATACGAGTATATTGCAGCGTGTTAACTAGTTCAACACCCGGCATATTTAGACGTTAGTGAAATAATGCAACATGACAACTTGCCTATTAATTAACGCAAAAATGCTCCACCTTTCCAAAGCTGTAGAACCGCTTCACGAATTTGGACCAAGATAATAAAACCATATTTGTAATCCTCAGAACAAGATCTTTAAGACGATACTAAACACAAGTAAATTGTAGCGTGTTAACTTCATGAAAATTAGATATATATAAACATGTCAGTTAAGTACCGCGAATATTAATTAACGCAAAACGTCTCCACATTTCTCAAGCTGTAGATTCGCTCCTGGAATGTCGGCCACAATAATAAAGACATATTTGTAATCCTCATAGCAAGATCTTTAATCTGATACCAAATACGAGTATATTGCAGCGTGTTAACTAGTTCAACACCCGGCATATTTAGACGTTAGTGAAATAATGCAACATGACAACTTGCCTATTAATTAACGCAAAATGCTCTACCTTTCCAAAGCTGTAGAACCGCTTCACGAATTTGGACCAAGATAATAAAACCATATTTGTAATCCTCAGAACAAGATCTTTAAGACGATACTAAACACAAGTAAATTGTAGCGTGTTAACTTCATGAAAATTAGATATATATAAACATGTCAGTTAAGTACCGCGAATATTAATTAACGCAAAACGTCTCCACATTTCTCAAGCTGTAGATTCGCTCCTGGAATGTCGGCCACAATAATAAAGACATATTTGTAATCCTCATGGCAAGATCTTTAATCTGATACCAAATACGAGTATATTGCAGCGTGTTAACTAGTTCAACACCCGGCATATTTAGAGTTTAGACGTTAGTGAAATAATGCAACATGACAACTTGCCTATTAATTAACGCAAAAATGCTCTACCTTTCCAAAGCTGTAGAACCGCTTCACGAATTTGGAACACAATAATAAAACCATATTTGTAATCCTCATAGCAAGATCTTTAATCTGATACCAAATACGAGTATATTGCAGCGTGTTAACTAGTTCAACACCCGGCATATTTAGACGTTAGTGAAATAATGCAACATGACAACTTGCCTATTAATTAACGCAAAATGCTCTACCTTTCCAAAGCTGTAGAACCGCTTCACGAATTTGGACCAAGATAATAAAACCATATTTGTAATCCTCAGAACAAGATCTTTAAGACGATACTAAACACAAGTAAATTGTAGCGTGTTAACTTCATGAAAATTAGATATATATAAACATGTCAGTTAAGTACCGCGAATATTAATTAACGCAAAACGTCTCCACATTTCTCAAGCTGTAGATTCGCTCCTGGAATGTCGGCCACAATAATAAAGACATATTTGTAATCCTCATGGCAAGATCTTTAATCTGATACCAAATACGAGTATATTGCAGCGTGTTAACTAGTTCAACACCCGGCATATTTAGAGTTTTAGACGTTAGTGAAATAATGCAACATGACAACTTGCCTATTAATTAACGCAAAAATGCTCTACCTTTCCAAAGCTGTAGAACCGCTTCACGAATTTGGACCAAGATAATAAAACCATATTTGTAATCCTCAGAACAAGATCTTTAAGACGATACTAAACACAAGTAAATTGTAGCGTGTTAACTTCATGAAAATTAGATATATATAAACATGTCAGTTAAGTACCGCGAATATTAATTAACGCAAAAATGCTCTACCTTTCCAAAGCTGTAGAACCGCTTCACGAATTTGGACCACAATAATAAAACCATATTTGTAATCCTCATAGCAAGATCTTTAATCTGATACCAAATACAAGTATATTGCAGCGTGTTAACTAGTCCAACACCCGGCATATTTAGACGTTAGTGAAATAATGCAACATGACAACTTGCCTATTAATTAACGCAAAAATGCTCTACCTTTCCAAAGCTGTAGAACCGCTTCACGAATTTGGACCAAGATAATAAAACCATATTTGTAATCCTCAGAACACGCTCTTTAAGACGATACTAAACACAAGTAAATTGTAGCGTGTTTACCGTATAAAACCGTACTATCTTGAATCCTGTGGTACCTTCACAGTCGACTTTGCACGGCTGTAGATTCGCTCCACGAATTTGGACCAAGATAATAAAACCATATTTGTAATCCTCAGAAAACGTACTTTCGGATGTTACCAAACACAAGTATTTTCCAGCGTGTTTATTTCTTGAAAATTAGGCCTTTTTAGATGTCAACATTTATGCATTGTAAACATCGCGCAATTATTTAACGTAAAGAGACAAAAGCGGAAGTAGTCTTTAAAAGGCTGTAGATTTGCTCCAAGACTTTCGACCAAAATAAAAATAGTATAATCCTTGTCTAAATAACTTGGTCTTTACAACGGCACCAAACACGTGTGCATCTTTTGCTTTTTGTAGCAAAAAATACGGTTTTTTTCTATTTTGTTTCTGAAACTGATGTTATTTAATAACATTAAAATGAATGTGGTGTCAACTTCACACTTTATGCTAATTTTGAATGTTGTGGTGAATCCTGTGGTGAATGTAAGGATGAATGTCAGGATGAGTGTCAGGATGAATCCTGTGGTACCTTCACAGTAGTGGATTTTAGTTGATGCTATGTTTTGGCGCAAAAGCCACATTAAGGAAAGGTTTTATGAGTAATATTGTGGTTTTTCGATGTAAATTGCAAAGCTCGCGACAGAAGTAAGTAACTTATCATATAATCATGTTTAATTACTTTGAATTATACGATTTGCGAGCTTCATGAATCTGACTGATAAAACAGTTTGTTACTTTTTAAATCCTTTCTCTTCCATCATTGTTATATGACAACATTCACGAAATGATCTCAAACCAAACTGGCGATAGAATCCAACTAAGCCAGTAAAGGCTTAAAAATAACGTAACTTTTCCAAGAAAAATCCTGCATTTCATATAAACTCTACATTAATCTCCTCAAAACACATGCATTTGAGGGAACAGTTGTCAATAGTAAAATGCTTGTGGTCCTTGATTGTAACTTGCGTCAAATGTTCAAAGCCTCAAGTCATTTAATTTGAACTACTCTTTGCATCTCTTTTATCTGCGACGAGAAACTTCTCAGACATATCAATGAACCAAACAACCTCATATATCTTAACTGAAAATCTGCCCAGTACACTTTTGTCATGTTCATTCTGGTGGAATATCAGTGTTTCTAGTATAAAACTCCTTGATCATGAAAGACGATTATCTTGATAAAATTCTTAATCTTCTAAACTTTTAACATTAATTCGTGAGTTGAAATTGACAATGGTCAATTAAAAAAAAACAAAATATCACTCAAAAAAACATCGTCTTTTAAACTCAAGATTTGAATTGTATAAGCAAGTGACATTACTTATTAATACCGATAAAACGGTTTAATAACTTTTTGGAAATTTGTTTGTGCAATTTCGTCATCCCTACCTGCTATCTAAACTATAATTTATCCAACACTTCGAAAACTATGCAAACTTTTGTGTCTAGTAACGTTGGTGTTTGAAAATGTCATCTGAACTTACTTTATTTACGAAGACAAGTCGTTTAATTAGTTTTTGTTTGTGTATTATTTGTTTTAATAGTTTTTTTATTATTCCTAGGTGATTACGATGCGCTACAATCATGGCCATTTCAAAAGAAGATCACAATGATGTTAATGGATCAAGGAAATGGTGATCACATAATTGATGCTTTTCATTCAGATCCTCAAAGTTCCTCATTTCAACGACCAAAGTCTGATATGAATATCGCTTCTGGATCACCACTCTTCATGCCATTGGAAAGTTTAAATAATCGTCAGTATATCAAAGATGATACATTGTTTATAAAAATGATCGTCGACTGAGTTTACAGCTACTGGAAATAATATCTCATAGAAAAATACTTTTCAAGAGGAAGCTGATATTTCATGAAAAATGCTTTTCAAGTGAAAGTTCGAAGTATGAGATTAGATTCAGACTTTCTTCCAAAAAGTTCAAAAGACCAATGCAATCACGTTCGTTTGTTTTTTGTTTGTTGAACAACAAATGCTTAGTTTTCCTTCTTTAATTTTCTTTAATTTTTGAAAGTATAAACTCGTTTAAAGAGTTGGGCATTATTCTTGAGGTGTTTGAGATGGTTTGGAAAAAAATAGCACCAGTACTCCAGCTAAAGTGCCTTCTTCCTTACATAATTTTTGCTTTGCAGATATTTTTTCAATTTTTTTAATGAAATCACACTTTCTTCCTTGCAATACATCACTTGTTATTATTCGTTTACTCTTCGAAGACATAAAGCAACAAAATTTCAATTTCCCCCATTGCACACTACTACAACGTAATATATACATTGTTTGTATGTGAACATCAAAGGTTCCGACATCGAGTGGCGCTTCTGTATATATCTATTCTGTGACTGCGTATGAATCACTGATCTGATATTATCAGATCAGTGGTATGAATGCGCTGCATACAAAACCACACAGTGTGAAATAACAATTCTTTATATATTGCTTTGAAATTAATATAAAAATTGTACGGAATATGTCGACATCCGATTCTGAGTAGTGTACAGCCACAACAGCCGAAAATATTGAATTGAACAGTCGGGAATTCGATTTAGAAGACGAAGATCAATCGTCATTAAATGCGCTCCGAAACACCCATGGCGATTTTGAGTACGGCCAAGCTGCAGCGTATGAAAACCACTGATCTGATAATAGACTGATATAGCTTCTACAGGTAGCAAAAGTGAAGCCTAATTATATATGCAAAATTCACTTCCGGGTACCACGGCGAGATACAAATTACTATAGAAATGTATGGCGGATAACGTTTACAAACATGGATTTTCGAATATTTAAGACCTTTCGCGACTCCTTACTAACCTCAAGTATTAGTCATGGATAGAACAGGTTATGCGAATCAATTTGAAATCAAAATGATTCCGATAGCTGTAAAATATCGACGTTAGTGTTGGTTTAAAAGTTGTAAATGCGAGAATGTATTTTGTCCCATCGTTGCCAATGCACGATAGTTCACTGCTCGCTTTCCAATTTCTGAGGCAGTTATGATCTAGTATACGTTTCAGTTCTTTAGAAATGAGGTGAGTTACTTTTTTATCATTCTTTCTTTATGTTGAGAGATTGTTGACATTTTATTTTTGCTGTAAATTCATTTTTTCACTAGCAAAGTACTACTGATGCTTGAACAAGACAAGTTTATTTAGTTTCTTTCGCACTTTATCTTTAGTTTCCATTTCTGTGGTTGTTTTTCCCAAATGGTATAGTCGCACCTTGCTGTAGCATTTAGATATGGTCTTAATTAATGAGTAAATATGATTTTCGTGAACAGTAGTATCCAACATGTGTGCATCGAGATCCTTGAATGTGGTCCTCAATCTATACCATTTACTACAGACAAAGCAATAGCATCAGGAATTCCTTTCCCTTGCGGTAAATTTCCATCTGTAGCTGCCAACATTCTCTGAAAGCACCTCTCTGTTTCATTGCATATTACTATTACACTTGCTGTTGGCTTAAACAAATTACCCCTGTCTTTTAAAGTCAGGAAAGCAGACTCATTTTTGTAGTTTCTTGAACCGACTGCTTCATGACAAACAGGACAGTTTATTTTCTTTTGCACCATCTGGGCAACATAGCCAGCCATGTACGATATTGCCGCCTTTTTAAATTCAGATACAGTGGAAAAGGTTGGTGCATCACTATAATCTTCATCCTCATCTGTGTTGTGATTTGTCCCTTGTAAATCATACTTTCGGATGAGAGCAGCATCATGAATTGTCATACTTGATTCTTTGTTTGGCATTTTATAGGTGTCCCCAATTACTTCCAATATGTTAGTTTCATCTTGTCTGGTGCAGTTGCCATTGCAACCATGGATACTGCTTCTCATCAAAAGTCTCTTGTATGCAGCCGTAAATTGTTCAGCTGTTGGGTTGTTGTTAAAGCCTCCTGAGGACCGAATTGCTCCAAAGAAAAGCTCTAAATGATCTTGGCTGAATTTATAAGTCAAAATATATTTCATTGGTGCATCTTCCTTTTCAACCAACTCAACAAAAATTTGTTTTATGCTATCAATTGCCACAAGAAACCCAACAAAGCCAGTTTTGCGACGGGTTGTGTACATTAGATCACCTGATGCATTTTTCAGACCAATAATGTATTCACGGGCTTCATCAAGAAAGGGTTCCCAACTATCCTTGTTACTTTTTCGAAGAGCTGCTTTGAAACCTTTGGCACATGGATTGCGAGAATTAAGGATGTCAAATAAATGGTCAAAAGTTCTAATGAACTTCACTGTAGCTTCTGAACCTTGGAACTGTGGAAGCTTTAGAGTTTCCCTACAGTAATCAATTGCATCTGCAACACTGGCACTGAAAGTCTGAGCAGCAAGATTAACTTTCATCTTTTGTTGCCACCACTGGATATGTGAAAGCTTCAACTTATTTCCAAGCCTCAACCCTTCTTTTGTTTGTAGTTTTTGTAACTCCGCTAAATATTCCCAACAAACTTTGTTTTCGTCTTTGTCAAATAACATGCCACCATCCCCTAAAGTATTTCTTACAAGCTTGAGCATATGACATACATCAAGAAAAATGTATATCTTCTTCTCTTGATTCAACGGATGTGAGAAATATGGCCTGATGTCAGGAAGTTTTAATTGAGCCCCAAGTTCATGCAGCATTGAAAAGTGACATGATGGTCCATCACAAATAAAAGAAATGATGTCTACTCCAACATCATGCAACCTTCTGATACACATTTTAATTAAATTTGCTCGCTCTTTTCCACTCAAGCCATCAATGAAAAAGTATCCAACAGGAACTTTCCATTTTTTATTCACACCTACAACCATAAAGACAAGAGCATCTTTGGCTATTGGTGCAGAATCATCATCTTGCACATCATTACCCAGATCAACGTAGCCACGGAATTTCTGTCCATCCCAGGATACATGTTTCTTTATGGCCATCTCATCTATCATGAGACTGCCGATTAATTTTTCTCCATCATCTTTTACCCTTTGTGATAATGCTTGAAATGATGGTTCTGTAAACCCTGGATCGGCCGGGACCTTAGCATACCACTTTCTGATTTGAACAGGATGGGGAAGTGCCAAATTGAATGTCTTTCGCACAAAGTTGTATGCCTTCGCTGAGTAGAATTGAAGAGTGAGTGCAAAGGACTTGAGTTCTGGTGAGTATTTGCATCCTTTACCAGAGTTTGATGACATTCTTTTAAATAATGACAGAGGTACTTCTGAAAAGTTTCTCTTTAACATCTCTTCACATGCAGAAGAAATTAAATCCTTTTTCTTTAGGTGTTTCACTACGTCCTTTAGGGATGCATTTCTTTTCTTGTATCGTCTTGCTTTTTGCTGATTTGCCTTAAGTTTCCTTTTCAGGGAAATAATTTCTTCATGATAAGCCCTTTTCATCTTTTCCATCTCATCTGCATACTTGGTTTTAGTATATAATTGATTTACTTCTGTGTCAAGTGCCATCTTTTTGCAGGGGTTGGTACACATTCATCATCTGTGCATTCTTCAACTTCGATTATTTTGTCATTTATGCCATTTTTAAGTCTATTTGATGTTTTAATTCGTGACTTTTGTTTCTGAAATAAAAAATATTTGAGCTTACTGTAGACTGCACTTCTGTGCAGTTGAATAGCTGTGTGTATGCCAGTCTAATAATTATGTCACATGTTAGACAGTCTGGACAATATGTATGGATAATAAATGTTATAAAAATTTAATGCTCCTATGAATTAACTAGTTTATTTATTTTTATTTCAAATATGTATTAGTAGAGTTAAAAAGAGAATGACAATTTGGTGCTGATTCGTTATACCAAAAGGCGTTGCTGATATGTTGATTAATATCAGGGCTTTCCCTAAAGCCCAAGAAAACCCCTAACAACAGTTTCGTCCAATTAGCGCATACTTTGAAATTCATTAACAACATATGATTGGTTGCCATAAGTTTTGTTGCGCTTGCACAAATTTTGTATTGTAAATTATAACTAGAAAAACTGTCTATAAAAGTTAATACGTATGCTTGGACGTGGAGATGGATGAGTTACCTTCTGCATATGTTTTGGAAAACTTTTAAACCGTGTTGGAATGGCATCTTTCTTAAGCTTTATTATCTTTCCTGCTCTGTCGAAACAACTCTCACTAAAATGTTCCGAACAAAGTCGAGAGTTGCTGCTCGGTAACCAATCTTTTCTTCTGATTTTCTCAACCCATATTTTTTTTTGGCTCGGATCGGCTGGGAGCCTGGACAATCAATAATTTTCTTTTGTTCGTATTTGTATAACGAGAGCAATGGACGGTTACGTAGACTTCATAAATAATTATAGCTATTTTTGTATTTTTCTTGTTCCCCTTGTAACAGCTACAATTTACGAAAAACAGGTGAATTAGTAATTGATAGAGAGAACTTTATACCTGTGAAACGAGCGAGGTTGTTGCCTTTTTGTCGCAGTCTCTTCGTCAGGTGAGCCATCACTATCACTCCGATTTAACTCAGTTGTTTTATTTTTTTTTCTTTTGTTGCAGCCGAATGCACAACATTGCATCCCTAGTCTACCCATTTTTTGAATCAATCGCAGTTGAAAGCAGTAACTTCGTGTATGAAAACAGCGCCAGTTTATAATTCCGCGCCCTTTTTCACACTGATCTCAAAATTAATGTTCTTATACTCAGAAATAATATAAATTAAAATCTCATTTTTTACTCTAAATTTTACTTTCCTCTTCTAAGTGCTAAGCAAATTCCAGAAGTTAGTATGAATGTAATATTAATGATTTAAATATTTTTCCAAAAACATTAAAATTATTCTTAAGATATGAATGTAGTTAGGGATGGTATGAATATGAATTGCAGTTGACATTACAATCCTTTTCAGCAACAGTTTCATCATCAGTCTTGAGTCTTGTAGTAATAAGAAAGACAAGAGCTTTATTCCACTTGTAAAGTGTGACTTTAACAATCCAACAGTTGACCAATTTACAGCTGTAGACAATTAACTGTTGCTGAGAAGCAGTATTCATGGCTGTAAAGGAATTAGCACAAGGCAATGTGAAACTGATATACTGGATACAATTGGACACACTTGTAATTATAAGCCGTGGACACAGTCATATGTTGCTGTTGATAATTTAAACTAACTTAAGGGACAAACCAAAACCAAGATGATTATAAAGAGGACCTGCAAATTCATACCTGGCTGGCTACATTACCTTGATGTTTCAAAAGCTGTATACTAAAGTGTCCTAATGTGTGTAGAACGCATTTGTTAGATTTTAATGTCAATGAAAATCATACTTCTTTGAATAATTAAGCGCAAAGTGCGAGTATACCATTTGAGAAAAACAACTACAGAAATGGAAACTAAAGATAAAGTGCGAAAGAAACTAAATAGACTTGTCTTGTTTAAGCATCAGTAGTACTTTGCTCAAGAAAAATGAAGTTACAGCAAAAATAAAATGTCAACAATCTCTCAACATAAAGAAAAAATGATAAAAAAAGTAACTCACCTCATTTCTAAAGAACTGAAACGTATACTAGATCATAACTGCCTCAGAAATTGGAAAGCGAGCAGTGAACTATCGTGCATTGGCAACGATGGGACAAAATACATTCTCGCATTTACAACTTTTAAACCAACACTAACGTCGATATTTTACAGCTATCGGAATCATTTTGATTTCAAATGATTCGCATAACCTGTTCTATCCATGACTAATACTTGAGGTTAGTAAGGAGTCGCGAAAGGTCTTAAATATTCGAAAATCCATGTTTGTAAACGTTATCCGCCATACATTTCTATAGTAATTTGTATCTCGCCGTGGTACCCGGAAGTGAATTTTGCATATATAATTAGGCTTCACTTTTGCTACCTGTAGAAGCTATATCAGTCTATTAATGATTGATTTAATGACTAACAATAGGTACTCCCTATAGGGCTTTTCAGTAGCTATTTACAAAATTGAATACATATACATATTTGACTTATAAAAATATAAAAAAGACTATTATTAAAAGGATTTTAAAGATAAAAGTAACATTACAAGATGGAACTACAAAACGAACCACTTGCTGATGATGAGTGGTTAGAAAACTATAATAGAGAGAAAGAAGAAGAAAGACGCCAAACAGAAGAGCTCGAACGCAGAATGCAAAATGAAGTTCCTCTTGATTCTTGGTAAGAAAAGTTGGAAAATTTGTTTATTTATTGTTGCCAAAGATTTTGACAGAGAACTTTCTTAGGTGCAATTGTGGTAAGTGCCGTGTTCCTCTCTTGGTTAATCTAAAAGAATGTAGATGTTGCCACAAAATTATCAATTGCATTGATTGAAATGCAAGATCATATGGTGGTATACGAATTAGGAAGGCAGCCAAAATGCATCACAGAGCATCCAGGATTTGATGCCATTTGCCTCAAGAAGAGATGGAGTTAGATATCGTAAAGGATTCTTGGAGCAAAGGTTTGTTACAATTAATAGTTAAATGCTTCTGTCTGGGTTATCTATGAATGCACACTTGCAAAATTTGTATTTTATGGACACCTACCTCTTTTAATGAACCTTTTGTATTATGCCTTTTCAGGTTTTTTCAAGTTGTTGCATATAGGCAATTTACAAGAATGGTACATGGCATTCTTCGAGACAAAGGAATTCCACTTCCAGCTTGTGCTTACCATGTTATTTGAACAACTTTAAATTTTAAAAAAATGAACACTTTGCAGGGTATGAAGAGGACAATTTGTAAAATAACATAATATTCTTTATTATTTTAGGTAATGTGTGCATTAGCCCAGCTAGTAGGGATCATCCAGTGAAGTGTGGAATGATATTAGCCACTCTTGATGTATTGCATCTTCGATTCACACTCATAATATAGTCGCGTATAGACATGGACTTTATTTCTCGTCACGGGCTGTTTTACATATTTTCTAATTAAAACTATGCCAAAGATATTTTGGTGCAATGACTCAAAGTTTACTTTTAACATGTCATCGTAATAGTGGCGTTTTAATTTTCCAACTCATATGTGAATGACCGGGAAAAATTTCAAAATACAAACTTTAACTTTGTTGTATGCCCATAATGATAACCTATGAGTATTGAGCAACATCCTCACCACCGACAGCAAAAGGTATAATATGCCCACGTTTTTGTACGATATTTTCTTTAAACACAGAAAAGAAAAATGTCTTAAACATGGCAATTACAAAATTTATAGCTCTTTTGTTACAAAGGAAAGTGTTGTCAGAAATTTGTTTTAAAGTTCTTCTTTCCTAAAGAGAAATGTCAGCTATATATAGGGATTGTATCCTCATTTGTAAAATTATTTGATGAGCTCAGTAAAGAAGGCTCAAAACTTAAGTAAAACTCATTTCTGGATCACTTTGTTTGGATTTTCTTTTATTTCTGATTTGACCATTTTTTTCGTCCTTTTCATTATCGCTTTCCTTTCGTTATGTATCCTCTTGTCTTCGCTGTCTACCAATATTGCTTGGATGTTTTCATTTGCTCTTCTTCGTTAGATGGCAATCTTTTTGTCAAACTATTCAAAGCTTCAGATGGAATCCTATTTTCATTCTGACCAGTTGATGGAGGTTTGACAAAAAACAGGGAAGAATGATAAAAAAGCAAAGGTCTATGATCGTTGTCATGCGACCGAAATTACTCCACTTTTGGTTGATGAGTCGTTGCATGACGGGATAGGATACAATGTTGAACTTCCTCGTGAGAACGGCAGCTTCAAGTGGAGTGCGAGCTTTCTTCGTCTTTGCGCTCATTCGCGATAACTCAAGAAAATTTATGAAATTAAATTCCTTCCTTGTTATAATATCAGTCGTGTGGAGTTTGTCGAGAACTTCTAAAGCCACCTGTGGAAGTCGTTCAATCAAAACTGACAATGCCGAATCCCCGGATGAATCAAGGAGACAAGGCGAAGCGCCTTCGTCTATCAATGCTTTTGCTGTTTTGTCTCTCGTCCATTCTGCAGCCAACTAAAAGAACGCAATGGCGAGGTTTCATAGATTCAATGAAATGTTATCATAATGAATTTTTTGTAAGGCAATTGTTGATTACAATATACAAAGCTATCTTATTTAACGCCATCGACCATTATCGTATTGTATATGTTCAGTGAATATTCCTCAAAGAATGGATAAATTGCTTTTTTGTGCAAACTACTCAAAGCAAATGCGCTATAACGAATTGCAAGTAGTTAAAGTACATCATACAAACAGAATAGAGCACAACGTTTAAATAACAATCATTGTACGTCAATTGATGACATAAAATTTTCATTCTAATCTTTTCCTACATTTTATCAGTAGACTGGTGTTTTTTTTCATCTTAATGCTGTTTTCATCAATGCTGTTTACGTGTAATGGTGTCCTGTTTCTATAGTCAAGTGAGTCAATATTTGTTTGACATCCCTATAGCAGTTGAAGTGATTTCATGGAATTATTTTTATGCATCATGTATCGGAGTCTGTAATTACCTACTGTCCTTGCATCAATATCTGCGTGGTTTTGCAACAAAAAGTCGGCCATTTCGTCAGACACAGCCAGGTGTAGAGAGGTTCGCCCGAAGTTGTCTTGCTTATTGATCTCTCCACCTGCGGAGACAAAATGAAGACCGCTGGGCTATGATAGCGCAGATGTTGTGTGGACGTTACGGAGAATATTGTTTTTTAAAAATATTAAATTATTGTAGTTCATTTTTATCCGTTAAAGAATTTAGGTAATACCAGTAAAAATAATTTTTGCCTTTTATAAGAAACTAAATACAAAATGTGCAGGAGTCAATAAAGACTGAAAAAGTTACGAAATCGGAATCAGAGCGAATTATTTATTTCGTTTGTACGAATTTATCGTAGTAAAATATTTTCTACATGCTGAAATGTGCATGTAACAATAATAGGATGAAATTAATGGAAAAAATGTTTCCTGTGTGATCGCACAGGAAAACTGAGAGAATCAGCGTTCAGAGAACAGCAAAAATTATCGAAAATCAGCGTTCAAATATCAATGTTCATACTTGAGCCGAACATTATTATGTAGTAAACACCTATCTTTTCTTCTATTCTTATAAATAAAGATACATGAAGGCTAAAAATGATTTGTTTGAGACGAGTGCTTATTCGACTGGTAGCGTTTGATTTATAATCACGGGAATAAATTTGCTTTCAATTAAGAATTTTATCGTTACTGTTTTGAGTAAATATGCACGATTTTTTCTGCTTGAACTTGAGGCGTTCGCCTGTCAATTTATTTTAATTGCAGCTCAAAACAACATTTTATAAAAAAATCAAGAAACGCTGGAATCCTTTTGCTGGTAATCCTTGAGATCAGCTAATTTTTTTTACTTTAAAAGAATTAATAAACCTAACTTATTTCAACATTCATTCTAAACATTTTTTCGTCCCTAAACAAACTCTTTTTAAAGCAAACACATGACTTACCTTGGTGAAAGGCCGAGCTGTTACAGCCGTTTGCTTCGATATGGTTAAATATAAACCTGCAAAATTAAAGCTACACTCAATGTCCAAGCGTGAGGTCTTTACAAGCATAGGACATCTGGTTGCTTTGCAAAGGTTGGCTTCCATATAATATATACTTATAAAAAATTGCGGATTTATGTGCATAAAACTAATTCAAACGAACACCAAGGAAAAATCAGAGTCGGTGCTAGAACGTTACTTGGGGTGGGATTGTTCATATATTCTGTTGTACCGACCGACCCCCCTCCCCCGATTAACGTTCTGCCGCTACACTTTAAACATTTATTTATACAAAGGCTGTGGCAATATTTACCTTTGAGAAGCACAACTGTGACGTTCCAATGTTGGCTTCTGTGTAGCAACAATGGATATGGCCAGAAAAAGTTCTAAAAAAGTTGTTGAACATGTAGTGAATCAACACAAAATAAGGTACCTGAAAAATGGTTCATATGGAAAGGTGGAGTTGGAACTCGCCTCGGCAAACTTTTCGTTTTCTACAAACAACCCGTGCTTACCATAAAAACATTAAAACATTAAAACATTAAAGTTAATGTTTTCATGTTTTCATGTTTTCATGTTTTAATGTTTTCCTTGGTGGTGGCGTTCGTTGTCAGTAATCTTTGTAAAGGTTAAATTGATTCTTTTCAAAATCAGGTTTAAGGCAGGAATTGTTTCTTCGGCAGACCAGTCAATATTTGGTAATGCTTCTAACATGAATCTATAAAACAGAAGTTCGTACAACAACTGATCTTGCGAATTACCAAGAGAAGAACTCAGCATTATACAAGAGAACTCTTGGGCCAATTGGCTGTGCATTGTTCTCATTTGCCGGAGACGTCAAACGCAAAACTTTCTCTTAGATCAATTTTGAAGGCAAACAGAAGGTCATACGACCAACGAAGCTTAATTAAATGTTTTCATCAGGTTGTGATGATAGATGTACGGAGTGAGCTTGGCGGAGGTAGCCATCGTAAGCTTACGTATATAACACCATGAACAGAGCAAAGTTTCAAAAAATATTGCTTTCTGCCTCATATTTTATAACTCATAAAATGTTTCATGCATTTATGTCATTTCTCTATCAATTCCATTCAATTTTGACACGCGCACCATTCAGGCAGTTGCATTGACTTCATGGCAAATGAAGACATTCTCAATAAAACCTATCAGAAGGTACGCATAGTGTAAATAATCACCAAGCAATTTTCTGCTTTCTCACAGTGAAAAGTCTACGGTTTTGTATGATCGGCTACTTTTATTTCACGCACAGTGTGGTAACGAGTTTGAAAATGCATTTCTTGAAAGAAGTTAAAGAAGACATTACAATGATATAGCTAAGACTGAAAACTGTTCACTCAACTATTGGATTCATACCAGTCAACCGGATTTTCTATTGCACTGCTCGGGATGTAAAGAGTAAGATTACATAAAACATTCATATAATAGAACGCTCCGTAGGAAAGTATACGTGCACACCGAAACACAAAATTTTTAAAAATGCCATTAACTTCCTTACTTTTGCAGTTCTGTTAGCTCTGATGACACGGTATCGGTTAAGGAGAGCTTCAGAAGTGTGTGAGCGATGTTGCACAATGACTAGAAAAGCAATATCGCAATGGGTACTTTTTGAAATAGAAACTGCTCACAACATACAACATGAAAAATGAAAAGAAACTGAAGCCTGTAAGAACTTTTCCAAAAAAACCAATTATCTAGCTTTACTGTAACGTTATTGAGTAACAACTAAGTTTCATAAAATGCTCTTGTCTAAAATGAGTTATCATATGAAAAATGAACCAAATAAATACATAGACGTTGACTGAGGTATTCAAGCAAAGTGTTTTGTCGACGTAGTTTTCATTGATGTCTCCTTTTCATTTTTCATAGAATAGATTTTATCAGAACTTTTGAAAAACATTGGCAAGAGCCGGCCAATGTACCTGTATGCTTTCATTATCCAGTGCCAGGTTAACAGTTTGCCCTGAAATTTTAAAATTGCATTTCGTGGAGTCCTAAGCTCATAGAGCGAATCAAAGACTTGTTTTCCTTCGTCTTGTGTGCTGAACTTGTTCAAAAATGGTTTAAATTGCTCATCTGAAAAATGAAAGCTTTTGAAAAAAATTCAAAAAAAACAGCGTTGCTTTCCCTAACAATGCAGTATGTCTGCAACAAAAACCACATACGAACCAATCGACTCCGAGTCTCTGTCTTCATCAGGATACATTCTGGATAATCTAATATTTTTTTGGCTTGTAGTAAAAGAAGTAACAGATCCCGTTGAAACTTCACGCGTTCTTCGCTTTGCTACAGAACTAAGTTCCTTGATGTTTAAGAAAGGCCTAAACAAAGAACACATGTATGTGTATGAACACACTTATTGATACGGCAGTCTCGAATTGGTCATTCGATCAAGACTCTATTTTATACAGAAAGAAGGAGTAGACTGTAAAGAACTATACCTTCTTAAAGAGGTGCAACTCTTCAAGAGCATTGAACACAGCGATGAAGAGATTGTAAAGCAGCTGGTTCATCTCTGGAGCATTTCTTCTTGTCATTATTGGCATTATTTCGTACATACTCCAGATAAAATGGCAACCCTATTATTTAAAAGAAAGAAAAAATTTATTGGCACCAGAAACGAGCATATGAAAGGCAACTCAAACAGAATTTTGGATGTAAGATTCCATTGTATGAACCCGGTTTCTTCACTGAGGTTGAGGGTGCAATGAAGAATGAGAATACGAATATGTATATTCAGGATTCCTTGAAACTTTTGATTCTAGTGTTGACTAAATGGAATCCGAATTCCAAACAGCAGGTTCTGGATTTCCAAGCAAAAAATCAAGAATTACAACATATGTTTTCCGATATAAGTTTTAATTATCATCGAAAGAAAAGCAAAACGAGCATTTTTTGCTCTGAAAAAGAGATGTCAAAGGGGTTGCAAACTACTTTTGTTGAAGGTGTGAGCTATATAATAATTCTTAGAGCAAATTAAATGTTTATATTGTAGTACAAAACATACCAACATCTGTGTCGCACGAACTGATTCAGGTGAGCAAGCAACAACAGTTACACAAAGACGGATCGCTGTATCAAGTTTAGATTCATTTTCTTCCAATTTTCTTTCATAACAAGAATCCTTCGTAACAAGAATTAAATTTGGTTGAAATCACGTGAATGGAATTTGATGCATGAGACACAAATTTTTTAATACAACGAAAAAGATATCATCTTATGTTTTCTAACATTTGGAAATCGAGCCATGCATTTGAAATTGACAATATAATTAAAGATGCAACAACACTCAAGCCAAGCAAATATAATTATAAGCTGTGAATGTATTTACGAACCAGAGGTTTAAGTTCTCCATCTACGTCAACTAATGACAGGACATCCAATATGTCAGGAACGTCGTCCTTTAAACCCCCCTTCATACAACCCAAAGTCGACATCCAAAGTTCTACGTGGGAATGCAATTTGTTTGCTGAGCTCCGAGTGCAAGAAGCTGACATAGCTTCTGAACAATTCCTTCTCTCAGGAATCCAGTTGGAGTGGAGGCCAATTTGTTGCTTTGCTTCCCTTGCCTGATGAAACTTACATAGACCCACCCACTCTGTTGGTAACTAACCGACTTAAATATTGCTATGAACAGCGTATTTGTCATGGTAAATGACAATTGAGTTGTTCTTAAAAGAAATGTTGAAAACCAAAACGAGGATAACTATAAAGTTATGGTGTCATCATAATAAAAGTAAATTTTTGTTTTCATTCAAGCAGACGTGACAACTGATGAGAAATGCATTTTGCCATTCTATTTTTTAGTTTTCTTTATTTAGGTTTTGACAAATTTTTTTAAGAACTGCTCAATTATCATTCACCATGACGCTGTTCAGCACAATATCTAAGTTTGTAATTAGTACACCGTGCAGTCTGTGTTTAGATGGATATACGAAATTATCAAAGGTTTCAGTTTTAAGAGCAAGGCATCCCCCAACGGCAAAGTGTATGAAGTACACACTTTCTAAAGACTAGCCAAGTTTAACAATGGGTTCAAACAAGGCAAAACATCACTTATCGCCTGTGCCGAAGGTACAGAAACAAAAGACCCAGCAGCGTTACCTTTTGTTCATCAACTGATGATCTTTAATCACTCTGTAGTAATTTACTTCTTAAGCCATCAGCTCGTTTGCTGAGACCGCGAATCAATTCATTGCAATGCAACTCAAACATGCCGACTTGAATTATCTAAATGAATACACTCGTAAACATCGGATTATAAAATGACCGACACAAAACGAAGAAAACACCACTCGGTTAGAGAAAAAAAAACACACGATATTTACCTTTTGAGAGTTGTATGTTATGTCATCTATCAATTTGGCGTAATATTCCACCTTCTGAACGAATACTGACCAATGAGCTTCTGATCGCTTCTCTATCCTTCTTGTGCGAAGATTGAAGTGTTGAGCCTGATTGTTTCTTGGAGGTAGTTGAATTGATTGAGGATAATACAGCATTGACATTCGTCAGTCCTCCATTACTCCGTCTTGCACCAGAGTCTGCAAAAGTCATGAGTAAAATGTTGCTTGCTGGCAGTGAAGAGGTTCAAACACAACTAACCTGGCCGGCCATCCTCAGTCTTGCTCTGATTGAGCTGAAAAAGTGGTCTGTTCTCATGCCATAGTGGCTTCTGTCTGGTCTAGATAAGTATTATAAATATTGTTGGTATAATGCTCTTTCAAAAGTTTTTGGTGAAAAAAAAATGTTAAGTAAATTTGAACAAAAAGTACTTTTGAACCGTGCAAGTGCATATTTTACAAAGTTCACACGTTCACAATTCATAAAAGGGATTTAGTTTTGTCGAAGACGGCTGTTTTTGTGCAAATAAATTTACTAGTTTAGTCGTACTCATAAACAATATAGTTAATGAAATTATGCACAGAATGCCAACACTTACCTCAGGTAGCTGACAGGAACTTTAGGATTCTTTCCTTTGCCCCTCTGAAATAAAAAAAAAGAAACACAAAATTTAAGTTCATTGGCTTTCATTTCACGATAATTTTTCTGAATTGTCAGTTTCAAATTAACTTACCGACTGTAATGCAGGCGTGGGAGATTCCATATTCAAAACGCTGTAGCTTTAAACACGTTAAAATATTTACATCTTTAAGGTTTCACTTTCAAAATCTTTAAATTACATATCGCTTTGAAGTTTGTATTGCGTCCATTTTCTTGTAGGTATAACATCACTTACAACCACGCGAATAAAGGAGGTATCCGCTGTACACTGGTAAAGACAACTCAGAAATAGTACATAGTAAAACAGGAATCGTATGAATTCGATCATTAATAAAAGCTCTGGAATCACTAGTATAGAACCTAAAGAACACGAATAATTTAATCCAATAAAATTTAAAAGATCGATACCATGAACAAAAAACGCCTGTACGTGAGGTTACAAGGGATTAGAACTTTGATTTATAGAAGTATAACCATCGTGGTTATACTTGTTTTTTAGACATCATTTCATCATGGTTATACATACCATTTTCCGGTATGTTTTATAATATCTGAAATTTTACTAATTTTCTCATCTGGTTTACACCATTGTGTCGCACAAACACGAAATTTTAAGTCCTCGTAAAATTTACTTGTTTTTAGCCATCATTTCATCATGGTTATACATACCATTTTCCGGTATGTTTTATAATCTCTGAAATTTTACTAATTTTCTCATCTGGTTTACACCATAGTGACACACAAACACGAAATTTTAAGTCCTCGTAAAATTTACTTGTTTTTAGCCATCATTTCATCATGGTTATACATACCATTTTCCGGTATGTTTTATAATATCTGAAATTTTACTAATTTTCTCATCTGGTTTACACCATAGTGACACACAAACACGAAATTTTAAGTCCTCGTAAAATTTACTTGTTTTTAGCCATCATTTCATCATGGTTATACATACCATTTTCCGGTATGTTTTATAATATCTGAAATTTTACTAATTTTCTCATCTGGTTTACACCATAGTGACACACAAACACGAAATTTTAAGTCCTCGTAAAATTTACTTGTTTTTAGCCATCATTTCATCATGGTTATACATACCATTTTCCGGTATGTTTTATAATATCTGAAATTTTACTAATTTTCTCATCTGGTTTACACCATAGTGACACACAAACACGAAATTTTAAGTCCTCGTAAAATTTACTTGTTTTTAGCCATCATTTCATCATGGTTATACATACCATTTTCCGGTATGTTTTATAATCTCTGAAATTTTACTAATTTTCTCATCTGGTTTACACCATAGTGACACACAAACACGAAATTTTAAGTCCTCGTAAAATTTACTTGTTTTTAGCCATCATTTCATCATGGTTATACATACCATTTTCCGGTATGTTTTATAATATCTGAAATTTTACTAATTTTCTCATCTGGTTTACACCATAGTGACACACAAACACGAAATTTTAAGTCCTCGTAAAATTTACTTGTTTTTAGCCATCATTTCATCATGGTTATACATACCATTTTCCGGTATGTTTTATAATATCTGAAATTTTACTAATTTTCTCATCTGGTTTACACCATAGTGACACACAAACACGAAATTTTAAGTCCTCGTAAAATTTACTTGTTTTTAGCCATCATTTCATCATGGTTATACATACCATTTTCCGGTATGTTTTATAATATCTGAAATTTTACTAATTTTCTCATCTGGTTTACACCATAGTGACACACAAACACGAAATTTTAAGTCCTCGTAAAATTTACTTGTTTTTAGCCATCATTTCATCATGGTTATACATACCATTTTCCGGTATGTTTTATAATATCTGAAATTTTACTAATTTTCTCATCTGGTTTACACCATAGTGACACACAAACACGAAATTTTAAGTCCTCGTAAAATTTACTTGTTTTTAGCCATCATTTCATCATGGTTATACATACCATTTTCCGGTATGTTTTATAATATCTGAAATTTTACTAATTTTCTCATCTGGTTTACACCATAGTGACACACAAACACGAAATTTTAAGTCCTCGTAAAATTTACTTGTTTTTAGCCATCATTTCATCATGGTTATACATACCATTTTCCGGTATGTTTTATAATATCTGAAATTTTACTAATTTTCTCATCTGGTTTACACCATAGTGACACACAAACACGAAATTTTAAGTCCTCGTAAAATTTACTTGTTTTTAGCCATCATTTCATCATGGTTATACATACCATTTTCCGGTATGTTTTATAATATCTGAAATTTTACTAATTTTCTCATCTGGTTTACACCATAGTGACACACAAACACGAAATTTTAAGTCCTCGTAAAATTTACTTGTTTTTAGCCATCATTTCATCATGGTTATACATACCATTTTCCGGTATGTTTTATAATATCTGAAATTTTACTAATTTTCTCATCTGGTTTACACCATAGTGACACACAAACACGAAATTTTAAGTCCTCGTAAAATTTACTTGTTTTTAGCCATCATTTCATCATGGTTATACATACCATTTTCCGGTATGTTTTATAATATCTGAAATTTTACTAATTTTCTCATCTGGTTTACACCATAGTGACACACAAACACGAAATTTTAAGTCCTCGTAAAATTTACTTGTTTTTAGCCATCATTTCATCATGGTTATACATACCATTTTCCGGTATGTTTTATAATATCTGAAATTTTACTAATTTTCTCATCTGGTTTACACCATAGTGACACACAAACACGAAATTTTAAGTCCTCGTAAAATTTACTTGTTTTTAGCCATCATTTCATCATGGTTATACATACCATTTTCCGGTATGTTTTATAATATCTGAAATTTTACTAATTTTCTCATCTGGTTTACACCATAGTGACACACAAACACGAAATTTTAAGTCCTCGTAAAATTTACTTGTTTTTAGCCATCATTTCATCATGGTTATACATACCATTTTCCGGTATGTTTTATAATATCTGAAATTTTACTAATTTTCTCATCTGGTTTACACCATAGTGACACACAAACACGAAATTTTAAGTCCTCGTAAAATTTACTTGTTTTTAGCCATCATTTCATCATGGTTATACATACCATTTTCCGGTATGTTTTATAATATCTGAAATTTTACTAATTTTCTCATCTGGTTTACACCATAGTGACACACAAACACGAAATTTTAAGTCCTCGTAAAATTTACTTGTTTTTAGCCATCATTTCATCATGGTTATACATACCATTTTCCGGTATGTTTTATAATATCTGAAATTTTACTAATTTTCTCATCTGGTTTACACCATAGTGACACACAAACACGAAATTTTAAGTCCTCGTAAAATTTACTTGTTTTTAGCCATCATTTCATCATGGTTATACATACCATTTTCCGGTATGTTTTATAATATCTGAAATTTTACTAATTTTCTCATCTGGTTTACACCATAGTGACACACAAACACGAAATTTTAAGTCCTCGTAAAATTTACTTGTTTTTAGCCATCATTTCATCATGGTTATACATACCATTTTCCGGTATGTTTTATAATATCTGAAATTTTACTAATTTTCTCATCTGGTTTACACCATAGTGACACACAAACACGAAATTTTAAGTCCTCGTAAAATTTACTTGTTTTTAGACATCATTTCATCATGGTTATACATACCATTTTCCGGTATGTTTTATAATATCTGAAATTTTACTAATTTTCTCATCTGGTTTACACCATAGTGACACACAAACACGAAATTTTAAGTCCTCGTAAAATTTACTTGTTTTTAGCCATCATTTCATCATGGTTATACATACCATTTTCCGGTATGTTTTATAATATCTGAAATTTTACTAATTTTCTCATCTGGTTTACACCATAGTGACACACAAACACGAAATTTTAAGTCCTCGTAAAATTTACTTGTTTTTAGCCATCATTTCATCATGGTTATACATACCATTTTCCGGTATGTTTTATAATATCTGAAATTTTACTAATTTTCTCATCTGGTTTACACCATAGTGACACACAAACACGAAATTTTAAGTCCTCGTAAAATTTACTTGTTTTTAGCCATCATTTCATCATGGTTATACATACCATTTTCCGGTATGTTTTATAATATCTGAAATTTTACTAATTTTCTCATCTGGTTTACACCATAGTGACACACAAACACGAAATTTTAAGTCCTCGTAAAATTTACTTGTTTTTAGACATCATTTCATCATGGTTATACATACCATTTTCCGGTATGTTTTATAATATCTGAAATTTTACTAATTTTCTCATCTGGTTTACACCATAGTGACACACAAACACGAAATTTTAAGTCCTCGTAAAATTTACTTGTTTTTAGCCATCATTTCATCATGGTTATACATACCATTTTCCGGTATGTTTTATAATCTCTGAAATTTTACTAATTTTCTCATCTGGTTTACACCATAGTGACACACAAACACGAAATTTTAAGTCCTCGTAAAATTTACTTGTTTTTATCCATCATTTCATCATGGTTATACATACCATTTTCCGGTATGTTTTATAATCTCTGAAATTTTACTAATTTTCTCATCTGGTTTACACCATAGTGACACACAAACACGAAATTTTAAGTCCTCGTAAAATTTACTTGTTTTTATCCATCATTTCATCATGGTTATACATACCATTTTCCGGTATGTTTTATAATATCTGAAATTTTACTAATTTTCTCATCTGGTTTACACCATAGTGACACACAAACACGAAATTTTAAGTCCTCGTAAAATTTACTTGTTTTTATCCATCATTTCATCATGGTTATACATACCATTTTCCGGTATGTTTTATAATATCTGAAATTTTACTAATTTTCTCATCTGGTTTACACCATAGTGACACACAAACACGAAATTTTAAGTCCTCGTAAAATTTACTTGTTTTTTATCCATCATTTCATCATGGTTATACATACCATTTTCCGGTATGTTTTATAATATCTGAAATTTTACTAATTTTCTCACCTGGTTTACACAATAGTGTCACGGAAGTTTGTCATTTCCTTTTATAAAAACACTAATATGACAGATCACACTTAAATTCTTTGACGCACAGGATAAATAAATAGCTGCATCTCGATCCGTTATAAATTACTTGGCACCGAAAACATTTGCTTTAATATTTCTGCAAGGTTTGTTAGAATTTGATTAGGTCGCTTATTTACTGAAAACTGCTTCAAATTATTGTTGAGATGTCTTCCAATATAAAAAGTAAAGTAAATTCACGAGGGGAAAAGTTTATTCTAAAAAGCAAGAGACCGGTAAGATTATGTGTACGTTGACAGTAAATGAATTCTCAACCAGAGTTCTATCTGAACGTCAAGTTTATTTTTGAAGAAAAAAGAGCTATCGATTTCTCAAAGTGAAGCGCACAATGTGTACAGAAAGAAAAAACGTATTGCAGACAGGGTAAAAGAATGATAAACTTTTTGTACCCTCTTTGATTAATGCAGAAAATATTGACTAAATTTGAAATGTAACAGCTATAAATCACATGCTCTATAAATATTTTTAGATTGATCTAATGTCATCGGAGAAGAGCCTCAATCCGATGGTTTTGCTATATCTTGATGGACATGGAACGGTTAAAGCTGCTGGTAATTCTTCTATCAAAAAGATTTTAGACTTGTGTAGAAGTTAAGAATTGAATTGGATTATTTTTGTGTTTAAAATACGATTGTCGGTATAGAAGTAATGTAATCAATTCATTTAAACAGGAACGCCCGGCCTTCGTCGAGAAATCTTGAATATTTCCCGAGATGCCATGTGCAAATATGTTGAAGACAATTCTTTGATTACAACTGACTCCCCAAGTACTAACTTTTATTTTGTTGTTTCTAAATTGTATAAAAACAAATAAAGGTGTCACAATGCTGCAATAAAGTCTGTATCATTTTATATTAGAAAGCTGTGAAGACGTTTATCAAGTGCAGGAGATACGCTCTGATCTTGTTGATCCTGATGCTTTGGAAGAAATAAAACAAGGGACTTGGTCGTGCAAAGAGCTACGGAAACTGGTTTTAAATATGGTTCTCCCAAGAACAGCTGACATCGGTAAAACTATTTTTGTATATTTGTGAGTAACTAATTTCTGATATACAACGGCAGACCTCGTGAATTCAAGATTGGTTTTAGACAAGAAAGGAAAACGGAAGTGGAAAGTGGCTAGAGTGAGACTTTTGGCTTAAAGCAGAGAAACCGTTGTTTTGGCCTCCTCACATCCCATTTGTTTCGCCATCTGCCAGGATTAATCAACCTTCAGGTAAATCAAGTGAATCAATCTTCAATATTTTCATTGTTTTTATTTACATATTGTACACCATTCTCAGAGGATGATTACGATGAAGAAGAATTTGATGATAAAACAGAACGCTCGAGAAAAATTTTAAATAAGAAAGAACTGATAGAGATCGCTCTATCGTATGGAGAATACGTTCATGAAGTGAGTATTATTGTTGTAGATTTAGTATATAGAAGACAACTCACTGCTTCTCTTAACTTTTGTTTAATTAGTTTACTGGAAATGAAAAAAATGAAGAGACAACACAATCATTTGGTCAAGGAAGACAAGAGGTACACACTAACCATCTTTTAAGAAATAATATAAGAACATTTAAACACGAACTGCTATTTGCTTTTATTCCCAAGAAAACTAATCGAGATGCGAATGTTGGAAAAGATACGTATACAAGCGAAGAAGATAAAAGAAGTGATGAGAGCGAGAAAAGAGAAGATTTCGAAAACAAATTTGTTGATAACGAAGCTGCATTAAATAACATAAAAGAGGATGAAAGGGTAAATGAACGTCCAGGAAATTACAAAAAAACAGCGTACCAAAAATGAACGTTTTTTTCTATACCCATCAGGAAGAGGATACACAATTAGTGAATTTACAACAGATGAGAGACATGTACGAAAAAGTAAGAAAACTTTTAGAAACTCACATTTATTTTTTTAAATTTCAAAACGATACCACAATCCATTTTAGAGAGAAATAGCTTGTATTGTTCGCGCAATGTTAAAAGACCCCCCTAAAATATGTTGAAACAGCCTACGAATTGTTGGACTTAGCTGATACACATCAACATCCTATTACGAAAAATTTAAAGTATGAAATGCTAATGTTTATTGACTGATTGAACGGTTCTAATCTAAATGACAATTTGTTGATTCCTTAATAATATTTGAGTAGGTCACACGAAAAAGACCTCATGGGCGTTCCACATGATTACGACACAAGTTGTCCTGGAGACATTTTCAACGCTTTAAGCATTGATCCCAATAGACTTCAACTCGATTCATTTCTATACGGAGTTGCACATCAATGTCATTTGGCATCCGAAGTAATATTTTGCTCTGTAAATCTCTAAGTTTTTTTATTTATAAAAGAAACACATCTTTTTCTAGCGCTCACGACAAACAAGTAAAGCAATTTCAAATGAAGAAATTATAAAAGAAATACAAGATTTCAACACTGAAGGTGAACATTCTCAAAATTCAAATCACGAAGAAAATTCTTTAATATTAAACAAATTTAGAAAACCTACATGACAAGCAAATTATTCCCTTTTTTAGAGGTTACCCTTACTAACACGCATGTTCAATGCATTGCTGGAGCACTTCGTGCGTCATTGGAAATATGGAGTCCCCAGTTTGAACTATTCCATATCTATTTTCCGTGTTTATGCCAAGTTACGGACAACGGAGGAATAGGCTACTTTAGTTTGACAGTTGGCAAAACTTTTCAAAATAGTTATGTATTTATGGAGCAAACATCTGAAAAGAGACCGACTAGAAGAAAAAGCCAGCAACTACAATCAGGTCAATAAAAATTGAATGTCTCATGTAAATGTTTCTATTGAATATGTGAAGAAAATTCCTGACGATAATAGAAAACTATATCTTTGACAGGAAAGAATGCAGTGAAGAGAGTGAAAGGTGACATTCATATATTGAAAATATTTGACAAAAGGAAAACGACAAAGGTAGCATCAATGCCTTTTAGAGTGAACTGTTTTGATGGCATTGTAATATACAAGAGTGATGTCGAAACATTAAATGGAAGCAAGTGGTTGTGTGATACCATAATTGACTTTTTTTTAAGGTAATGTGAAATGATTCAAATCTAACATATAGAAGGAAGCAATAAAAACTTTACAAGCTAACTTAAATTACATGAATGCAATAGGTATTACTGCAAAACGGCAGAAAGAAAAGACGATGGGGAACAATATTATGCCTTTTCTAGTTTTTTCCAACAGAAACTACTCATGAAAGGACACGTGTAAGTGTCCGGTTAAGATTTCACCCTAGATTCTAGAGATAATTACATGTTATAATATTTGCAATTTTTTCAGATCAAAGCGACCATTAGATCTTTCGGGATGCAACTTACATGGAGTGAGGAGATACACACCTAAGAACATGTATCAATATAAAATGATTTTTATACCAGTCTGCGACATGTAAGAATTTTACAAAGAAAATCAGTTTCTATAGTTCAATTCTATGAGATACTTGAGACATGATATATTTTAAAGGACACATTGGTGGCTAGTGGTCTTTGAAGTTTTCAAGTCGTTTATACGTGTTGTGCAGCATGGGTTGGAAGAATAAAACTGTTGCTTCAAACATAAGAAGGTTGTTATTTCTATACATACTGAACTAACAGGTTGCCTCTTTGATATGTACCGACATGTTTTCTAACTTCATAAACAGCTTTTTAACGTTAAGGTATCTCCAACACATAAAAGAAGAGCAACAATGGCCAGACCACATGGGAAGCATTTCAGAGCCTATTTATGCGGATGTAAGTCGAGTAATTGTTTGACAAGCATAAACACATTGATCTATAAAGTCAATGTATGGATATGTCACAAACGTTGTTATTTAATCACCATTCAGGTTGCAAGGCAAAAAAATGGTCACGATTGCGGCGTATATTTGTTAGAGTTTGCAAGAGTAATAATAAAGGAGGTATTTTGTTATGTAGACATTTGCTGTCGCAAAATACGCAAATAATTTAAAAGCAACATATTCCAGTATGTGACATATAACAGATAATTTTATCATATTTTAGGGATGCATCAACTCATCGATAGAAAATATAAACAGTGAGGGAAGACGTACGCAGCTAAAAGAGCTTCTTCAGTCCCTGTAACAGTCGACCTGTTTACACACAATGAAAAACAGGCGTTATATAAATGGTCAATGCTCGGCACATTTGTTCAATTACTTCTTCATATAAACTCTGATTGTGTCATGAGGTGCAACATTACTACTACATAGAATAATCGTGGAGTAAATATATATACTTAATAACTAATGAGTACCAGCATTATCCATTGACGTTGAAAAGCTATAATATCGTGCGAGTTATGATTTCAACATTTTAAAAATTGATTTCATTCATTTTCATATCCAAAATTTTTCATTATGCTATAAATGCGAAAAATATGAAGCTGTTTGAGGACAAAATGTTACAGCTATACGTTACGCAGACATGTCATAAATATGACGTATTTTCTTTAAAATGATGAATTTAGAAAAATATTTCAACTGTTACTTAGACTTTTTTTGTTTGTTCCAAAGTGTTAGCATTTCGTTTCAACATGGTTCCCAATTAAATAATACTGGTTTTCAAATACTACTTATCTGATAATATTGCTGATTGCAAGAAACGTTTCCTCTCTGGAACATCCCGTCCAGGATTGCATTTTATTATGCGCAACATGTTTCTGTACCAAATATACAATTTCGAAAATAGCAAAAAGTTGTCATATTCCATGTATGAAACCATTGACGCAAGTGGCTTCATTACAGAGTTACACTGCTCTGCAGCTTGGCTGTTGTGCGTTTTTAAAATGGGATATCTATTAATATCGTATCCCTCAGAGCAACCTATAAGAGTCAAAGATATGAGTCGTTTCAATTTCGACACACTTAGCATAATAAAATACGAGTTTTATACCAGAATGGTTTCTCCAATGAAACTTGTCGACGATGAATTTGGATTTTTAAAAAGCAGGATCGCGGTTAAGGCAGTACTCGTGTAGTTTGCACGCGTTGTCATAGATCACTAGTTCAGGAGCTAAACATTATAAGTTTATTTGTTTACAATTGGGAGTAACGAAACGCTAACAATTTCACAATTCTCATAAAAGAATGAGAAATACCTCAAAACTTCAAATTACCTTCAGAAAATCGAGTTCTTAAAATGGTAAAAGGAACATTGGGTGATTCATGATCGGGCATCACTTGAAAGCCGTAACAAATACCTAAAAACAATAAAAATCTCATAATTTTTCAATGAGGAGAGTTTACGGGATGAATTTTCCTGTCATTCTATGATCAAGAACATTAATGCTTCTTTGCCATACCGTGCGGACATAAAATAAGGAATATCCCAGGAATTAAAGACCCATGCTTCTTCTTTGAACGAACGCCTTTGGCACAATCATCTAAATGACCAGCTCTTTTGTGTCAAGAACATAGTGCCCACGTTCAACAAGAGAAGGCAAAGATGGAAAAAACCTAACTGACCATCACACTGAACTTGGGAAGGTTGTGGGGCAAACGCTCACACCCGTTTTGGTCAGTAAAAGGACTGGACGCTTTGGCGACCATTTCCCACACAAACACGTATGGGGTTTGGCAGCTCTGCAAAATGATTGCAAAGACAAAACAAGAGGGGGACCTGTTCGTGCAAAAGTTGTAAATCAGACAATGGATTGTCCTTTGGATTTGCTCCGTTGGCAATTCTGATCAACAAATCCTTCACCTCTCTCACAGGAGGTACAATTGCACAAACAGGTTTATCTGACGCAAGTGCTTTGAGAAGTCTTATGCAAGGTTCTGGAAACGTGACACCAAAATGTTCCTCTCTAAGGGATACGATTAGCATTTTTAGGCCAGGAGATGAAATCTAAATAAACGAGCAATAGTAAAATAGCCTGTAAAAATAGCTACAACATGTTCTTAGCATATTGTACATCAATAAACAACTAACAACATTCATACTTCCGAGGTTAATTCCACGAGTTCGTCTTCTGTAATTTGGTTCTTTATAAATTTCTTCAACAACTCTCTCTGCCTCTTCCGATTGAGGAAGTTCCGCGTTTCGAACCTAGTGTTGGAAAAAATCCGCCCCAAAATAAAACACATGTCCAGCTAGCCAATGAAAAAATACACACCCAGAAAAAACACTTATCTTCCATCCATCGTAGGGCCTTCTGGGGGAGCTACCTTACGAGGCAAGAAGGTTTTTTGGATACCAAGTGCCGTACCGTCCATAACAACTTTTTTCGGATGTTTTCCACAGATGTTACAATGAAAAGCGTCAACAAAGTCAATGTCAAGTAATCTAAATAGCGTAAAAAATCAGTGTTGTATCCAGCAAGGATTTTTTAGATCTATGGTTAAAAACCAATTAACATAGTTATTCTTAAAAGCGGATACAATACTGCCTGTTTTTGTCAACAAAATAAATAAGAATGCCATTTGATCTATTCAGTGTTGCCACTTCATAAGGAAAGTAAAATGATAGTAAATAAATGTTCAGACTTTCTTGGACATTAAAAGTAGGATAGTGTTTTCATTTTTTGTACCTCTCTATGTACCCTTTTGTTGACCATTACCTACAGGTGGGAGCACCTCTGTGCACTTACACTCCCCACCCTTATCATAAATTCACCACCAATGAAATGATCAAATGCTAAACATACGTAAGTGCTACAGATATATATATTGGTAGCATACGTACTTTTATCATTTTTATTTAGCATTACAACAAAAGTTAATTTAAACAAACGAATATCCGATCAAATAAACTTTTAAATACATGTAACTCACCTAAAAAATTGGTGCAGGTTGAAATAAAAAAAAAGTTACCTAATCATTGCAGTAACTGCCAGACGAAACTTGGTGTAAGTTATAATGCCAGAAAAATTCAAATTTCCTGACATAACTTGTCTTTGGACGTACGTCACGTAATATTTATACATGGGCAGGCTAAACCATTTAAAAGATGAAAAGATATTTTCATGAATTCATAATTAATCATGTAGATAAAAATGTTTACTTCATACTTGATAACTGACTATCACACGTACCTTGAAACCAAAAAATGCCTTATATAATCTTTGAGGACTGCATGCGAAATGGAAAATGATCCAAACCACAAGACGTTGTTCTCGATACCATCGTACCGCTTCTTGTTTGTGCATGTAGAACACGGTCGATAATACACTAAAAAATTCACAGAAGATTGTAGTCGTGACACTAATACAAAGAAAGTAATAAATAATTCAGTTTACAAACCATTCACACAGTGGAAATCATAAAGATACGCCACATGACAGCCTTCCACATCCAGCCAGTCATCTGATACATCACGCTTATCCCAAGCAGCACCACAAGAGCAAGTACCACAAGCACTAGGTACGAATATCTTTGACCAGTTCATAGCCAGAAGCTTAGCAAAATGATTGGCATCATTCTCATCACAACCTGTGTGAAAAAATGAGTATTGAAAATTAAATGACGATTCCATGTTTTTTGGCCACCCATTACACAAACACATATATATTATTTCCATTTACTACACTACTTTACCTATTTCAAATAATTTAACTTTTTTTTCACTACGAGTTGCCAACTCGTAGTAATTTCTCATTTCAGGTGAGGTTTCAAAAGCTAACTTAAAATATGCTAGCTGCGAGTCGTCATCATCTTGTACGATTTCCAGCGCCTTCCCAAGAGTTGTAACATGAATGCAGAGGTAAGATGAACAATTAGAACATCTTAGCTCTGCTTGAGGTAGTGCTACTTTAGAATAAGTAAATGTGCACACGCCCCATTCGCGATTGACTGGTTTTACAGCAATCCAGTTGGGACCACCACTAACGGCTTTAAACAAGTCCTGTAACATGAAAGGAGCTATCGTAGAACATATTATAATTTAATCAATGACTGCAAGTAAAAACCTCTTTAGGAAACATTCCACAGTATGAATGATCTATTGGGTCAGATGTTCCTGATTTTTCCACAACTTAAAAAATTAAAAAAACAAACATACCATCAATTTTATGCAAAATTACTTTTTTCACAGGTTGGCATGATATTAGCATACTGTTCTCATATAGCAAAATAACCACCATTCTGCATTATTACATGTTTCTGGATGTAGATCGTCCAGGTTAGTAGAGTCCTGAAAATGACTGTTATTGTTGGTGTTGACTGACGTTTCTACAACCTTAGCGGTAGTCATCTTCAAAAATTTTTGATCTGAACATCAACACAAACAGTCCTTCTCAGGACTCAACTACCTGGACGACCTACATCCACAAACATGTCACGATACTCCCGAGTTCAAACCATTTACTTTATTCTGCATTATGAGAACAATAACATACTCTTGAAAAAACTTGATTCTTGTGAGGTTATTCCCAAATTTTCATCATAAGTCTCCAAAAATCTTTCCATTGCCAATATATGTAAGCATTTTGGATAGCTTACAACTATTAAAAGAGTATTCCAGAAGTTAGTGCTTAAATTTACAATTAGTCATTTTTAATAATCTTGTATACCTTTATCTGTACTTAAATTAGTATTTGAGCTAAGGGCCTGCACAAATTCCAGTCGCAATCGATCACATGAACAGCCAAACAACCAGACAAATCCATTTACATGATAATGAGGGTACCGATGAACAAACACATATGAAGTGTGCTTAATTAAATGTAAAATATATATGAATATAACATTATAAAATACATTCACTACTAAGGAGCTCACCATAATTTTTCTTTTCTCCACATTATAGTCAAGAATAGCAAATGATTGATGTTCCCCCAAATTTGTTACTGCAGAAAATTGAAGCAATAACCCAGTATAATGCAAAACAGCTGCAATATTTTTCTAGAAAAAAACAATACATTTTGTTGGGAACTTAAATTCTTTGACTCAAGTTTAAATTGTTTCAAGAGGGAAAATAACTCCAGTCAACAAGTGGTTACAGTTTTTCTTCTAGGCAGAGAACGGAAATTACATTCATGATAAGTTTCATATGAAAACATTGTATGCCAGGGTTAGAGTGGTCAGTGTTAACACGCATATGTGCTTCCTAGGTTGTGGTAGGGTTCTTTTCTGTGAGACCAATGCATGTTATGAGTGTGTTGTTTCTCCTAAAGTTTTACATTATCTTGGTGATTATTTGAACAAGTTTCCATTAAGGGAGAAATATTTATCTTGTTGACATAGTGATTATTGAGTCATGAATAAGTTGTTATGATTGTCAATAATGTTTGATTATGAATGCTAACTGAAGTATTTAAAGATTTATTTGATATATAATATTTTATGATATGCTTATTAATTTGAGAAATGAAAACATGATTAAGGTGTTTCACTATAAACATTACTCACAATAAGCTTAGTCAACTTATAGTCACTTTTATATATTTATACATAAACATTGTGTCCTCCTCATGATTACCATATACATAGATATACATAATATGTATTATATTATTATTACATATTATGTCACTAGCTAGATAAATTGTTCATATATTAATATATGTATATTTCAACATGCATAACTCATTTATAGATGGTAATGCACTTTGGCAGAAAGTATTATTGCATATTATAGGTGAGAATCACATTAAATACATTATAGTAGATTGCATCAAGCATAAATCCTGAGTTAAGTTTTAAACTATTAAGATTTCATCTTATCTGTGCTACTTTATTTCATATTGCTCTGAGCACTATATTTGTATCTGCAAGTTGCACTTACTTCATCAGGTTGAGATTTGTCGACATCAACGGTAATAGTTTCATCAATATTCTGGGAAATCTAAAGAGTTTATAATATTACTTTGGCTTTCTGACAAGCATAAAGAATTTACTGTATTACTTTACAGAAACCTGAATAATTCAACTAAAAACTAACCAGATGCAACGGTTGTTCAAGAGTGATGTTTGACTCAACACATTCTTCTAACAATGGATGATCATCATGCATTTCCTAAGAGAAAGTTTGCAATGCTCCATATATGATAAGTAACATATTTAATTTTTCATTTCACCTAAGGTTCACAACTTTAATGCAACACATCCCACACAGATATTTCAGACTTCATAATTTTGAGATACTTAGAGACTAACCACATTACATTCCACTTCGTAGTCTTCGTTTGATTTAGATTGACTGCTATGAGGGGCCATCTATTTTGTGATGAAACAATGTATTATAAGTTGTCAACTAAAACATATTTCACACATATGTTTACTACCACTAAACAATTAACTTGCAATAGGAAGAAAATGTATCTGTTCGGCTGCTGGTGGGCTTACAACAATCAAGCTTAAATGCAACATATTTCCTTCTTACCTTTCTGTACAAGCTTTCGTTGAACAGGCCAAAATTTTATAAGCAACATAATTGTACTAATATGTACAGAGACCTTGCAGAGAGCAAAGTAGGAACCCCAAAATAGTTCACAAATTCCAAAGTCAACTATCAATTCTTGCACATTAGTGAATATGTTAAAATATTTAAACCAAAGAGGGCTATCTATATGTACTTGAAACAATGTATACCACCACAATTATCATCCGTAGATAACTCCCCTAGAAATGCAAGTGAATGAATGGCTTTAATAATTTCACAATCATAAGCATTATGTAATACGAAAAGCAGCTTGATTGTTTGTAGCCCACCAACAGCAAATTTCCATCATGAAAGTATATGGATGGAGAGTATTATCTCAAAGATCAGATGTGGTAGTTGAAATGAAACTTCATTTCTTAAGTTGAAGCTGAAATTGAGTTACTTGAAACAAATTAATTTTTATCCTACCGAATCAATAGGTGATCGTCGAGGGCCTCGAGTGTAGAAAAACGTCTTTGAACGCTTAAACTTTTTCCCAAAACGATACATTTTTTCATTAACCTTCGAAACTCCAATAGCCAATTTGTTGTTAGGAAGTTACTACTCCACGTGACTTTGATTTAACGGAAGATATCAATTTGCATTACCATATGAATTAAATATCTAGTAGCAAATCTACTACAAGTGTAAATATGCCACGTTGCCAATTTGTGTTAACTGTGAGAGTTATTTTAAACATATTATTTCAAATAAAACATAAAGATTCCATTAATGATCACTCTATACGTGTTAAAACATAAAAAAGTTTGTAAAATGTAGATGGTTGTAAGTGTGGTTATGCATACCATTTTCCAGTAGTAAAACATACCACGAAGTTTGTATTGCGTCCATTTTCTTGTAGGTATAACATCACTTACAACCACGCGAATAAAGGAGGTATCCGCTGTACACTGGTAAAGACAACTCAGAAATAGTACATAGTAAAACAGGAATCGTATGAATTCGATCATTAATAAAAGCTCTGGAATCACTAGTATAGAACCTAACGAACACGAATAATTTAATCCAATAAAATTTAAAAGATCGATACCATGAACAAAAAACGCCTGTACGTGAGGTTACAAGGGATTAGAACTTTGATTTATAGAAGTATAACCATCGTGGTTATCCATACCATTTTCTGTATGTTATATAATATCTGAAATTTTACTAATTTTCTCATCTGGTTTACACCATAGTGACACACAAACACGAAATTTTAAGTCCTCGTGAAAATTTACTTGTTTTTTAGACATCATTTCATCATGGTTATACATACCATTTTCCGGTATGTTATATAATATCTGAAATTTTACTAATTTTCTCATATGGTTTACACCATAGTGACACACAAACACGAAATTTTAAGTCCTCGTAAAAATTTACTTGTTTTTAGACATCATTTCGTCATGGTTATACATACCATTTTCCGGTATGTTTTATAATCTCTGAAATTTTACTAATTTTCTCATCTGGTTTACACCATAGTGACACACAAACACGAAATTTTAAGTCCTCGTAAAAATTTACTTGATTTTTATCCATCATTTCATCATGGTTATACATACCATTTTCCGGTATGTTTTATAATATCTGAAATTTACTAATTTTCTCATCTGGTTTACACCATTGTGTCGCACAAACACGAAATTTTAAGTCCTCCTAAAAATTTACTTGTTTTTTATCCATCATTTCATCATGGTTATACATACCATTTTCCGGTATGTTTTATAATATCTGAAATTTTACTAATTTTCTCACCTGTACCAAATATACAATTTCGAAAATAGCAAAAAGTTGTCATATTCCATGTATGAAACCATTGACGCAAGTGGCTTCATTACAGAGTTACACTGCTCTGCAGCTTGGCTGTTGTGCGTTTTTAAAATGGGATATCTATTAATATCGTATCCCTCAGAGCAACCTATAAGAGTCAAAGATATGAGTCGTTTCAATTTCGACACACTTAGCATAATAAAATACGAGTTTTATACCAGAATGGTTTCTCCAATGAAACTTGTCGACGATGAATTTGGATTTTTTAAAAAAAGCAGGATCGCGGTTAAGGCAGTACTCGTGTAGTTTGCACGCGTTGTCATAGATCACTAGTTCAGGAGCTAAACATTATAAGTTTATTTGTTTACAATTGGGAGTAACGAAACGCTAACAATTTCACAATTCTCATAAAAGAATGAGAAATACCTCAAAAACTTCAAATTACCTTCAGAAAATCGAGTTCTTAAAATGGTAAAAGGAACATTGGGTGATTCATGATCGGGCATCACTTGAAAGCCGTAACAAATACCTAAAAACAATAAAAATCTCATAATTTTCAATGAGGAGAGTTTACGGGATGAATTTTCCTGTCATTCTATGATCAAGAACATTAATGCTTCTTTGCCATACCGTGCGGACATAAAATAAGGAATATCCCAGGAATTAAAGACCCATGCTTCTTCTTTGAACGAACGCCTTTGGCACAATCATCTAAATGACCAGCTCTTTTTGTGTCAAGAACATAGTGCCCACGTTCAACAAGAGAAGGCAAAGATGGAAAAAAACCTAACTGACCATCACACTGAACTTGGGGAAGGTTGTGGGGCAAACGCTCACACCCGTTTTCGTCAGTAAAAGGACTGGACGCTTTGGCGACCATTTCCCCACACAAAACACGTATGGGGTTTGGCAGCTCTGCAAAATGATTGCAAAGACAAAACAAGAGGGGGACCTGTTCGTGCAAAAGTTGTAAATCAGACAATGGATTGTCCTTTGGATTTGCTCCGTTGGCAATTCTGATCAACAAATCCTTCACCTCTCTCACAGGAGGTACAATTGCACAAACAGGTTTATCTGACGCAAGTGCTTTGAGAAGTCTTATGCAAGGTTCTGGAAACGTGACACCAAAATGTTCCTCTCTAAGGGATACGATTAGCATTTTTAGGCCAGGAGATGAAATCTAAATAAACGAGCAATAGTAAAATAGCCTGTAAAAATAGCTACAACATGTTCTTAGCATATTGTACATCAATAAACAACTAACAACATTCATACTTCCGAGGTTAATTCCACGAGTTCGTCTTCTGTAATTTGGTTCTTTATAAATTTCTTCAACAACTCTCTGCCTCTTCCGATTGAGGAAGTTCCGCGTTTCGAACCTAGTGTTGGAAAAAATCCGCCCCAAAATAAAACACATGTCCAGCTAGCCAATGAAAAAATACACACCCAGAAAAAACACTTATCTTCCATCCATCGTAGGGCCTTCTGGGGGAGCTACCTTACGAGGCAAGAAGGTTTTTTGGATACCAAGTGCCGTACCGTCCATAACAACTTTTTTCAGATGTTTTCCACAGATGTTACAATGAAAAGCGTCAACAAAGTCAATGTCAAGTAATCTAAATAGCGTAAAAAATCAGTGTTGTATCCAGCAAGGATTTTTTAGATCTATGGTTAAAAACCAATTAACATAGTTATTCTTAAAAGCGGATACAATACTGCCTGTTTTGTCAACAAAATAAATAAGAATGCCATTTGATCTATTCAGTGTTGCCACTTCATAAGGAAAGTAAAATGATAGTAAATAAATGTTCAGACTTTCTTGGACATTAAAAGTAGGATAGTGTTTTCATTTTTTGTACCTCTCTATGTACCCTTTGTTGACCATTACCTACAGGTGGGAGCACCTCTGTGCACCCACACTCCCCACCCTTATCATAAATTCACCACCAATGAAATGATCAAATGCTAAACATACGTAAGTGCTACAGATATATATATATATTGGTAGCATACGTACTTTTATCATTTATATTTAGCATTACAACAAAAGTTAATTTAAACAAACGAATATCCGATCAAATAAACTTTTAAATACATGTAACTCACCTAAAAAATTGGTGCAGGTTGAAATAAAAAAAAAAAGTTACCTAATCATTGCAGTAACTGCCAGACGAAACTTGGTGTAAGTTATAATGCCAGAAAAATTCAAATTTCCTGACATAACTTGTCTTTGGACGTACGTCACGTAATATTTATACATGGGCAGGCTAAACCATTTAAAAGATGAAAAGATATTTTCATGAATTCATAATTAATCATGTAGATAAAAATGTTTACTTCATACTTGATAACTGACTATCACACGTACCTTGAAACCAAAAAATGCCTTATATAATCTTTGAGGACTGCATGCGAAATGGAAAATGATCCAAACCACAAGACGTTGTTCTCGATACCATCGTACCGCTTCTTGTTTGTGCATGTAGAACACGGTCGATAATACACTAAAAATTCACAGAAGATTGTAGTCGTGACACTAATACAAAGAAAGTAATAAATAATTCAGTTTACAAACCATTCACACAGTGGAAATCATAAAGATACGCCACATGACAGCCTTCCACATCCAGCCAGTCATCTGATACATCACGCTTATCCCAAGCAGCACCACAAGAGCAAGTACCACAAGCACTAGGTACGAATATCTTTGACCAGTTCATAGCCAGAAGCTTAGCAAAATGATTGGCATCATTCTCATCACAACCTGTGTGAAAAAATGAGTATTGAAATTTAAATGACGATTCCATGTTTTTTGGCCACCCATTACACAAACACACATATATTATTTCCATTTACTACACTACTTTACCTATTTCAAATAATTTAACTTTTTTTTCACTACGAGTTGCCAACTCGTAGTAATTTCTCATTTCAGGTGAGGTTTCAAAAGCTAACTTAAAATATGCTAGCTGCGAGTCGTCATCATCTTGTACGACTTCCAGCGCCTTCCCAAGAGTTGTAACATGAATGCAGAGGTAAGATGAACAATTAGAACATCTTAGCTCTGCTTGAGGTAGTGCTACTTTAGAATAAGTAAATGTGCACACGCCCCATTCGCGATTGACTGGTTTTACAGCAATCCAGTTGGGACCACCACTAACGGCTTTAAACAAGTCCTGTAACATGAAAGGAGCTATCGTAGAACATATTATAATTTAATCAATGACTGCAAGTAAAAACCTCTTTAGGAAACATTCCACAGTATGAATGATCTATTGGGTCAGATGTTCCTGATTTTTCCACAACTTAAAAAATTAAAAAAACAAACATACCATCAATTTTATGCAAAATTACTTTTTTCACAGGTTGGCATGATATTAGCATACTGTTCTCATATAGCAAAATAACCACCATTCTGCATTATTACATGTTTCTGTATGTAGATCGTCCAGGTTAGTAGAGTCCTGAAAATGACTGTTATTGTTGGTGTTGACTGACTTTCTACAACCTTAGTGGTAGTCATCTTCAAAAATTTTTGATCTGAACATCAACACAAACAGTCCTTCTCAGGACTCAACTACCTGGACGACCTACATCCACAAACATGTCACGATACTCCCGAGTTCAAACCATTTACTTTATTCTGCATTATGAGAACAATAACATACTCTTGAAAAAACTTGATTCTTGTGAGGTTATTCCCAAATTTTCATCATAAGTCTCCAAAAATCTTTCCATTGCCAATGTATGTAAGCATTTTGGATAGCTTACAACTATTAAAAGAGTATTCCAGAAGTTAGTGCTTAAATTTACAATTAGTCATTTTTAATAATCTTGTATACCTTTATCTGTACTTAAATTAGTATTTGAGCTAAGGGCCTGCACAAATTCCAGTCGCAATCGATCACATGAACAGCCAAACAACCAGACAAATCCATTTGCACGATAATGAGGGTACCGATGAACAAACACATATGAAGTGTGCTTAATTAAATGTAAAATATATATGAATATAACATTATAAAATACATTCACTACTAAGGAGCTCACCATAATTTTCTTTTCTCCACATTATAGTCAAGAATAGCAAATGATTGATGTTCCCCCAAATTTGTTACTGCAGAAAATTGAAGCAATAACCCAGTATAATGCAAAACAGCTGCAATATTTTTCTAGAAAAAAACAATACATTTTGTTGGGAAGTTAAATTCTTTGACTCAAGTTTAAATTTTTCAAGAGGAAAATAACTCCAGTCAACAAGTGGTTACAGTTTTCTTCTAGGCAGAGAACGGAAATTACATTCATGATAAGTTTCATATGAAAACATTGTATGCCAGGGTTAGAGTGGTCAGTGTTAACACGCATATGTGCTTCCTAGGTTGTGGTAGGGTTCTTTTCTGTGAGACCAATGCATGTTATGAGTGTGTTGTTTCTCCTAAAGTTTTACATTATCTTGGTGATTATTTGAACAAGTTTCCATTAAGGAGAAATATTTATCTTGTTGACATAGTGATTATTGAGTCATGAATAAGTTGTTATGATTGTCAATAATGTTTGATTATGAATGCTAACTGAAGTATTTAAAGATTTATTTGATATATAATATTTTATGATATGCTTATTAATTTGAGAAATGAAAAACATGATTAAGGTGTTTCACTATAAACATTACTCACAATAAGCTTAGTCAACTTATAGTCACTTTTATATATTTATACATAAACATTGTGTCCTCCTCATGATTACCATATACATAGATGGTAACCCTGCACTTTGGCTGGAAAGTATATTATTGCATATTATAGGTGAGGATCACATTAAATACATTGCATCAAGCATAAAATCCTGAGTTAAGTTTTAAACTATTAAGATTTCATCTTATCTGTGCTACTTTATTTCATATTGCTCTGAGCACTATATTTGTATCTGCAAGTTGCACTTACTTCATCAGGTTGAGATTTGTCGACATCAACGGTAATAGTTTCATCAATATTCTGGGAAATCAAAAGAGTTTATAATATTACTTTGGCTTTCTGACAAGCATAAAGAATTTACTGTATTACTTTACAGAAACCTGAATAATTCAACTAAAAACTAACCAGATGCAACGGTTGTTCTATAATCTCATGTATATTGGTGTCATACAATTAATATAAACGTCATAACTTCATAAGGAATTTCCTAACAAATTTGTAATTTTAAAAATTAACAAATTATATAACCTGTTAGAGCTAAACCATTGTTGTTTGTTTATGTAATATCATGATTCTTACATGCCAGTTTATACTTTTGGAAAACCTTTTAAAACATTATATCAAATTATCATAGCAAGCTTCTTGTAAACAATCCAAAATTAATGAACAGAGGAAGTTAAGAAGTTTGATGCATAATTTAGAAAAACATGGCACTACATTAACTAAAATTTAATATAACAAGCATTTTGAAATCAGCAAATCGTGAGAATAATGATTGCAATGAAAAATGTTTCATTGCAAAATAAGGTTTATTTCCATATGTGGGTTGAAATTATCTCGATTCCCAATGTTATTCAACCATACTTTTGTCTTTCAGATAGATGTTATTGTAAACAAGATAAAATTTCGTAAACCAACCTTGTAGTTCAAGAACAATCTTTGAATTCGATCATGGTTTAAATTTGTGTTGCAACATATATATATATATACGAGAAAACCAATAAATATAATACAATATACAAAACGGTACAAAAAACCGAATAATCCACGGACGCATAACGCTTATTCGCGATTTACATGGAAAAAGTCACTGTGGAATACCGCAACCGCAATTAAGCGCAGTTTCGTATATGTGCATATCTCACCTATGATCTAACGCCGACCGAGCTGCACGGAGCTACACATTATCTAAAGAAACTGGAACCTAGTGTAATATATCTTGTAGAATGCGCAGAATACATTTCATTGACGCTTCGTAACGCATTTCTAAAAATTAGAACTGACGCTTTAAGCGTTTTAGAATTGGTGAAACGGGTGTTGCATGAAACGCAAACTAGTAATTAGGCAACAACAATGAAAACATAAGTTAAGATAATGTAATGAACGTTTTTTTGGTATCAAAGGCAAGCAGCACTAGTTTTTAGCAACACACAAATGTTGGTTTGGTACTCTTAGTGAGAAGTGAATATTGTCGAGGAATCACCGAATCAGCTCCTGCAATCAACCAATGGCTGATATATATTGTGTATATTGTTGTTAGGAAAATTTTCGGCTATTGTAACGCGTGAATTTACCTGATTTAACTGCTTGAATCTCAGCCATCTAGTAAAAATAAATAAACAATTAGATAAAAAAGTTTGTCAAAAAATCTCGCTTTATCACCAAACAATAGCGAGCTAAACCCTGTTAGTTCGTTAGCAAACCGGTTTTATTATAAATTGCTTCATTTATCAATATGTTTTATGTAAGGATTGTGAATTTTATTTGCCTTAAATGTATTAAAACATGCTTTGTAGTTTGTAATACAAGAAATCTTTCGTACCACTACTTTTAGGTTACACAAAAACATAACTGTTAAATAATAACTTGTTTCCCCGGCGTTTAGTGTTAGAAGCGTTAATGCTTTCAGAATTTTTATCATTTGTAATTTTGTATCAGTACTTTTGATTTTACTAAACCATTACGTGTACTCACCTAACAAATTTGAACACCCCAAGTTGGTTTAATTAAATATCACGTATCACCGTAGAATACACCGAAGAATCGATATGGTTTGCCTTGAAGTCACTTAAAAAGAGAAAGCTCGAAAAACGAAAGCAAAGAATGTGTAGTTAATCTGCTCAGATATCATATTTCTAGTCATCAAACGCTTATTGGCTTACCAACCAATTAACGGAACTTGACTGTCAAAACAGCTTGTAAGATTGACATTCAACAGGCAACAATTTTTTTCAACGGAAACAACAGCGCTGCAGCGCACATGTGCTGATATTGCGCAATAATTTCTCGCGCTGCGCGGCAAATTTCACAAATGCGCGGCGAACAAGAAATTTTTTAAAATCTGCGCGTCAGGACGCGCATTTCTCCCGAAATTGCGCAAGCTAGATCTAGGTTGCGCAAGACATACTTTCCAGTCTGGGCTCATTGCGATGTTGAGGATGAATCCAAAGATTTCAGTTTGTTGTTTTTGGAAGAACTCGTTCAAATGGGATTCAATAAGGTAGTTGAATTTAATAGCAGCTTTGCAATTTAGCAATTGAATGCAATTTCACAAATCATACCACCATACTTTAGTTGAAAGAGGGTGCTTGATTTTATTAATTTTTTTTGATTCTCAATTTCCCAAAACCATGTCCTTCAACAGGAAAAAGTTGAGTCAGCTCTTAAAGATGTTAACTACTGCAGTATCGAAGAAGCATTAGATATTTTGGCGACAAGCAATGATAAAAGGACCATGCAAAGCTCAAATCAAAAAATTGACATTAGACATGAAGGGCCTTCCTCTTCTAAACATGTTGCTCAAGTGGAAACTGACGTCCGCCTTGTTCCAGATGTTGCATGCAACACTGCTTTTTGTCGTGATGGTGTTTCCTCCACTTTGGAAATGTTGTTTGACAAAGCCAATGTTCAGACTGCAAATGATGCGCTTTGTGTCATTGTTCATGCTTTGATGCTTGAGTCAGGATTTTGTTTAAAGGTTAGATTTCAAATGGGCTTCTTTTTGAACTTTGCTGTAGTTTCTATGGAGTCACAGTGTTGAGTAAGATGTGATTAAACTGGAGAAATTACTGGCCATTTTTTAATATTTGTGAACTGAAATTTGTGATAGGTTAGTTGTCTGGGTGTTTTTGGGTTTTTTTCTACTGTTTATATTAATGTCCATCCAGATTATAAATGTTAAGGCCATCTCATCTTGAACATGTGGGAGAATTTGTTCCTCAAACTTTTTCCTCAAATTTGTTCATGGATTAAATACGTATTACACTAAACAAATTTTAGCAAATATTTGTTGCTGAAAAACATGGATGAGTTATGAAATTTTCAATTTGGATTATGTCATCTGAAAAAAATGAAGCCAATTGATTTGCAGATTCTCATATTGATTTTTCAGCTATAAGTTTTTTTTATCCATATCCATTGATTCATTTGACATTGCTGCGCTTGTTTTAATATAGGGTCTTTGTGAGTCTGATCCTCCTGAAATTTTACCATCTGGCTGGAATGATGGAGATATAGTGAAACTACACTATGTACATCATCTTACCTCAAGCATTGTTTGTCAACTGATATTTTCCAAACTTGGTCCATTTATCTATGCATATGGTAAGGTGAAAAAAAGTTTCTTGTTCCCATTAAATATTTAAAATTTTGTTTTGTTAAAATTCTGCAAAGACATCCTTGTAAAGCCCCCACTCCCCAAGGGTTAAGAGCACCTTGTTAAACTTACCAGGTTAGGACCTCCTTGTTAAACATTCCTTGTAAAGACCCCAAAGAAAAGACCCTAGGGAAAAGACCCCAAGGAAAAGACCTTAGGGAAAAGAACCTAGGGAAAGATCCTTGGGAAAAGACCCTAGGGAAAAGACCCCAAGGAAAAGACCCTAGGGAAAGACCCAAGGAAAAGACCTTAGGGAAAAGACCCTAGGGAAAGATCCTAGGGAAAAGACCCTAGGAAAAGACCCTAGGGAAAAGACCCCAAGGAAAAGACCCTAGGGAAAAGACCCTAGGGAAAGACCCTAGGGAAAAGACCCTAGGGAAAGATCCTAGGGAAAAGACCCTAGGGAAAGATCCTAGGGAAAGATCCTAGGAAAGACCCTAGGAAAAGACCCAAGGAAAAGACCCAAGGAAAGACCCTAGGAAAAGACCCCAAGGAAAAGACCCTAGGGAAGACCCCAAGGAAAAGACCTTAGGGAAAAGACCCTAGGGAAAGACCCAAGGGAAAGACCCTAGGGAAAAGACCCCAGGAAAAGACCCTAGGGAAAAGACCCTAGGGAAAGACCCTAGGGAAAGATCCTAGGAAAAGACCCTAGGGAAAGATCCTAGGGAAAAGACCCTAGGGAAAGACCCTAGGGAAAAGACCCCAAGGAAAAGACCCTAGGGAAAGATCCTAGGGAAAAGACCCTAGGGAAAGATCCTAGGGAAATGACCCTTGAGAAAAGACTCGAAGGCACCTGGGGAAAAGACCCCTGTGAAGAGACCTTCGAGGAAAGACCCTAGAGTACTTCCTTTCTTCATCGTCGTTGTCGTCATTGGCTACTATAACTCCAAATGTTTTATTAGATGAGACACTTTTTTATGCACATTGCTTTGCTTTAAGTAATTTGTCAACAAGATGTTGAACATGTTAAAACATTTTTATTGATGTTATGTTTTTTTAGTATAATGATATATATCTGTCTATAATTGCAGTTTGTTCAAAGGAGCTGAAATCCAGCACTTATCAAGTCAAGTTGAAGGTCTCCCATTACATTCGTTCAGATGTACCAATAAAGAATGGTAAATATTACTTTTATTGATAATATTTTGTTATTTTTTTTTGTCGAAAGACTACCACCAGTTATAGGTAGTCATACTCATTCAAATAATAAATCATGTGTATATATAGCAATCGTCGTGAACTATTTTACCGTGCTGCTGAGAATTCGTAGATCTTCCTATGACGCAAGTATATATTTCAAGAAACTTTTAAATTTTTAGGTGCGAGATCAACAACTAGAAATCTACACAAATTATCGACAACTGTGAAGAATAATCTCATTCATCCTTTCCATGCTAATTTACTATCACGTATGATTATTTTTTTCTATAAGATTCGAAATTATTTTCTTTGGCGCGCCACGTAATTCAAACTTGTCATTTTTGTTTTGTTTTACATGAAGTAATTTGATCATGTCTTTATTGTTTTTATTTCACACGACGCTGTGCATTTCGAACTCGTTTTCATTTTTTCTGTGATTTTAGATCTTGGTGTCATTTCGCCATATTCGTTGCATGGCTTACCTCCTGAGATTCAGGTAGTAAACCTCTATTTTGCCGGTTTGAAATGAACTATTTTTCCAATATAGTCGTGTTTTTCAGTTTTTTTCTGATTAGTCTATGTTCACTAAGATGACGTTCAGTCACGTTCAAAGTTAAAATTTTTCAATTTTGTAGTTGATGATTTTGAGCCTGCTCCCTGTTCGTGGTGTTCTCTCATTATCGGCGACTTGTAAAGCACTTCATGTTGTATGCAACGATGAGAAACTATGGCAGTACTTTTGTCAACGAGATTTCGGTTCGTAACACAATAAATATATGCGATGTCCTTTGCCATGGACATTTCTCTCGTCCAAAGCTTGCAATATTCATTATTGTACCTTCACACGAATCTAATTTAACGCACTTTTATATGGTGGTATTGAACTCTTAAACAACCTTCACACGAATCTTATTTAACGCACTTTTATGTGGTGGTATTGAACTCTTAAACAACCTTTACACGAATCTTATTTAACGCACTTTTATATGGTGGTATTGAACTCTTGAACAACTTTCGTTCTTTTGCAGCTGCTGAAAGCAACGATCGAAGTTGGAAAGAGGTTCGTTATCTACCTTAATATATTAGTTGTTGATGTTTACTGGATGTTTTTGTCCTCTCCTTTCAATCAAAGGCTGTTTATGGATAGCTCTTACACTCAGTTGTTAACACATATTTTCAAAGCGTTCATCTGACACTCGGGCACTTTTCTAAAATTACTATAAAGGTTTAGTGTTTGCTTTGAGGGGGTCGAGAGAAAGAAGATTTGAGTTGGGGAAATATTTAGCCCTGTCTCCAAAGACGATGCTCTCGTACGCCTATCCTTGATTCCCTCGTTCTCCGTATTTGAGAGCTGTTGCTGTTCGTAGTTTGTGAAGTGTACTTACCTTGATCAAAGCTTATTCAAATGACAATTGAAACTGCAGGCCTTTTGAGAGTTACTTTTTCTTTGACTGCGAATTCTTTGCTTTGTTGCCCATAATTGCTTATATTGTATTAATTTGTTGTAGAATCATTACAGTTTCTGGATAGTAGTATCTGTTTTCATGTTTATTATATTCATCATGTCTTTGTCAAGACGAATCTCCGCTCGTTTTCAAGCTATTTTTTTGGTTCTTATTTTTCTTATTCAAATAGTGTTTACTTTTACTGCCTATTTTTTTGCAGTATTACAAAAAGCGCTACAAGCAACGTCAACAATACCGACTAGATACAAGAACCCCCATCTATCAACCAATCATCCAAAGTGTTCCGCCTCCTTTAAATCCATTCCTACCACGAGTACCCCAAATTTTAGGTAAGGTCTCAGTCGTCTCACTTGACTCATGTTGTCTCTTGTTCATTTTACATGTGAAAATCACGTGGACATTGCTGTGTTTTGTTGTCCATTACAGAGTTAATGCTAAATGGAGAGGGGGAGCCATGGAGCGAATATCCTTTTTATCAATCCACATCCATGCCATTTATTGATCATATATGCCATTCATGCATCATTCATCCACCATCCATCGCATTCATCCATCCATCCCATTCATCAATCATCCATCCCATTCATCCATCATCCATCGACCATCCATCCCATTCATCCATCATCCATCCATCATTCATCCATCATCCATCCCATTCATCCATAATCCATCCCAATCATCCATCATCCATCCCAATCATCCATCGTCCATCCATTATTCATCCATCATTCATACGTCATTCATCCATCATCCATCCCATCCATCCATCATCCTTCCCATTCATCCATCACCTATCCATTAACCATCCATCATCCATCCCATTGATCCATCATTTCTGTCATATATTTGAGCAATGTTTGCAAATGTTAAGAATAATACTTTTGTAATTATGTTGCACAATAATATCGGTTGAAACTAAATGTATTTACGTGTGTGGAAGGTGAGGAGCAGACGGGGGGTGCGGCCAGTTTCTTTTTGACAAACTTAGAGTTCAGGTTCCTAAGTGATCCCAATCATTGAGAGCCTGACCACCCCCGACTACACCGAATCAAGTTCGGTGGAAAAGAAAATGAAAAAAATTTGTGTTCCGTACTTCACCGCAACGTGTCGATAATGATGACCTAATGCTATGTCCGTGAATATAGCTTGCGATATATGATACTCGTTTTCAGTCTGCGCGCGCCGTTCCTACGATATTAACCTTGGTTACTGCATAACCTCATTTAACACCTAACAACGAAGTGGGTTCGTGTACAGTCTGTGCGGTAAATTCTTTTGGACTTTATATGAGTTTGGTAAATTTTGTTTACTCTTTAAGGTGGCCCACACGACTTGTTTCCAGACTTCTTAACTGGTCAACCGAGGACTCAACCTGATTTAAGAATTCTCCGTCCAGATGATCGATCAAGGTCAGATTTGCGATTGAGCACTGCCGATAGGGTCATGCAGGGGACTTTTTTTGCTTGAATGAAGAACATTTCTGTTGTTGATCATTAAAACGCATCTTTACCCTTGTAAAGCCACCACGCTTGTCTACCTTTCAAACATTTCACATTTAACCTTTTTTGCCACGCTGCCGGAGTAATTTAAAGATTTTACTATGTGCCTCGTCATGTAATTTGTCGTTTCAGAGAGACACCACAAGAAGTAGTTATTTCTTAAGAGAGGACATTTACAATACCTCGTAGTACTTCGTATTGTCTTAATTTGATGCATATTTAAGGTTTTAGCTCTTGCGAAGAAGGCAAGTATTTCATTTAAAATGAATAAAGCAATGTTCAAGCGTGTAAAGATATATTACTCTACAAACGCTCAATTGCAGTTTTGATTTTAAAACTTTGTCGCGTTACTTATGTATTTTATCGCCAAAAACTCTGACATTTAAGCCAAGCACCGCTTCATCTCTACTTGACGCATTTAATTTTTCTAGTTCACCTCCTAGACTACGATGTGCTGTGTCTATCCTGAAGATTTCGTTGATGTAGTGTCTCTCGTGAGATGTTTTGAGCGTAGTGCGAAGCTCAAAGTTTAATGAAAATGATAATTTTCAAGACATTCGTTGCTGACATTTAAATAAGCGCCGCTCTATATCTACTTGATGCAGTCGAGTCCATTCGAGTCCTTTTCAATGCCCTCTAAGTCTATCCTTGAGATTTGCTTGTTGTGGATATATATCTTGAGATATCACTTGGGCGCAGTGCAAATACCTAAGTTTCAAAAAAATATTCTATTTTAAACAAGCCCCGCTTCATATCTATTTCACGCAGGTTAATTTTCTAGTTCATCTCCGAGAGGATAATGTGCTGAGTCTATCCTGAAGATTTCATTTTACATTACAAGACGTAATTTCTAATTGAAAATCGGCGAAATTATTAAATCGCTTTGAACGATGGAAAATAGGAACAATTTACGGCGGTAATTTGAATAGAGACAAAGGTGGAGGAAAAATCATTGAGAAAGTTACTTTAATTTCTTCCTTAAGAAGAATTAAGGTATTGTCATGGAAGTAGCACAAGAAAACCACGACTTACAAACGTAAGTTTATGAATATTTTGGTTATACGAAAATAAGTATTTCTATTGAAAAGCTCCAAGTTCTTTCTGTAATTTCCGCTTGTTTAACATGGTTGTGTTTGTCATTCTGCAGTGGTGCCAGATTCTGACATTGGCAGTTACCTGTATCTCACTCTTGCATTACAAAGACTTGTGAACATCTTGCTATTTGTGCTCTTAGACACTTCTGTTTTGTGGACGAGCTTCCATTGCCATTTGCTATGCAGACATGTTTGTTTGATGTTTAATTTGATAGTTCTGCATACTGACATTCTCAAAAATCCTCAATGCAGTGTCTCGTCTTTCAAAATGAAAGTTTAATACAATGATTTCTATTTTTGTCTTTTCTATTTAGTAAGGATGAAGGAGAGTTGGACATTAAATCCATCTTACAAACTTTTTTGCTGATTTCCCATCCGAAAGCGGTATAACTTAATGTCTTAGTAAAAAATTTTCGTTAGGTTTAAAGTTTCAAAAGTGCGTAGTGCATGGCTAGAGAATGTTTGCTGTATTGCTATGAACCGTAGCACAGTATCGAGAACATACAGTAGAGCCACTCCATTGAATTTTTTCGTGCCGCACATATCTTATTACGCATGTGATTACCATATTGGCATAGCGAAGTTAATGATGCGCTGTCATCAACCATGGACAAGTGTGTGTTATACTGTCATCTAACATAGAGAAATGTATGTTATCCTGTCATCAATCTTAGAGAGTGTATGCTATACTTACCTCTTTCATAGAGAAGTGTATGCTATACTGTAATTAACCATAGAGAAATGTATGCTATACTGTAATTAACCATAGAGAAGTGTATGCTTTACTGTCATTAACCATAGAGAAATGTATGCTATACTGTAATTAACCATAGAGAAGTGTATGCTTTACTGTCATTAACCATAGAGAAATGTATGCTATACTGTAATTAACCATGGAGAAATGTATGCTATACTGTAATTAACCATAGAGAAGTGTATGCTATACTTTCATTAACTATAGAGAAATGTATGCTATACTGTAATTAACCATAGAGAAATGTATGCTATACTGTCATTAACCATAGAGAAGTGTATGCTATACTGTAATTAACCATAGAGAAATGTATGCTATACTGTAGTTAACCATAGAGAAATGTATGCTATACTGTCATTAACCATAGAGAAGTGTATGCTATACTGTAATTAACCATAGAGAAATGTATACTATACTGTAATTAACCATAGAGAAATGTATGCTATACTGTAATTAACCATAGAGAAATGTATGCTATACTGTCATTAACCATAGAGAAATGTATGCTATACTGTCATTAACCATAGAGAAATGTATGCTATACTGTCATTAACCATAGAGAAATGTATGCTATACTGTAATTAACCATAGAGAAATGTATGCTATACTGTCATTAACCATAGAGAAATGTGTGCTATACTGCCATCAACGAAAGAGAAGTGTTTGAGTATGCTATATGATTCATCAACCTGAAGGGTATATGAGTACTATATATGCAATCTAATAGTCAGCCTTTGACATGTTTTCATTATATTGTAGGGTTGGGTATAATAGTGTTCATATTTATGTTCATTTTATGTTGGCCATAAACTACAAGTACTCTGTTCAATTAGTGAAAGATGTCTCTTTCTTAATACAGACGCAACCAAGCTTCACTCAAAAGAAAAAAAGTTCACTGCAACATTGGATCTTCTTCTGAAAAGTGTAAAAACTTATCAGTATTTCTTTTACAATGGCAACAACTCATTTCATAAAGAGGAATATTGTAAGTTAGTTGAATTTTTGCATTATATTTTATCAAAATAATGTGGAAGAATTAGATAAAATGTCATTACACCATTGTATGTTGGCTTGTTTTAGATTTTTCCTACTGGATTGTTTATCGTCTTGTTGCCATTTTATCGATGACTCATACGCAACCAGAACTTCATCAAAAGTCAGCCAGAGCTGTTTTTTCTTTATCAACGGTTAATATCACTTCCAGTTTGCCATTTTGTCAGTTTTATTCCTTAAATGAATTATGCAAGAAATGAAATAATATCTTTATAGTGAATAGTGAATTTCTATTTTTCAACATTGTGGCAAAATCAAATAAAGTGCAAATATATTAAAATATATAATATGGGCAGTATATTTTGCAAAAAGGTGAATGAAAAGGTCCTTTTGTTGCAGTTGACTATTGTCAATTTAATTCAGCCAATCAGAATCAAGCTGATAGTTAAGTTTACACGGTTTTTAGATTTTTAAGCATTGACATTGTTGCTCTATGAAATGAAACTGACATGTTTGTTTTGGTGTGAAGTTATCCTGACTATTATAGAAAAATTTAAGAATGTTTTTATGTAGTAATAAAATAATTTACATCACTGAATAATAAAATTCCTAACCCCAGGACTCATGCTTGTGAATGACTTAAATCCACATGTTCAATTGATATTGATTCAATTGATATTGATATTGATATTGATTGCTATTGATATTGATATTGATATTGATATTGATATTGTTATATTTTGGGAGAAAACTAACTCAAATCTTCGTTATTTTAGTTGTTGAAGTACAAACATCACAAGCTTTACATCATAATTATGCGGACGTTGGTGAAAGTTGTTGAAGGTAATATTTGCCTCTGTGCATTTTATCAACAGTTGCAGCAATAAATAAGAGCCCTCTAGTAAGGTTGAGGGAGGGTAGGGTAAGTGTAATATTTGCCTCTGTGCATTTTATCAACAGTTGCAGCTATAGATAAGAGCCCTCTAGTTAGGTTGATGGAGGGTAGGGTAAGTGTAATATTTGGCTCTGTACATTTTATCAACAGTTGCAGCTATAGATAAGAGCCCTCTAGTAAGGTTGAGGGAGGGTAGAGTAAGTGTAATATTTGGCTCTGTACATTTTATCAACAGTTGCAGCTATAGATAAGAGCCCTCTAGTAAGGTTGAGGGAGGGTAGGGTAATTGTAATATTTGGCTCTGTGCATTTTATCAACAGTTGCAGCTATAGATAAGAGCCCTCTAGTAAGGTTGAGGGAGGGTAGGGTAAGTGTAATATTTGGCTCTGTGCATTTTATCAACAGTTGCAGCTATAGATAAGAGCCCTCTAGTAAGGTTGAGGGAGGGTAGAGTAAGTGTAATATTTGGCTCTGTACATTTTATCAACAGTTGCAGCTATAGATAAGAGCCCTCTAGTAAGGTTGAGGGAGGAAAGGGTAATTGTAATATTTGGCTCTGTGCATTTTATCAACAGTTGCAGCTATAGATAAGAGCCCTCTAGTAAGGTTGAGGGAGGGTAGGGTAAGTGTAATATTTGGCTCTGTGCATTTTATCAACAGTTGCAGCTATAGATAAGAGCCCTCTAGTAAGGTTGAGGGAGGGTAGAGTAAGTGTAATATTTGGCTTTGTGCATTTTATCAACAGTTGCAGCTATAGATAAGAGCCCTCTAGTAAGGTTGAGGAAGGGTAGGGTAAGTGTAATATTTGGCTCTGTGCATTTTATCAACAGTTGCAGCTATAGATAAGAGCCCTCTAGTAAGGTTGAGGGAGGGTAGGGTAAGTGTAATATTTTGCTCTGTGCATTTTATCAACAGTTGCAGCAATAGATAAGAGCCCTCTAGTAAGGTTGAGGGAGGGTAGAGTAAGTGTAATATTTGGCTCTGTACATTTTATCAACAGTTGCAGCTATAGATAAGAGCCCTCTAGTAAGGTTGAGGGAGGGTAGAGTAAGTGTAATATTTGGCTCTGTACATTTTATCAACAGTTGCAGCTATAGATAAGAGCCCTCTAGTAAGGTTGAGGGAGGGTAGGGTAATTGTAATATTTGGCTCTGTGCATTTTATCAACAGTTGCAGCTATAGATAAGAGCCCTCTAGTAAGGTTGAGGGAGGGTAGGGTAAGTGTAATATTTGGCTCTGTGCATTTTATCAACAGTTGCAGCTATAGATAAGAGCCCTCTAGTAAGGTTGAGGGAGGGTAGAGTAAGTGTAATATTTGGCTCTGTACATTTTATCAACAGTTGCAGCTATAGATAAGAGCCCTCTAGTAAGGTTGAGGGAGGGTAGGGCAATTGTAATATTTGGCTCTGTGCATTTTATCAACAGTTGCAGCTATAGATAAGAGCCCTCTAGTAAGGTTGAGGGAGGGTAGGGTAAGTGTAATATTTGGCTCTGTGCATTTTATCAACAGTTGCAGCTATAGATAAGAGCCCTCTAGTAAGGTTGAGGGAGGGTAGAGTAAGTGTAATATTTGGCTCTGTGCATTTTATCAACAGTTGCAGCTATAGATAAGAGCCCTCTAGTAAGGTTGAGGGAGGGTAGGGTAAGTGTAATATTTGGCTCTGTGCATTTTATCAACAGTTGCAGCTATAGATAAGAGCCCTCTAGTAAGGTTGAGGGAGGGTGGGGTAAGTGTAATATTTGGCTCTGTACATTTTATCAACAGTTGCAGCTATAGATAAGAGCCCTCTAGTAAGGTTGAGGGAGGGTAGTGTAAGTGTAATATTTGGCTCTGTGCATTTTATCAACAGTTGCAGCTATAGATAAGAGCCCTCTAGTAAGGTTGAGGGAGGGTAGAGTAAGTGTAATATTTGGCTCTGTGCATTTTATCAACAGTTGCAGCTATAGATAAGAGCCCTCTAGTAAGGTTGAGGGAGGGTATAGTAAGTGTAATATTTGGCTCTGTGCATTTTATCAACAGTTGCAGCTATAGATAAGAGCCCTCTAGTAAGGTTGAGGGAGGGTAGGGTAAGTGTAATATTTGGCTCTGTGCATTTTATCAACAGTTGCAGCTATAGATAAGAGCCCTCTAGTAAGGTTAAGGGAGGGTAGGGTAAGTGTAATATTTGGCTCTGTGCATTTTATCAACAGTTGCATCTATAGATAAGAGCCCTCTAGTAAGGTTGAGGGAGGGTAGGGTAAATGTATTATTTGCCTCTGTGCATTTTATCAACAGTTGCAGCTATAGATAAGAGCGCTCTAGTTAGGTTGAGGGAGGGTAGGGTAAGTGCATTATTTGCCTCTGTGCATTTTATCAACAGTTGCAGCTATAGATAAGACCCCTCTAGTAAGGTTGAGGGAGGGTAGGGTAAGTGTAATATTTGGCTCTGTGCATTTTATCAACAGTTGCAGCTATAGATAAGAGCCCTCTAGTAAGGTTGAGGGAGGGAGGGTAAGTGTAATATTTGGCTCTGTGCATTTTATCAACAGTTGCAGCTATAGATAAGAGCCCTCTAGTAAGGTTGAGGGAGGGTAGGGTAAGTGTAATATTTGGCTCTGTACATTTTATCAACAGTTGCAGCTATAGATAAGAGCCCTCTAGTAAGGTTGAGAGGGAGGGTAGAGTAAGTGTAATATTTGGCTCTGTGCATTTTATCAACAGTTGCAGCTATAGATAAGAGCCCTCTAGTAAGGTTGAGGGAGGGTAGAGTAAGTGTAATATTTGGCTCTGTGCATTTTATCAACAGTTGCAGCTATAGATAAGAGCCCTCTAGTAAGGTTGAGGGAGGGTAGAGTAAGTGTAATATTTGGCTTTGTGCATTTTATCAACAGTTGCAGCTATAGATAAGAGCCCTCTAGTAAGGTTGAGGGAGGGTAGGGTAAGTGTAATATTTGGCTCTGTGCATTTTATCAACAGTTGCAGCTATAGATAAGAGCCCTCTAGTAAGGTTGAGGGAGGGTAGGGTAAGTGTAATATTTGGCTCTGTACATTTTATCAACAGTTGCAGCTATAGATAAGAGCCCTCTAGTAAGGTTGAGGTAGGGTAGAGTAAGTGTAATATTTGGCTCTGTGCATTTTATCAACAGTTGCAGCTATAGATAAGAGCCCTCTAGTAAGGTTGAGGGAGGGTAGAGTAAGTGTAATATTTGGCTCTGTGCATTTTATCAACAGTTGCAGCTATAGATAAGAGCCCTCTAGTAAGGTTGAGGGAGGGTAGAGTAAGTGTAATATTTGGCTCTGTACATTTTATCAACAGTTGCAGCTATAGATAAGAGCCCTCTAGTAAGGTTGAGGGAGGGTAGGGCAATTGTAATATTTGGCTCTGTGCATTTTATCAACAGTTGCAGCTATAGATAAGAGCCCTCTAGTAAGGTTGAGGAGGGTAGGGTAAGTGTAATATTTGGCTCTGTGCATTTTATCAACAGTTGCAGCTATAGATAAGAGCCCTCTAGTAAGGTTGAGGGAGGGTAGAGTAAGTGTATATTGGCTCTGTGCATTTTATCAACAGTTGCAGCTATAGATAAGAGCCCTCTAGTAAGGTTGAGGGAGGGTAGGGTAAGTGTAATATTTGGCTCTGTGCATTTTATCAACAGTTGCAGCTATAGATAAGAGCCCTCTAGTAAGGTTGAGGGAGGGAGGGTAAGTGTAATATTTGGCTCTGTGCATTTTATCAACAGTTGCAGCTATAGATAAGAGCCCTCTAGTAAGGTTGAGGGAGGGTGGGGTAAGTGTAATATTTGGCTCTGTACATTTTATCAACAGTTGCAGCTATAGATAAGAGCCCTCTAGTAAGGTTGAGGGAGGGTAGTGTAAGTGTAATATTTGGCTCTGTGCATTTTATCAACAGTTGCAGCTATAGATAAGAGCCCTCTAGTAAGGTTGAGGGAGGGTAGAGTAAGTGTAATATTTGGCTCTGTGCATTTTATCAACAGTTGCAGCTATAGATAAGAGCCCTCTAGTAAGGTTGAGGGAGGGTATAGTAAGTGTAATATTTGGCTCTGTGCATTTTATCAACAGTTGCAGCTATAGATAAGAGCCCTCTAGTAAGGTTGAGGGAGGGTAGGGTAAGTGTAATATTTGGCTCTGTGCATTTTATCAACAGTTGCAGCTATAGATAAGAGCCCTCTAGTAAGGTTAAGGGAGGGTAGGGTAAGTGTAATATTTGGCTCTGTGCATTTTATCAACAGTTGCAGCTATAGATAAGAGCCCTCTAGTAAGGTTGAGGGAGGGTAGGGTAAATGTATTATTTGGCTCTGTGCATTTTATCAACAGTTGCAGCTATAGATAAGAGCCTCTAGTTAGGTTGAGGGAGGTAGGGTAAGTGCATTATTTGCCTCTGTGCATTTTATCAACAGTTGCAGCTATAGATAAGACCCTCTAGTAAGGTTGAGGGAGGGTAGGGTAAGTGTAATATTTGGCTCTGTGCATTTTATCAACAGTTGCAGCTATAGATAAGAGCCCTCTAGTAAGGTTGAGGGAGGGAGGGTAAGTGTAATATTTGGCTCTGTGCATTTTATCAACAGTTGCAGCTATAGATAAGAGCCCTCTAGTAAGGTTGAGGGAGGGTAGGGTAAGTGTAATATTTGGCTCTGTACATTTTATCAACAGTTGCAGCTATAGATAAGAGCCCTCTAGTAAGGTTGAGGGAGGGTAGAGTAAGTGTAATATTTGGCTCTGTGCATTTTATCAACAGTTGCAGCTATAGATAAGAGCCCTCTAGTAAGGTTGAGGGAGGGTAGAGTGTAATATTTGGCTCTGTGCATTTTATCAACAGTTGCAGCTATAGATAAGAGCCCTCTAGTAAGGTTGAGGGAGGTAGAGTAAGTGTAATATTTTGTGCATTTTATCAACAGTTGCAGCTATAGATAAGAGCCCTCTACTAAGGTTGAGGGAGGGTAGGGTAAGTGTAATATTTGGCTCTGTGCATTTTATCAACAGTTGCAGCTATAGATAAGAGCCCTCTAGTAAGGTTGAGGGAGGGTAGGGTAAGTGTAATATTTGGCTCTGTACATTTTATCAACAGTTGCAGCTATAGATAAGAGCCCTCTAGTAAGGTTGAGGTAGGGTAGAGTAAGTGTAATATTTGGCTCTGTGCATTTTATCAACAGTTGCAGCTATAGATAAGAGCCCTCTAGTAAGGTTGAGGAGGTAGAGTAAGTGTAATATTTGGCTCTGTGCATTTTATCAACAGTTGCAGCTATAGATAAGAGCCCTCTAGTAAGATTGAGGGAGGGTAGAGTAAGTGTAATATTTGGCTCTGTGCATTTTATCAACAGTTGCAGCTATAGATAAGAGCCCTCTAGTAAGGTTGAGGGAGGGTAGAGTAAGTGTAATATTTGGCTCTGTGCATTTTATCAACAGTTGCAGCTATAGATAAGAGCCATCTAGTAAGGTTAAGGTAGGGTAGAGTAAGTGTAATATTTGGCTCTGTGCATTTTATCAACAGTTGCAGCTATAGATAAGAGCCCTCTAGTAAGGTTGAGGGAGGGTAGGGTAAGTGTAATATTTGGCTTTGTACATTTTATCAACAGTTGCAGCTATAGATAAGAGCCCTCTAGTAAGGTTGAGGGAGGGTAGAGTAAGTGTAATATTTGGCTCTGTGCATTTTATCAACAGTTGCAGCTATAGATAAGAGCCCTCTAGTAAGGTTGAGGGAGGGTAGGGTAATTGTAATATTTGGTTCTGTAAATTTTATCAACAGTTGCAGCTATAGATAAGAGCCCTCTAGTAGGTTGAGGAGTTGAGTAAGGTATAGGCGTGTAATATTTGCTCAGTGCCCTCTAGTAAGGTTGAGAGGCAATTGTAATATTTGGCTCTGTACATTTTATCAACAGTTGCAGCTATAGATAAGAGCCCTCTAGTAAGGTTGAGGGAGGGTAGGGTAAGTGTAATATTTGGCTCTGTGCATTTTATCAACAGTTGCAGCTATAGATAAGAGCCCTCTAGTAAGGTTGAGGGAGGGTGGGTAAGTGTAATATTTGGCTCTGTACATTTTATCAACAGTTGCAGCTATAGATAAGAGCCCTCTAGTAAGGTTGAGGGAGGGTAGTGTAAGTGTAATATTTGGCTCTGTGCATTTTATCAACAGTTGCAGCTATAGATAAGAGCCCTCTAGTAAGGTTGAGGGAGGGTAGAGTAAGTGTAATATTTGGCTCTGTGCATTTTATCAACAGTTGCAGCTATAGATAAGAGCCCTCTAGTAAGGTTGAGGGAGGTATAGTAAGTGTAATATTTGGCTCTGTGCATTTTATCAACAGTTGCAGCTATAGATAAGAGCCCTCTAGTAAGGTTGAGGGAGGGTAGGAGTAAGTGTAATATTTGGCTCTGTGCATTTTATCAACAGTTGCAGCTATAGATAAGAGCCCTCTAGTAAGGTTAAGGGAGGGTAGGGTAAAGTGTAATATTTGGCTCTGTGCATTTTATCAACAGTTGCATCTATAGATAAGAGCCCTCTAGTAAGGTTGAGGGAGGGTAGGGTAAGTGTATTATTTGCCTCTGTGCATTTTTTCAACAGTTGCAGCTATAGATAAGAGCGCTCTAGTTAGGTTGAGGGAGGGTAGGGTAAGTGCATTATTTGCCTCTGTGCATTTTATCAACAGTTTCAGCTATAGATAAGAGCCCTCTAGTAAGGTTGAGGGAGGGGAGGGTAAATGTAATATTTGGCTCTGTGCATTTTATCAACAGTTGCAGCTATAGATAAGAGCCCTCTAGTAAGGTTGAGGGAGGGAGGGTAAGTGTAATATTTGGCTGTGCATTTTATCAACAGTTGCAGCTATAGATAAGAGCCCTCTAGTAAGGTTGAGGGAGGGTAGGGTAAGTGTAATATTTGGCTCTGTACATTTTATCAACAGTTGCAGCTATAGATAAGAGCCTCTAGTAAGGTTGAGGGAGGGTAGAGTAAGTGTAATATTTGGCTCTGTGCATTTTATCAACAGTTGCAGCTATAGATAAGAGCCCTCTAGTAAGGTTGAGGGAGGGTAGGGTAAGTGTAATATTTGGCTCTGTGCATTTTATCAACAGTTGCAGCTATAGATAAGAGCCCTCTAGTAAGGTTGAGGGAGGGTAGAGTAAGTGTAATATTTGGCTTTGTGCATTTTATCAACAGTTGCAGCTATAGATAAGAGCCCTCTAGTAAGGTTGAGGGAGGGTAGGGTAAGTGTAATATTTGGCTCTGTGCATTTTATCAACAGTTGCAGCTATAGATAAGAGCCCTCTAGTAAGGTTGAGGGAGGGTAGGGTAAGTGTAATATTTGCTCTGTGCATTTTATCAACAGTTGCAGCTATAGATAAGAGCCCTCTAGTAAGGTTGAGGTAGGGTAGAGTAAGTGTAATATTTGGCTCTGTGCATTTTATCAACAGTTGCAGCTATAGATAAGAGCCCTCTAGTAAGGTTGAGGAGGGTAGAGTAAGTGTAATATTTGGCTCTGTGCATTTTATCAACAGTTGCAGCTATAGATAAGAGCCCTCTAGTAAGATTGAGGGAGGGTACAGTAAGTGTAATATTTGGCTCTGTGCATTTTATCAACAGTTGCAGCTATAGATAAGAGCCCTCTAGTAAGGTTGAGGGAGGGTAGGGTAAGTGTAATATTTGGCTCTGTGCATTTTATCAACAGTTGCAGCTATAGATAAGAGCCCTCTAGTAAGGTTTAGGAGGGTAGGGTAAGTGTAATATTTGGCTCTGCATTTTATCAACAGTTGCAGCTATAGATAAGAGCCCTCTAGTAAGGTTGAGGGAGGGTAGAGTAATTGTAATATTTGGCTCTGTACATTTTATCAACAGTTGCAGCTATAGTTAAGAGCCCTCTAGTAAGGTTGAGGGAGGGTAGGGTAAGTGTAATATTTGGCTCTGTGCATTTTATCAACAGTTGCAGCTATAGATAAGAGCCCTCTAGTAAGGTTGAGGGAGGGTAGGGTAAGTGTAATATTTGGCTCTGTGCATTTTATCAACAGTTGCAGCTATAGATAAGAGCCCTAGTAAGGTTGAGGGAGGGTAGAGTAAGTGTAATATTTGGCTCTGTACATTTTATCAACAGTTGCAGCTATAGATAAGAGCCCTCTAGTAAGGTTGAGGGAGGGAGGGTAAGTGTAATATTTGGCTCTGTGCATTTTATCAACAGTTGCAGCTATAGATAAGAGCCCTCTAGTTAGTTTGAGGGAGGGTAGGGTAAGTGTAATATTTGGTTCTGTACATTTTATCAACAGTTGCAGCTATAGATAAGAGCCCTCTAGTAAGGTTGAGGGAGGGTAGGGTAAGTGTAATATTTGGCTCTGTACATTTTATCAACAGTTGCAGCTATAGATAAGAGCCCTCTAGTAAGGTTGAGGGAGGGGAGGGTAAGTGCATTTAATCATTGTAGAATTTTTCTTTTTATAGAACTTCACTCTTTTGCAAAAAATGAACTAATGGCACGTAATCCATCACAGCCATTCCCTGTCTTTGTGGAGCACTTTAAGGTGAAAGCACTACAATGTCTTTATTTGCAAAAAGTGTATAGTCTGGCAGCAATGTTTCTGTTGAATATCATTGTCCAATGGTGTAGAAAGGAAGTAATTTTCGAGGGGGCACAGCATGTCATGGGTGGTAGAGTGCAACAATAATACATGGTAAATCTAACAAAAAAGTCACAATTTTTACAACTGTAGCATATATATATGTATGTCAAACTATATCAATCAATGTAACATCATCACATAATCAAGCAAATATTTTACTTGAAACTACCAACATATTTGTAATAGTATATCCGTCGTAAATTATTCGGGGTGTCCCCCTGCTTGTATTTTTGGAGATGTACCCCCACGCCCCCCTGTTCTTATGACGCTTTTGTTTATTATTCATCTCGTGTGAAGGTTGCAAGTCCTGGATCAGTTCCCGACGGTTCGTCACTTAAGTTGGACGCCATGGACAACGTCTGGATGTTTCTTGGAAATATGAGGTCCGCAGAATTATCATTATGTAGATGATTGTCATTTGCCGTTCCCAGATTTGTTATGCAATTGGTTAAACATGAGAATCCATTCCTGTTTTTCCTTAGTGAAATAATGGCTCTTTTCGCGTCAGATTCGTGCGCTTCACTTGGCAGTCACGTCAAAATTTTGTGGAAAATATTCTGTGATCAAGCTGTATGGGAGCAGAAAAACGTCCAAGAGGTTAGATTGTGTTTTTTACAATGTTCGATATCATTTTTATTACAAAAACATTAAAATAGCGCAATTTTATAGTCCTTGAACAGTTATAAATGATATTGGCTTCATTGCCAACAGGTCGTATCATAAAAATATACTAAATGGTTTGAATCTTGGAGTATCGTTACATGTTCGTAGATGTAGATCTTCCGGGATAGTTGAGTCCTGAGAAGGACTGTTGGTGTTGATGTTGACTGACTTTTCGACAACCTTAGCGGTAGTCATCTTCAGTCAACATCAACACCAACAGTCCCTCTCTGGACTCCATTAACCTGGATGATCTGCATCTAGAAACATGTAGAGTATTTATAAAGTTAGAGTGGCTTGCTTCAAAGCTATCTAGACTTATTTTAGTTATATACGTTACGATAGCAAAATATCTTTTTGTAGGTTTCTCTGCGTTGCTTGAGTGGTTTTCTTCGCTGCAGATTTTTAAACATGGATGCTCATTGGGACGATCTTTTTAATGTTATCATTTCGTGTTTGAAAGATGTTAGAAATATCCATGAGAACGACTTGAGGTACTTTTTTCTGTCTGTAGTAGTGACTTAATTATGTAACTACATCAGGGATTGATCCATGATGGGGTTTTTTTGGGGGGGGGAGGGAGGGGGTACTTGTTTGCATTAGATTTCAGTGGCCACTTCTTGCCGTACCATGTCGCACTTTTTTTGTTAAATTCTGTTACCTTATTATTATGATTGGGAAATTTTAAAAGTGTGCTCATTTAACGCTAGCTTATTGCGATTGCTTTTGATTGGCTGTCCAGGCTTCGTGGAACCGGCCCACTGCATGGCTATCTTATATAGTAAATCTTAGAACACAATAATCTTTTTACGTGTTATTGAACCGTATTGACAGTATTTTTAGGGACATTTGCACCCTTTTTGTACCTCCATCTAACCAAAGGTGGGAGGGGTGCACACCTCTTGTTAGTGCCGCGCAAACTCCTGGCGTTTCACTTCCGGATCCGGTCAAGAAAACTTCGGCTCTTCTACTAAAGAACTCCGGCTCATGAAACTTGAAAGTGGAGCATATCGTTTCTCAAATGATAAATAACACATTGCCAAAGGTGTGAGCGTAGGCCAGTATTCCACGTGGCCAGCGGTGTGAATGTAGGCCATTTGTCCACGTGGCCAGCGGTGTGAATGTAGGCCATTTGTCACGTGGCCAGCGGTGTGAATGTAGGCCATTTGTCCACGTGGCCAGCGGTGTGAATGTAGGCCATTTGTCTACGTGGCCAGAGGTGTGAATGTAGGCCATTTTGCCATGTGGCGGTACTAATATTGACCGATTACCCAAATTGTAACAATGCCAGGGGTGTGAATTTAAGCCATTTGTCCACGTGGCGGTACTAATATTGACCGGTTACCCAAATATTGTAACAATGCCAGGGGTGTGAGTTTAAGCCATTTGTCCACGTGGCGGTACTAATATTGAGTGATTACCCAAATATTGTAACCAACAACCAAATTTGCAAATCGACTGAGGAAAAGGTTTTTTGCTTCGACGTCAACTCCGAATCCAACAAAATCCATAAAAGCTCCTGCTTCTGTGCACGGCACTACCTCCCCCTAAATCTATAAAAGCTCCTGCTCCGATGCACGGCACTACCTTCACCTAAATCCATAAAAGCTCCTGCTCCGATGCACGGCACTACCTCCCCTAAATCCATAAAAGCTCCTGCTCCGATGCACGGCACTACCTTCACCTAAATCCATTCCTGATGTATGTACATATGATAATTTTGAGGGAGAAGACACCTGGTAGAAATAATCAAATGTAGACATATTTTTTATTAATAAACTTCGTGTTTCAATTCTGCCTTTTTTCTTTCCAGATCTGCACCATTTTTGGAAACTTTGGCTAACTTAATAAAAACTGCATTAGAAATATCTGTTAAACCAATACCAACACATCTCATTGATGTTCTTGCTATAACTGTTTCGCAGATCAGATTTCAACTAGTTTCAAGAAATTTCACGGTGAGTTTAACTTTCTGATGCAAATGTATGTCAAAAAGAGGGCAATTTGCTTGGCCAGAAAACGTCATGCTTAAAGCGAAACTGACGTTTGCATGGCCAGAAAACGTCATGCTTAAAGCGAAACTGACGTTTGCTTGGCCAGAAAACGTCATGCTTAAAGCGAAACTGACGTTTGCTTGGCCAGAAAACGTCATGCTTAAAGCGAAACTGACGTTGCATTTTTCCGACCACAATTTTTGTTTCGATTAAATCGTTTGCGTATTTTCTTGTAAAAATAGGTTTCAGTGATGCAGATGGTTTCTTGTCTGTGCATCCAGCAAAAGTGTTATGATTCCGGACTTCGACAGTGTCTTGGAAATTGTGCTCATACTTTTATTGACTTTTGTATTTGTTCTGGCGAATGTTTTGATAAGGTATAACGATTTTAACATTGTGTTCTGTATTGACATTAACATGTTTCTTCTGGTTAAATTGTGTACCATTGACATTAACAGTTGTGTGCTGGTTAAATTGTGTACCATTGACATTAACAGTTGTGTGCTGGTTAAATTGTGTACCATTGACATTAACAGTTGTCTTCTGGTTAAATTGTGTACCATTGACATTAACAGTTGTCTTCTGGTTAAATTGTGTACCATTGACATTAACAGTTGTCTTCTGGTTAAATTGTGTACCATTGACATTAACATGTGTCTGCTGGTTAAATTGTGTACCATTGACATTAACAGTTGTCTGCTGGTTAAATTGTGTACCATTGACATTAACAGGTGTCTGCTGGTTAAATTGTGTACCATTGACATTAACAGTTGTCTGCTGGTTAAATTGTGTACCATTGACATTAACATGTGTCTGCTGGTTAAATTGTGTACCATTGACATTAACAGTTGTGTGCTGGTTAAATTGTGTACCATTGACATTAACAGTTGTCTTCTGGTTAAATTGTGTACCATTGACATTAACAGTTGTCTGCTGGTTAAATTGTGTACCATTGACATTAACAGTTGTCTGCTGGTTAAATTGTGTACCATTAACATTAACAGTTGTCTAATGGTTAAATTTGTTGTCCATGTAAACATCATTATTTGGTTCGACGAAGAAATCTTTTATAAAATTCATCTTAAATTATAGCGCGTTGAGAAATGTCTTGCAGATTTGATTCTTTTTGATATATGGCAAAGCAATCAGGTATAAAGTGACTTGTCGAAGGACTCCTCTCTGCTCTTCCTCGCGATTCTTACATGCATGTGTGTTTGACTGTATGTTGCATTTGTTTTGTTTCGATTGCTCATTCAAATCTTTCTTCTTTTTAATTCGTAGACCATTGACTATAGTTTGCCTGAAACTACGCTAGGTCGTCTTTACGCGAGATTGAAGGGAATTATAAATGATGTGCGTGGTCTTGATGATTGCAAGGTATTGAATACGGAGTTTTAAACCAAATCACTATCTATATGTTATTATGACATTTCTAAGGTTACATTTCACGAAACACATTGCAAGAAAGCGAAAGATTTCTTTGCATACTTGAAAGTGTAGAACTCTGATTTTGCATGAAAAATTTTCAATTTAAACTTTTGGGATCGACGACCAACGTTTTTAAACCAGGCATGTGATGATGAGTTATTTACTAAAGAAATTCTCGCTATATATATTGGATAATCAGCTATAGATATTGGATAATCAGCTGTAGATATTAGATAATCAGCTTTAGATATTGGATAATCAGCTATAGATATTAGATAATCAGCTATAGATATTAAATACTCAGCTATAGATATTAAATACTCAGCTATAGATATTAAATACTCAGCTATAGATATTAAATACTCAGCTATAGATATTAAATACTCAGCTATAGATATTAGATACTCAGCTATAGATATTAGATAATCAGATATAGATTATCGTAACATAATTGCCATCCATCTTGAATGTTTCATTAATCTTATACTCTTTAGATCACATGTCATTTTTCAATTTACTTTGTAGGAGCTCAATAACTTGTGGATGAAACTATTATTGTTACTGGGATCTTTGTTACAGTTAGTCGAAAGAAAGGACGATTTTGTTTTAAATACGTATCTTGCATTTCTTGGTAAGTGCTTTGATTTGTTGTGTGAATGTAACTTAGTTTACCACAAAGTTTTTGTTTCTTTTTCTCTTCAGCTATGGCGGACGGTTTAGTTAAAGAAATAGCCTTACTCATATTCGACACAATCGATAAAGTGAAATCCCCAAGTAAAACACAGCAGTCAAAAGATGATATGAACATTTGATGCAAGAGCTAATAAGTAAAACACAGCAGTCAAAAGATGATCTTGATGCAAGAGCTACTGGAAACAATCAAAAGCCTCCTTCGCCATCACAAATCACTTCCTTCTACTATCCATATGTTACCATTGTTCATGGCCACCGTCACTCTACCTTGGTTTCCTAAACTTGTTTCAAATCCTGAATACGTCTCCATGTTGGCGACTTCAGCAAAGAATCATCTGCCTTTATTCAAAGACATGGAAATTCATGTTGGAAAATGCTTGGACACTGGCACTTGTCTTGAAACGCTAACGTTGTTTCCATCAAATTTTTCACCGAGTTGTAAATTTCTTGTTTTCAATGATGCAATGGTAAGTATAAACTACGACTTTATCGTACTTTATGTAAGGTTCAGTAGTTGGAACATACTATGAGCACAGTATAGAGAATATACAGTAGAGCCTTTCCATTGAATTTTATCGTGCCACGCATATCTTATTACGCATGTGATTACCATAGTGGAAGCCAGTCTTTTGCATTGTGTGACCAATAGGATTGACGATATGGCAAACGGCAGCCAGTAACTAATTAAATATACAGCAGCCAATTGCACAGCGAAGTGGCCCTACTCTATATTACTATACTGTGATATGAGTTTACTCTTACCTCATGCAAATCCTAACTCTGCAGGAAATTTTTAGATTTTTCGTGGATTGATCAAAGGAGATAAGCTGAAATTTACAAGTTGAAATAGTTGTTTGTTGTCAGTGTGGAAAAATTTACAAGTTGAAATAGTTGTTTGTTGTCAGTGTGGAAAAAATTTACAAGTTGAAATAGTTGTTTGTTGTCAGTGTGGAAAAATTTACAAGTTGAAATAGTTGTTTGTTGTCAGTGTGGAAAACATTTACAAGTTGAAATAGTTGTTTGTTGTCAGTGTGGAAAACATTTACAAGTTGAAATAGTTGTTTGTTGTCAGTGTGGAAAACATTTACAAGTTGAAATAGTTGTTTGTTGTCAGTGTGGAAAAACATTTACAAGTTGAAATAGTTGTTTGTTGTCAGTGTGGAAAACATTTAAAAGTTGAAATAGTTGTTTGTTGTCAGTGTGGAAAAATTTACAAGTTGAAATAGCTGTTTGTTGTCAGTGTGGAAAAAATTTACAAGTTGAAATAGTTGTTTGTTGTCAGTGTGGAAAACATTTACAAGTTGAAATAGTTGTTTGTTGTCGGTGTGAAAAACATTTACAAGTTGAAATAGTTGTTTGTTGTCAGTGTGGAAAACATTTACAAGTTGAAATAGTTGTATGTTGTCAGTGTGGAAAACATTTACAAGTTGAAATAGTTGTTTGTTGTCAGTGTGGAAAACATTTACAAGTTGAAATAGTTGTTTGTTGTCAGTGTGGAAAAATTTACAAGTTGAAATAGTTGTTTGTTGTCAGTGTGGAAAACATTTACAAGTTGAAATAGTTGTTTGTTGTCAGTGTGGAAAACATTTACAAGTTGAAATAGTTGTTTGTTGTCAGTGTGGAAAACATTTACAAGTTGAAATAGTTGTTTGTTGTCAGTGTGGAAAACATTTACAAGTTGAAATAGTTGTTTGTTGTCAGTGTGGAAAACATTTACAAGTTGAAATAGTTGTTTGTTGTCAGTGTGGAAAACATTTACAAGTTGAAATAGTTGTTTGTTGTCAGTGTGGAAAACATTTACAAGTTGAAATAGTTGTTTGTTGTCAGTGTGGAAAAAATTTACAAGTTGAAATAGTTGTTTGTTGTCAGTGTGGAAAAATTTACAAGTTGAAATAGTTGTTTGTTGTCAGTGTGGAAAAAATTACAAGTTGAAATAGTTGTTTGTTGACAGTGTGGAAAAAAAGTGAAATAATAAAGTTGCAGTTATTGTAATTAGAGAAATCTCATTGTAATAAAATAAAACTAATTTCTTCCCACTCACGTCTCTCTCCCCCATTCCTCTTCCTTACTCTCACCCTCACCCTTTCCATTGTCTTCACTCCATTTCTTCCCCTTGTTCCCATCTTTCACCTTTCTCCTCTTTCCTTCTGTTCCTTCCTCTTTCGCTGCCCCTCTTCCGTTATGTGTCAGTAAAACACTTTCAACGAAGGGTAGAAATGCACAATTTATACAATTCTTTGTACTTTTTTAGGAATGTGTGAAAAACGAAGACCTCCAAAGAAAGGCATTCGAGCTGCTTCCCGCCTTGTGTACTAATTTGGACGTCACTTACCAGTCGAGAATGATCGATCCTTTGTTGCAACTCTCCTCAAATTATGAAACTTTTCAAAATTTACTGCCCGCAGTCTTGGGAACATTAGGATGTGCTATGTGCCAATGTTCACGAATTTTTTTCGAAGTTAAGAAGTATCCTTACACATCGCTCCTGGTGAAATGTACGGTTTGTGATCTGAAGACAGAATCAAAGAATGCAAAAGGTATTTAAGAAAGTTTTTAAGCATGTCGAGACTGTGTTTTTACTTCTTTGGCGGTATGGATTGGAGTCTTCTTAGAGTTCCCTGATTGATGAGAACCGACTTTCAATGTCTTTATCATTTCTAACTGTGAAATACTAGTTTCGTGGCTAGCTGTGAAGTTTTGGTCCTGCTATGTATGTTTCATATCATTATCATTATTCAATTCTTTAGAAATCTGTTTCTACAGTGAGTGAACACTGAAAAATGTATATAGCACGAGCAAAATAGCATGTTGGCTACGCCATTGCCGTGATGCAAAAGATTCAAGAATATACTGAGTGTTGCCTGTTTATAAATGTAGATCGTCCAGGCTGGTATAGTCCTGAGAAGGACTGTTTTTGTTGTTGTTGACTGACGTTTCGACAACCTTGGCGGTAGTCATCTTCAGAGTCACGTGACTTTTACGTCAGAATGTTAGTCAACATCAACACCAGCAGTCCTCAGTACTCCACTAACTTAGACCATCTACATGTACAAACATGAAGCGATACTCCCAAGTTCAAATCATTAAATTTCTTTTATATTCATTGTGACTAGCGGTAGCTGATCCAGGCCGTGGCTAATAGAACTACAGCTGCGATTTTTTAAATCATAATACCTTTGCTCTTTTTAACTGATTACTATTTTTTTGTCCAGCTGCCTTCACCAGTTTTTATGATTTTCTCGATCATTTCGTGGATTCTGTTCTACCAAAGCTTTTTTCCAAAACGCAGCTGTCATTTCTTGGTAGTCTGGAGCGTCTCGACAAACATATCATTTTATCTTCCAATTTTTTCTTTCGAGTCTTGAGTGTCGTTATAGATCTCATTGATCACTCCGACGTCAACATACGAGTAAAATTCAGGTAAGTTGTGCTCTAAAAAGTTGTGCTTTTATGCAGTGCAAATTTGTTCTGCTATATTAATTTTTCCTTGTTCATTCACTATAAAAACAATAAATTTCTAAAGAAATGAAGCTAATGCGAATGTCCTAAAATTTATATAGCAGGACCAAAACGTTTGGGCTGGCTAAAGCACTGCTTTTATGTGGGTTTTTTTGGCTTTGTACATTTCTCCCCCTTGTACAGATAAAGTTGTTGTTTCGACTCACGATAAATACTTCATGTTATCTTTCATTTTTCTTTTTTAAAGTAAATTGTTGCCATGTTTGGTAACGGAAGACGACAGAACCACGAAAATTATTGCGACGAAGTTAAATGATGCTTGTACTAAAGCCTCCGTCTCCAAAAACATAAAGTAAGATGAGAAGTTGTCTGAAACATCCGCATCTTTATCCTTTTTATGTTTATGCGAATCCTTGTGTAGTGAAACATGCAATATGTTTTTTTAATTTATTTTACTAACGTATTGTGTTTTTGATGTAACGTCTTTCAACATTTCTAGGCTTCAAGATACCATTGTTCGTACGATTAGTGAACTCGGTAAGACAGCAGGAGAAGATCTCTTGCTGGTGGTCGTCGTCAGTTTGCTTGAGATGTTTCTCGATCATGAGAAAATAATTTCATCTTTAGCATTCACACAGGTTTGTGGAAGATTCGGGTTTTTCTTTTCTAGACTTGTTTCGGGTTTGCTGTTGATATGAATGTACAAATGTTGATTGATAGCAGTAGATTAAATAGCAATTGCTTTATATCCGGCTGAATGTGAACACGCCTTCAATCCCCCACTACCCCTCCCCCCCCCTCCCGCTAATCATCGTATTTACTGCGAAATTTTAAGTTTGGTTTCCAAATATTTTTTCCAGCATATTCATCTTTAATCAACACATTCTTCACTTGTTAGATACATCGGGTTGCAAAATGTCGGGGCAAAACTTCCCAAGAGTTCTTCGCAGATTTAAAATATCATTTGTGCACGTTTGTCGTCGAGACGGTTATAAAAAGGATGAAACAAAACGTCGATCATTCCGGTTCTGTTTCTTTGAAGATATTTCGTGCCATCAGCGATGTCTTCGAGTTCAGAAGTATCAAGGCACTAATGCAGGTTTGTCTGTGTGTACTATTGAACCTGATTTTGTGTTTGATTATGGTACGCCAATACAGATGATTTTAATGTAAGCGCGCTATACGTCTGCCACTACATGATACAGATGCACACCCACCCCCCTGGATTTATTCAAAATGACGACGTAAGATTTCAATAACAATTTATCCAGGGGGAGCAATTTCCCATTGTTTACACTGATTATCTTATACACGAGAGAATTCTGCGGAATGATTACCCTACAAATGACTGCAGAAAGAGTTGTATGTTGTAAAAGCATTGCCGATGTTTTCAATAGTCTGAAGATATTTTTTTAAATTTTCAATAAAATTTCCTCTGTGTGGTGTAAAACCGCCGATTATCGATTTTTACAACGTAGTAGTTCAGGTAATTATAAACAGATCAGTGGTTTTCATCTATTTGCAGCTGTTTTTCTTTTCGGCGTATTTCTCTTGTATTTCTGCTTTTTTTACAGTGTGCTCAAAGTATGTTTATTCCTCAACTGGTGCAGAAAGCTCTTCCTGAATGCGCCGTCGTTTTGCGCTGTCTTGCCACGGAACTTAAAGTAAACTACAGAAAGGATCTTCTCCTGTTGAATTTTAACTTTATATTTTCTTTTCTTGTTCGTAACTGTTCTGGAGAAGAACTTAAAGAGGCTTTGGCATTTGTTGAGGTAGCATCGTTTGTTGTTAAGTATTATCAATGTTATTAAATGATTATTTCATATTGAATCCTATTACTTATACCATTAAACACTATTACCACAGAATAAATATATACAGAAGAGTCACTCGTGTCGGAACCTTTGATGTTTCTGTCCTCGCGCATCTCGTGCTGCGCATGGTGGCCGCCATTATTCCAGCCAGATGATTAGGATTTTTGACTTTTTCCAAACCTTTAAAATGATCCGAAGTCGTTTCTTAAGTCAAAATATACCTGAATTCATTATTAAGTATTGACGTCATGTAATTTTAATGGTTGGAAACAAGTGAGAAATCCTAATCATCTGGCTGGAATAATGGCCGACATGAGGACGCGTTGTACACCCGAGTGACCCTTCTGTATAATCAATATTCTGTGCCATTGCTATTAAATTTTTCTGTATGAGTTGGTTTCCGAATTGTTAGGATTTCATGTTGAAGATTTCCACATTGGGTTTCTTTTATTGAAATCTTCTCTTCGTTTATAGCGTGAAACGAACGTGGATTTAGGGAGTCTTTTGAAGTCGGACACACAAAGCGTTGTCAACCAACTTCTTTTGCACCTTCATTCATCATATAATAAAGTCTTTACTGGTCTCTCTATTTTGGCCAGCAAAGCTGATGGTAGCGTCGTGACGGACACTTTTAACTCCGAGCAAATGGTTAGTTTTATACACTATGTTCGATCACTGATATTGTTACTATCCTATTAAAAATTCTCTTTCAAATTGTTGTTTTGTTTTAAGGCCGAATTCTTACAACCTCGACTCTTGGGAATTCTAGTCTTCTTTAACGCGGTCTTATTGGATGACAGAAACCACGAAAATCAACGTCTGGCTCTCGCATCTCTCATTCAATTGATGAAAATCATGGGGGAGAAACACATTAGCGTCGTTCGTGTGAAGGTCATGGCTATCTTAAAACTGGCTTTGCAATTTGATTTCAAAAGCTGGGGTAGCCTGTGTTGTGACGCCTGGCAGTGTTTCGTACATTGTCTCGATGTGACATCCCTCAGACAGATGCTCGGTCAGATATTGGTCGCTTTACAACCGCTGGTCCAGTATTCAGTCGAAAAGGTTTGATCTCTTGTTTTTCGGCAATGCTGTATCTGCAAGACGCTGTAACATGTTCTCCATGATTAGGTAGCCAATATATTTCATTATTTGATCGTGAAGAGAAGGAAAGACTTGGCGGAGAGCTTTAAGGACTCATGTTGCTCGATTCCAGACCTTCCCGAGTTTGATAGCGTCCGCCATGTATTCAAAAACATTACAAAGAAAAGCAGTGAATTGCGTGATAAACTTCGCGTGCTTATGAAAGGTGTCTCGCACGAGAGTAGCGAAGTGAGACTAAACGCGTTGCTAAAACTGAAGACATTACTAAAAGAAAATCAGGTAGCATACATTTAATGGTTATGCCTTTCAATTTCAAGGAACATCTATCCTCCATGTTATAGCTGTACTGCTTTTCCATGTATAGAAAACACTTCACGAATACGTCACGAACAAGGACGAAGTTGATCCTGTGGTTTGTCACTTGATTGATACGGTAAAAAATTGGATGGTAATTTGCTCTCATATCAAATTATAATGGTGAAACAATCGTCTGCTGTTTTTTCAGTTGATTGCAAGGTGTGATGAGCCTAGTAGCCAAGCTATTGTTGCTGAATGTCTGGGAGAACTGGGTGCAATTGATCCTGGATGGTTAGTGTCCCCATGACACAATAAACAGACAAATACCAATTAGATTAAAATAGCATTGTACCAAGCTTCTTTAAATTCGCGTGCGTGTTTAGTCTGCGCGCATCCGAGTAGTTTAGTTTCTGTCTAGTCGAATGTGTGGTTGTTGATTGCTGTTGAAATTGAGTATTTGGTCTATGTGGGTGGTTTTGCGGTATACTTGTGTCTTCAAAGAGCGTGTTCCAAGAAGCGTGTTCCAAGTATACCGCAAAATTAAATATATATAAACATGTCAGTTGTGGCTGCAGGCCACAACTGACATGTTTATATATATTTAATTTTGAAGACGTTAACACGCTGCAATATACTAATGTTTCATATCATCTAAAAGAAGGTGTTTCAAGGATTTTAAATATGTTTTTATTATCCTGGCCCAAATTCCAGGAGCGGATCTACAGCTTGGGAAAGTAGAGCATTTTTGCGTTAATTAATATTCGCGGTATTTAACTGACATGTTTATATATATCTAATCTTGAAGACGTTAACACGCTGCAATATACTTGTGTTTCATATCATCTCAAAGAGCCTGTTCCAAGAATTTTAAATATGTCTTTATTGTCCTGGTTCAAATTCCAAGAGCGAATCTACAGCTTGGGAAAGTAGAGCATTTTTTCGTTAATAAATATTCGCGGTATTTAACTGACAAGTTTATATATATCTGATTTTGAAGACGTTAACACGCTGCAATATACTTGTGTTTCATATCATCTCAAAGAGTGTGTTCCAAATCCGTCATACAATTTGGCTGGAACCGGTCATAGCGAAAACGGGAAATTGATTTAGCTGGACGGGTTGGACTTGAATTCACAATAATGTTAATAACAGAATTACAATTTTTGTGGCAGAGAAATCAAAAAATGAAGTCCTTTAACAAAATATGTGCTGGTATAATATAATCAAAGCATTATTTAGAAATATTAAGCACCACGAGGAGATCAGTATGAACTATGAGATATTGTATGCATGGTAAAACGAAGTCTGACAGTTTTCTTGATACATTATCCATGAAAACGTTTTGAGGAATCTTCTGGCTAATGAGTTTGTCAGTAACTTTGTTTGATATCAAAATAAACATTGTAATCATTAATATTTGAAGTAATTTAGTAGCACAAAAACTAAAGCAAGACTATTTTAAGCATATCCTAGTTGTTATATATTATTTATGTAAAAGAACTGTTTTTGTTGTAATAAGAAAATTAGAATGTAGAATAAATATGTCTTATACACTCTCTTCAAATTAATCTTGGTTACTGATTAGTATTTGGTTATGTGGTGATTTAGTATAGATCTAGGGGTTTGTACAAATAAATAATTGAAAATAAAAATTTAAACAGTACTTTCGGTAACTTATATTTTACAAATATATTATTATCATAACAAGAACTATGGAATGAGCTTTATGCAGGCTACAGCTATTAGATAAATTTTACATCTTACATATATTCTAGCCTAGTAATAACTTTAAGAGCCTGATTTATATATAAGAATCGAGTTGAGAGGTACATAGTTTGTAAGAACAGTCATCATTATCTTTTAATAATGACACTGTATTTTTTACACCTGTTCACATTGTATTAGTGAAATCTCCATCTTTCACATTATGTATGTAGTTCAGTACTTTTCTAGTTTCTTCTCTCTAATGACATTGGATCACTTATATGCTATTTCTGTGAAACTATTAAAAGCATCCCAACAAAGCCCAAAAACTCAAACAAGATTGAGTTCAATGTGATTTTCCTGTAGATTCTCCTTTAAACATTCACATAAGAATGGTAAGATTAATAGAAAAAAGACCAAAAAAAATCGCATGGATAAAGAATCATCATGCCATTCTTGATTTGCAGTTCAGCCATGTTAGTGGTCTGATACAGAAGAATACTTTATCAGAGTTATTGTTTGCAATAGCCGGCGTGCGCGAGCAACATTGTTTCGCAAATCTCAAGAGAATGATTGCAAGTCAAGAATATTTTAAATCTGGACTGCTTGCACAACGGATAAAAGATTATATTACTAGCCATTTGTTTCTAAAAAACGTATTTTAGCATATTGTAAAAAATAATTGAGAAACAATCATTTTCCAAGCATGAAAATAAAAAAAACGAAGAAAAATGTGGCGTCGGCTATATAAGTCTATAGTTGGTAAACAAAACATGTTTCACTTATGACGTCATAACTTACTAGCATCGCCACTTGAAAAGTTCGCACATTAGTTGCGTATTCAGCGGTAAAATTAACTAACTTCTACTCAACAGAAAATGCTTATTTAGTTAAAAGAAAAGCTTTTCTATTTCAACAGATAGTTATCGTTTGCTGATACAAAAATATTTTGATCAGACATGTTTACCAAAGTTTGACAGTATTTTGCAGCAGTGGCGAATCTAGGGTTAGTCAAAATAAATTACTGCTGTACAATTTGGAATATATTTATAATTCCAAAGCCCTTCAGAGACAAGTCCATTGGGGAATATATATTCTTTAGAAATTCAAAACCAATATTGCTTTTCTGAAAGTACTTTGAATTTAAAATTAAGCAGCTTCAATATATTTTGCTTGCTGCTGCTCGCTTGACTACCTCTAGATCCGCTACTGTTTTGCAGCACAAACGATTGCTGCCGGAGTTTTGCAGGAGATAAAAAAAATCCGGCTCCAGCATGCAAAAATAGCCTGAGCTCCTGCCTAACTCCGGTGCACAGCACTAGCTGCCAGGTAGATAAATCCAAGACAGATTTACTATAGTTTTTGGTGTTGTCTAAAAGCATTCACTTGACCAAGTCTTCGTGCCAGCAAAACGTAAACAAGGCAAGTCATCTATCTATTAACCGCTTGGAGCTGCATTATAAATCAGGAGGGAAGGAAAAAACTCTAGTGGAAGTTTTTAATCAAAATTTCCTTGTAGCATCCACGTTTTTTTGACAACAGGTTCCAGACCTTTTTCCGCAAACCGGTAATTTAATAGAACTCAATGGGCCCGTCTCATATGAACAGGCCTTAAAAGGTAGAAAAAAGAAGTTATGTCTTCATTTATCTCCCTCTTTAGTAAATTAAAATATCACCGGGAAATTGATAAAATCAACTAAATGAATTTATAACAAACTAATTAAGCTCTATTCATTGTTATTCAGTAAAAGGGAATGGTAAACCTCCAACTCTCCTGTGTGACAAAACTAAGATAGATTCCACAGGTCTTTTAGAAGCCTCTTGTCACAAATCACCTTCTCTGCAGCAATATATGCTTGTGAAGTAGGAGATAACCACTTCTTCTGCTTGTTTCTCTTTCGGTTAATTGTTGGTGGCAATATTGATGAAAATATGTGTTCCCTCTCTAGAAATGCTTGTCATTGGTTAAGGATAGACTTCTAATTTTCCACCAATTCTTCTGCATTCTTGTTACAACTTGCATAGCACTTTTCATTTAACCATGAAGTAACTTTTCATTCGTTGAAGGCAACTCTATAAATTCTGTACTATCCAAGGTGAATATCGAACTTAGGAAATTCTACAATCATAAGTACATATTTATCAAATCTTCGTTTTTCTCACTCGTTGAAATAAAAAGATTAAAATAGAATGCTTGCACAGTTTTAATATCCAATCATTAAAGCGTTTAAATTACATATAACATCATAAACTTAAACGCCGTATGTCAACAAAGCAACTTTCCTTGATTATTAGCCTTAACATAGATGAAAATTATAAAAATTAAAAATACGCTGGAAGAAAATTTTCAGAAATTGTACTCATCCTTGTTAAAATTTACTTGTATCAATGTTTTAAAACATCCAACTCTATGAAGTTAATCGTCAAAAATCTATATATCATTTGATGCACGCCAAATAAGGGTGTTTTCTTTTACAAATTATTGTCGAAACAAAAACATTTATCATAATAGTAGCAAAGTAGCTACATCTTAGGAGAAAGCTTATTATTCACAGATTCTAAAAATTATGATTACCCAACAAAACAACAAAATCACAAAAAATTTGTCACAGCAACAAGGTAGCTATAACAAGGTATAGAAAAGACTACTATCAAACTAAAGTTTCATCTTTATAAACTTCATTTAAAACAAATTAAGTGCAATGGTTTACTTTCACCAATTATGATGAAACTATCACAATCAGGGACACCTTAAACTCAGTAAGGCAATGGTGTCTTTGTCAATGTGAACGTAATTGGAAGTTACTTTTTTCCGTACAAATCTCTACCAAGAAATTTAAAAACATAAATCAAAACACAATCCGCTTATTGTAATCACAGCAAATGGAACGTTTTATAGTATAACTGTTTAATGTTTGTGATTAACCATTGATTGCAGTCAACTACATTTAAAAAAAAAACACAAGAGATTCTAAATTTGCACAACCGAATCAAACAAGGCGTTACCATGCAACAACTAATGAGAAGGACTTTATGTACATAGTATTGCATGTCACCAACTAACTTGTAACATTGGCTATTTCTTCAAGTCGAGATTTCTTTGCTGTAATCAAATTTTTTTTGTAATCATTCAGTTCTCCCTGTTTCTTTATCTACTTCATTCTATGTAGCTTGCCAAGTGAATTATGTGAATACTTTTTAAGAATTCTTTTCCTCATTTTTTGTAAAAATAGTGTTTCATTGTTTTATTTAAAATTACTTGAAACCTATTAGAAAATAAAATGCGAAAAATTACTTATTTACCTGATGGTGCCCTTCGTTTTTTCCCAATTTGGGATGGAGGATTGGGAATTTTGAATAGAGTTGGCTTACTCTGAGGATTTAATCTCTTTTTTTCCATGCTGGTGATTATGCAGTCCTCAAAATGATCTGCACACAGTTTACAATTCTTGTAAAGATATTCTGCACTTTTGCGCAAAAGATCTTCACGACGACAATTGTTTACCCATTCATTTGATCTAAAATACAAAGAAATGCTTAAAAACTTTATTGCCCATGCATTATTAAATAAAACATCCTTAAGACTTGCAAACAAAAAGTACCCTTACCTCTCCATATCCTTTGGAAACCGAAAATAAATTAAATCAGGACGAGTTCGTTTGCTTTGTGTGCAGTTGATGGCAGCACAATGAGTTCTTGGCCCACCCTTTAGTTTGTTCTCTTTTGCCATGAAATATTTGTGTATGAATGACACACAGAGAGTAGCACATAAAAACCTTGCAACAACTGTATAGCTTTCCAGCACAAAATGAGTGATGGTCCTGGTTACTAATTAAACATGCAAATTTGCACAGCAAAAACTTTCCAAGTTTTCTATTAAAAAATGAGTTAAAAAACAACTTTATTGTTAAACATATACAGATTTGACAAACAAGATGAAATTACAAAGTTTCATTTACAATGATGCAGATGCAATGCAAAATAACAAGTTAAAAAACTTGAATTCAAACATCAAACATAGAAGTACTTTAATGTTTTATAAAGATAGTCATCCACATTCTAAAATAACTGCGTCTTCATCACAACAGCATTCTTCGTGTACAGTAGGTCATGTAATTTCTGCTATTTAGTAATAAATCATTGACCATTCTATTATGAAAATCTATTGTAGAAAATAAAAAGAAAAATAATAAGGCAAAATACATTATAAAATACCTTTATTAGTCCTAAACGACAAATCTACTGGGAAATTGTGTTGAGTTCTAGTTACTCGCCATATCTCTTTCTTAGTATACTCTATACCTTCTGATTGTGTAGTGTATGTTGTTACGGTTTCTCGATGTTCTTGTAGCTGAAAAAGTACTTCAAAAAGTACTAAATAAGTATTATAAATAAGGTGATAAATAAATAAGTACTTTCAAAAAGTATATGTTTAGTCAGTACTGTAAGTGATGCATTTTGCCGAGTCCCAGTCAATGTTGTGCTTTGTGATTCGGTGATGTTCGGCAATGTGATTAGTTTTGTCTTGTTTCTTAGTAGCTCGTTTGTGCTCAGTAAGTCTTATGTTTAAGTTCCTGCCAGTTTCCCCGATATAGGAGGCGTGGCAGTCGGAGCAGTTTATTTTGTAAACTGCACCTTGTCGTTCGTTGGGTTGTTCTTTGTCCTTTATGTTCGTTAGTACTTGTCGTAACGTTGTGATTGGTTTATGTGCGACACGTATGTTGTATGGTCGTAAGATACGCGAGATAGTCTCAGACGTACCTTTGATGTAAGGTATCGTTGCTGTTGTCACTGAGTTGTTCGTTTCGTTGGGTTCGTTGGGTTTGTAAGTGTTGCGTTTGATAAAGTCAGAGTTATAGTTGTTTTGTCAAAACACGTTTGAGATAGTTGTTTTCGTTTTGTAGAGCGTCCGGTGAATCACATATGATTTGTGCACGTCTTGTTAATGTTCTGATTGTGGTGGCTTTGTGTGATGTAGGGTTGTAAGATGATTGGTCTAGTAGTCGGTCAGTATGTGTTGGCTTGCGATAAACTGTTGTTCCTAGTTTTGATTGTCATGTTTTACCAAACAGTCGAGAAAAGGAAGAGTTCCGTTTTCTTCGACATCTTTGGTAAATTGTATGTGGCTGTTCTGTTTGTTGATGTGAGTATGGAAGTCATCAATCTCGTCTGCATGTAGTGCTGTGATTGTGTCATCTACGTAGCGAAACCAAAAAGGTAGTGCATGTTTGTAAGTCATGAGTGCCCGTTCCTCTATAGATTGCATTACAATTTCAGCAACTACAACAGAAACGGGCGAGCCCATTGCTGTCCCATGTAATTGTTTGTAGTGTGTTCCTTTGTATTGGAAGTAAGTCGAGGTGAGGCAGAGCTCTAGTAACTCCATAATGTCTTCTGTCGGTAATGGCAGTACGTCCGTGGTGTTTGTAATGAGGGTTTTTGTACAAGTAAGTGCCAGATTAAGTGGAATACTGGTGAACAGTGATTTCACATCAAAAGACACTAGTATATAGTTGTCTGGTATTTGTATAGTGCACAGTTTTTTAATGAAAGTTTCAGTGGATTGTAGCTTGTGTTTTGATTTGTTTGTAAGTGGTTGCAGTATGTTAGTCAAGTACTTTGAAAGTTCGTAAGTAGGCGAACCACAGAATGATACAATTGGTCGCATGGGTATTTGTGGTTTGTGAAGTTTTGGTAGTCCGTATAGTCTGGGTGGTCGTGGTACTGAACATCTGAGTCGATAGTAAATACGTTCAGATATAATGTTAGATTTTCTCATAGAGAAGATCTTGCTGTTAAGTTTGCGTACTAGTGATGGTGTTGGGTCTCGTTTGAGTTGTTCGTACGTTTGTCTGTCGTTAACAAGTGCGTCCATTTTGTTAAAGTAATCATTCCTGTCCATGACCACAGTCACGCGTCCTTTGTCTGCTGGTAAAATGACGATGTTGTTGTCGTGTTTTAGTCGTTTGAGTGCTTGTTGTTCGTCTTTTGTCAAGTTGTTGTCACGTATAGAGGACGATTGTAAAGTGGAGGCTATCCTGCTTCTGATCTCGTCTTTTGTTGTCTCTGACAAGTCTCTTTGATACGCTAGGACAGCCTCGACACTTGATACTATCGTCTCAGTCGGGATTTGTCTAGGTGTTATGGAATGTTTTAGTCCGTAAGATAGTAGTCGCGTTTCAGTTTCGTCTAATGGCGGGAAGAAATATTCCTCACCCAGTTATCGTCATGTTTATGTCTTGCACGTGTTTTAGTTTGTTTTAAACGTTCAAGTTTTGTTGTTGTTTGATTTGGTGTTGTGTCTCTGTCTTGTTTGCTCGTTTCTCTGCAATAGTTTGTATGGTAGAAAGTAAAGTATCACTTACTGTCGTTGGTATGAGTTCCTTCAGTTTGTTCAGTCTTTGTTCTTGTTGTTTGATGTAATAGTTGATTCGTCTGTGACAGTCGTTAATCCGTGCTCGTATCAGTCGTCTGCTGGTGGATTTGACAATCTGAATAGCCTCTTGTGTGTTCAACGGAGACTTAATTCTAAGTCCTGCCGGAACGAGACCAAAATCCTTGCAGCGGTGGTTGAACCAGAGTTGTTGGCGTATGCGTCTGACGTTGCTTGCAAAACGTATGTAGTCGTTAGCAAGTTGTTCGCTCTGTCGTCCAAATGATCGTAATAAAGTAAATGGTTTGAACCCGGGAGTATCGTTATATGTTTGTAAATGATGATCGTCCAGGTTAATAAAGTCCTGAGAAGGACTGTTTTTGATGTTTTTGACTGACGTTTCGACAACTTTACTGGTATTCGCTTTTTGTTGTTGTTGACTGACGTTTCGACAACCTTAGCGGTAGTCATCTTCAGAGTCAAATGAGGAGTAAACGTCAGGTTAGCCGTATTTGTTGTCTGGTTCTTACGTCATTGTATTGTGTGTACAGGAAATGTGCAGGAAATGTGTATTGTCATTGTAGATTAGTGTGAAGTGAAATATTTTATTTTTAGTTGTGATGTGTGATTTAGTTGTGACGTTTTTAGTTGTAGTGTGTGGGTGTCAATTGTGTATTGTCATTGTGAATTAGTTTGAAGTGTAATGTTTTTAGTTGATCGTTTGTTTGTATTGTGAATAAGTCGTTTGTAAGGTGCCGGTAATTGCTGTGATCTGTTCAGGGGGGTTTGTTCCAAGTTGGTATACCAACTTTCTAATGTAAGCCGTTGTCTATAGTCAGTACTGTAAGTGATGCATTTTGCCGAGTCCCAGTCAATGTTGTGCTTTGTGATTCGGTGATGTTCGGCAATGTGATTAGTTTTGTCTTGTTTCTTAGTAGCTCGTTTGTGCTCAGTAAGTCTTATGTTTAAGTTCCTGCCAGTTTCCCCGATATAGGAGGCGTGGCAGTCGGAGCAGTTTATTTTGTAAACTGCACCTTGTCGTTCGTTGGGTTGTTCTTTGTCCTTTATGTTCGTTAGTACTTGTCGTAATGTTGTGATTGGTTTATGTGCGACACGTATGTTGTCTGGTCGTAAGATACGCGAGATAGTCTCAGACGTACCTTTGATGTAAGGTATCGTTGCTGTTGTCACTGAGTTGTTCGTTTCGTTGGGTTCGTTGGGTTTGTAAGTGTTGCGTTTGATAAAGTCAGAGTTATAGTTGTTTTTGTCAAAAGCACGTTTGAGATAGTTGTTTTCGTTTTGTAGAGCGTCCGGTGAATCACATATGATTTGTGCACGTCTTGTTAATGTTCTGATTGTGGTGGCTTTGTGTGATGTAGGGTTGTAAGATGATTGGTCCAGACTATACGGACTACCAAAACTTCACAAACCACAAATACCCATGCGACCAATTGTATCATTCTGTGGTTCGCCTACTTACGAACTTTCAAAGTACTTGACTAACATACCAAAACCACTTCACAAACAAATCAAAACACAAGCTACAATCCACTGAAACTTTCATTAAAACTGTGCACTATACAAATACCAGACAACTATATACTAGTGTCTTTTGATGTGAAATCACTGTTCACCAGTATTTCACTTAATCTGGCACTTACTTGTACAAAAACCCTCATTACAAACACCACGGACGTACTGCCATTACCGACAGAAGACATTATGGAGTTACTAGAGCTCTGCCTCACCTCGACTTACTTCCAATACAAAGGAACACACTACAAACAATTACATGGGACAGCAATGGACTCGCCCGTTTCTGTTGTAGTTGCTGAAATTGTAATGCAATCTATAGAGGAACGGGCACTCATGACTTACAAACATGCACTACCTTTTTGTTTCGCTACGTAGATGACACAATCACAGCACTACATGCAGACGAGATTGATGACTTCCATACTCACATCAACAAACAGAACAGCCACATACAATTACCAAAGATGTCGAAGAAAACGGAACTCTTCCTTTTCTCGACTGTTTGGTAAACATGACAATCAAAAACTAGAACAACAGTTTATCGCAAGCCAACACATACTGACCGACTACTAGACCAATCATCTTACAACCCTACATCACACAAAGCCACCACAATCAGAACATTAACAAGACGTGCACAAATCATATGTGATTCACCGGACGCTCTACAAAACGAAAACAACTATCTCAAACGTGTTTTGACAAAACAACTATAACTCTGACTTTATCAAACGCAACACTTACAAACCCAACGAACCCAACGAAACGAACAACTCAGTGACAACAGCAACGATACCTTACATCAAAGGTACGTCTGAGACTATCTCGCGTATCTTACGACCATACAACATACGTGCACATAAACCAATCACAACATTACGACAAGTACTAACGAACATAAAGGACAAAGAACAACCCAACGAACGACAAGGTGCAGTTTACAAAATAAACTGCTCCGACTGCCACGCCTCCTATATCGGGGAAACTGGCAGGAACTTAAACATAAGACTTACTGAGCACAAACGAGCTACTAAGAAACAAGACAAAACTAATCACATTGCCGAACATCACCGAATCACAAAGCACAACATTGACTGGGACTCGGCAAAATGCATCACTTACAGTACTGACTATAGACAACGGCTTACATTAGAAAGTTGGTATACCAACTTGGAACAAACCCCCCTGAACAGATCACAGCAATTACCGGCACCTTACAAACGACTTATTCACAATACAAACAAACGATCAACTAAAAACATTACACTTCAAACTAATTCACAATGACAATACACAATTGACACCCACACACTACAACTAAAAACGTCACAACTAAATCACACATCACAACTAAAAATAAAATATTTCACTTCACACTAATCTACAATGACAATACACATTTCCTGCACATTTCCTGTACACACAATACAATGACGTAAGAACCAGACAACAAATACGGCTAACCTGACGTTTACTCCTCATTTGACTCTGAAGATGACTACCGCTAAGGTTGTCGAAACGTCAGTCAACAACATCAAAAACAGTCCTTCTCAGGACTTTATTAACCTGGACGATCATCATTTACAAACATATAACGATACTCCCGGGTTCAAACCATTTACTTTATTATATAAATAACTATTTTATAACATTGAAAATTTGTAATCCAGGCATTTAATATATGAAAGATAAAAGTTTCTCCGGATTTTAAGTGATTTTTATTGAGCTTTCGACTCGTTGCTTCGAGCCTTCATCAGAATGAGGATATTTATTTACACGTGCTTTTAGCTTGGAGACGTTTAGAGACGTTTGGAGACGTGTAAACAAATATCCTCATTCTGATGAAGGCTCGAAGCAACGAGTCGAAAGTTCAATAAAAATCACTTAAAATCTGGAGAAACTTTTATCTTTTATATAAATAACTATTTTATATAAATCCCTCATTACTTGTAATTTAATGTCTGGTGATGCCTTGAGAGTCAAGATAAACGTAATCCTTAGATTTGATTGCATGAAAAGTGGCCAAATGTTTGTCATCGTTTACCACAGAAAATATGGGAACTCAAATTAGCTGGATTTGCCTTGTTGGACTTTGCATGCCTATCCTTTGCCAGAACCTAGAACAAATTTTCTGCATAAATCCCATTTACGTAATTCACATACAAACAATGTATATATTACGTTGTAGTAGTGTGCAATGGGAAAAATTGAAATTTTGTTGCTTTATGTCTTCGAAGAGTAAACGAATAATAACAAGTGATATATTGCAAGGAAGAAAGTGTCACTTTCGCTTGAAAAGCATTTTTCATGAAATATCAGCTTCCTCCTGAAAAGTATTTTTCTATGAGATATCATTTCCATTAGCTGCAAACTCAGTCGACGATCATTTTTATAAACAATGTATCATCTTTGATATACTGGCGATTATTTAAACTTTCCAATGGCATGAAGAGTGGTGATCCAGAAGCGATATTCATATCTGACTTTGGTCGTTGAAATGAGGAACTTTGAGGATCTGAATGAAAAGCATCAATCATGTGATCACCATTTCCTTGATCCATTAACATCATTGTGATCTTCTTTTGAAATGGCCATGATTGTAGCGCATCGTAATCACCTAGGAATAATAAAAAAACTATTAAAACAAAAAATACACAAACAAAAACTAATTAAATGACTTGTCTTCGTAAATAAAGTAAGTTCAGATGGCATTTTCGAACACCAACGTTACTAGACACAAAAGTTTGCATAGTTCCCGAAGTTTTGGATAAATTATAGTTTAGTTAACAGGTAGGAATGACGCAATTGCACAAACAAATTTCCAAAACGTTGTTAAACCGTTTTATCGGTATTAATAAGTAATGTCACTTGCTTATACAATTCAAATCTTGAGTTTAAAAGACGATGTTTTTTTGAGTGATATTTTGTATTTTTTTTATAAGTTAAAGAATACGTAAAGACCAATATCAATTTTAACTCGCGAATTAATGTTAAAAGTTTAGAAGATTAAGAATTTTATCAAGATAATCGTCTTTCATGATCAAGGAGTTTTATACTAGAAACACTGATATTCCACCAGAATGAACATGACAAAAGTGTACTGGGCAGATTTTCAGTTAAGATATATGAGGTTGTTTGGTTCATTGATATGTCTAAGAAGTTTCTCGTCGCAGATAAAAGAGATGCAAAGAGTAGTTCAAAGTAAATGACTTGAGGCTTTGAACATTTGACGCAAGTTACAATCAAGGACCATAGGCATTTTACTATTGACAACTGTTCCCTCAAATGCATGTGTTTTGAGGAGATTAATGTAGAGTTTATATGAAATGCAGGATTTTTCTTGGAAAAGTTACGTTATTTTTAAGCCTTTACTGGCTTAGCTGGGTTCTATCGCCAGTTTGGTTTGAGATCATTTCGTGAATGTTGTCATATAACAATGATGGAAGAGAAAGGATTTAAAAAGTAACAAACTGTTTTATCAGTCAGATTCATGAAGCTCGCAAATCGTATAATTCAAAGTAATTAAACATGATTACATGATAAGTTAACAACAAACTTTAAGCGAAATACACTTAATTTACTTACTTCTGTCACGAGCTTTGTAATTTACATCGAAAAACCACAATATTACTCATAAAACCTTTCCTTAATGTGGCTTTTGCGCCAAAACATAACAACTAAAATCCATCTGTCAAACAGATATGTTACGTAATATTACGTAAGCTATGTAAATACCCTCCCCCACCACCAAGTTTGTGTTCTTTAAATGTTCGAAAGGTAACCTTTAATTTTCCTCGTAACCCTCTGCTGGTAATAGTACCACGATCTTAGTGAAAGGCCTTTCGTAAGTTGACGAATTCACTATCCGTCCAATGACCTATTTTCCAAGCACAGCATTTATATCTTGCACTATAACTACATCGTCTACCCGAACGTTTCTTTTCTCCGTAGTCCATTTCTTTTTAGGTATCAGTGACGGAAAGACATCTCTTGACCAACATTTCTAGAAACTATTTATAATCTTCTGGACAAATTCCACTCAATGTCGAGGGTTTTCAGTTTCCAAGAACGGACCCTGTAGTATTGATGAGGATGATCCACCGAGAAGGATGTCATTTGGACGCAAATACGCTCCGTCATCGGGATCATTTGGGAGTCTTCCGAGAGGTCGTGAATTCATTAAATTTGCGGACTCCAACAAACACGTGTGGAACTTGTGTGCGCTCTCTTTGCACTTTTTACTAACGACTCCACACAGGTTAATCGGTGCCTCTTGTGTTGTTTGCGGGCGTTTATCTGGGTCAAGTTTTTTCAAGAGGTCCCCTGCGCCTGGATCATCACGTTGCAGTCGTGCAGGGGCTTAAGTACTTCACTGAAGGAAAACTAAGAATGATCCAAACCCGGTCTCCGAACTTCGATGTCGAACTCTCGGAACCACACCTCGAAACTCACTTCTCTTACTAATCTTTGGGCTTGGTCGACAGAACGCACTGACTCACAGATGTCATCCATGTATGTATTATCCGTGATGACTTTCGATGCTTCAGGGTGATCTTTTCCAACTTCTTTGGCAGTTTTTCGAAGTGCTGTCAATGGCATAGCTGGAGCTGGCTTGTCGCCAAATGTCAGTACTATTTTTACATATACGTCAGGCTAACGTTCAACTTCCATGTCTCTCCAGAGATAACGACGAACATGTTGGCCTTGTTCTGGTATAAGTATCCTATGATACATTTAGGAAACATCGGCAATGATCGCGACTTCATTTTCTCTGAAACGCAACAGGACCCCAAATAGATTTATTCAGAAGATCCGGAGCTTTCATCCAGTAATCATTTAGCCTATGCCACTGATATGTTGAAGATGAGTTGAATACGATTCTAACTGGCGTAGATTTCTTCTCAGGTTTTACGACTTCATGGTGTGAAATGTAGTGCACACGTCCTTTGTGGGACTGCAACTCTTCTTTAGTCAACCTCCGCGAAAAATTCATTTCCTTCATTTTTTTGCATTTGTCGATTATAGGCTATTGCACCATCTGGAATTTTCGCTAAACGACGCTCAGTGGCCTCCAGCTTGATCTTTGCTTGTTTCTTGTTGTCCGGTAGTTCAGACGGATCCTTAATCCAAGGATATGGAATAAGCCACTGTTTACCGACTTTTCGACACGAGTCTTCAAAGATCTTTGCTTCGCATTCATCCATAGAGCTCACTTTGACTGCTTTACATGAACATCGTTTTCCTTCTACGCCCATTGCCTCAGTCGTCCAAAAGTCTGTCATGTCGATAGGCTCTCTTGACATGAAACTCTTGACATGAAAGACTTGGCTGACTTCGGTTCCCACTGTTCTACCCACTACAAAAACAACCCATCCCATTGGTGATTTCCTTGCAATCAGCTTGCCAATTACGTTCGTTCCCAGTATGCAGCTTTTGGTGGTCTGGTGGTTTTCTTCTGATTTTTCTTCTATCAAGACCAAACCTGAGTTCTATACTTTCCAGCTTGACATTTACCATGTCATTACTGATATATGGTACACCATATGAGTGTATTGGTTGATGTGTAACAATGGGTGGTGAAAGAACTTGCATTGACTTCCATTTACCATTTCACTGCATTGGCGCCTGCGCGAGCAAGTGTAGGCATTATGACTTCTACCAGGTGGTTTTAAATAGACGAAAACACATCGCTTTTCTTGAGCTAGATTGAAGTGTTCTTTTGGATTTATCTCCAGAAATCTTTCACACTGATCGATCCAATGTTCAAAAGTCTCACACAGCAAGAATTTGTGACTAGAGCTAATATTTTCTTGAATATGCTTTACTTTTACTTCGTATGAGACTTAATACTAAGTCTTGCCGAAACGAGACACAAATCCTTGCAGCGGTGGTTGAACAAGAGTTGTAGGCGTATGCGTCTGACGTTGCTTGCAAAATGTATGTAGTCGTTAGCAAGTTGTTCGCTCTGTCGTCTAAATGATCGTAATAAAGTAAATGGTTTGAACCCGGGAGTATCGTTACATGTTTGTAAATGCAGATCGTCCAGGTTGGTATAGTCCTGAGAACGACTGTTTTTGTTGTTGTTGACTGACGTTTCGACAACCTTAGCGGTAGTCATCTTCACAGTCAAATGAGGATTAAACGTCAGGTTAGCCGTATTTGTTATCTTGTTCTTACGTCATTGTATTGTGTGTACAGGAAATGTGTATTGTCATTGTGAATTAGTGTGAAGTGAAATATTTTATTTTTAGTTGTGATGTGTGATTTAGGTGTGATGTTTTTAGTTGTAATGTGTGGGTGTAAATTGTGTATTGTCATTGTGAATTAGTGTGAAGTGTAATGTACACGTCTTGTTAACGTTCTGATTGTGGTGGCTTTGTGTGATGTAGGGTTATAAGATGATTCGTCTAGTAGTCGGTCAGTATGTGTTGGCTTGCGATAAACTGTTATTCGTAGTTTTTCATTGTCATGTTTAACCAAACAGTCGAGAAAAGGAACAGTTCCGTTTTCTTCGACATCTTTGTAAATTGTATGTGGCTGTTCTGTTTGTTGATGTGAGTGTGAAAGTCATCAATCTCGTCTGCATGTAGTACTGTGATTGTGTCATCTACGTAACGGAACCAAAAAGGTAGTGCATGTTTGTAAGTCGTGAGTGCCCGTTCCTCTATAGATTGCATTACAATTTCAGCAACTACAACAGAAACGGGTGAGCCCAATGCTGTTCCATGTAATTGTTTGTAGTGCGCACCTTTGTTCTGGAAGGCGAGGTGAGGCAGAGCTCCAGTAGCTCCATAATGTCTTCTGTCGGTAATGGCAGTACGTCCGTGGTGTTTGTAATGAGGGTTTTTCTACAAGTGCCAGATTAAGTGGAATACTGGTGAACAGTGATTTCACATCAAAAGACACCAGTATATAGTTGTCCGGTATTTGTATAGTGCACAGTTTTTTAATGAAAGTTTCAGTGGATTGTAGCTTGTGTTTTGATTTGCTTGTAAGTGGTTGCAGTATGTCAGTCAAGTACTTTGAGAGTTCGTAAGTAGGCGAACCACAGAATGATACAATTGGTCGCATGGGTATTTGTGGTTTATGAAGTTTTGGTAGTCCGTATAGTCTGGGTGGTCGTGGTACTGAACATCTAAGTACGTTCAGATATAATGTTAGATTTTCTCATAAAGAAGATCTTGCTATTAAGTTTGCGTACTAGTGATGGTGTTGGGTCTCGTTTGAGTTGTCCGTACATTTGTCTGTCGTTAACAATGGTGTTCATTTTGTCGAAGTAATTATTCCTGTCCATGACCACAGTCACTCGTCATTTGTCTGATGGTAAAATGACGATGTTGTTGTCGTGTTGTAGTCGTTTGAGTGCTTGTTCTTCGTCCTTAGTCATGTTGTTGTCACGTATAGAGGAAGATTGTAAAGCGGAGGCTACCTTGCTTCTGATATCGTCTTTGGTTGTCTCTGACAAGTCTCTTTGATACGGTAGGACAGCCTCGACACTTGATACTATCGTTTCAGTCGGGATTCGTCTAGGTGTTATGGAATGTTCGCTCTGTCGTCCAAATGATCGTATTAAAGTAAATGGTTTGAACCCGGGAGTATCGTTACATGTTTGTAGATGTAGATCGTCCAGGTTGGTATAGTCCTGAGAACGACAGTTTTTGTTGTTGTTGACTGACGTTTCGACAACCTTAGCGGTATTCATCTTCAGAGTCAAATGAGGAGTAAACGTCAGGTTAGCCGTGTTTGTACTGGAAGTAAGTCGAGGTGAGGCAGAGCTCCAGTAGCTCCATAATGTCTTCTGTCGGTAATGGCAGTACTTCCGTGGTGTTTGTAATGAGGGGTTTTCTACAAGTGCCAGATTAAGTGGAATACTGGTGAACAGTGATTTCACATCAAAAGACACCAGTATATAGTTGTCCGGTATTTGTATAGTGCTCAGTTTTTTAATGAAAGTTTCAGTGGATTGTAGCTTGTGCTTTGATTTGCTTGTAAGTGGTTGCAGTATGTCAGTCAAGTACCTCGAGAGTTCGTAAGTAGGCGAACCACAGAATGATACAATTGGTCGAAATGGTATTTGTGGTTTGTGAAGTTTGGGTAGTCTGTATAGTCTGGGTCTCGTTTGAGTTGTTCGTACGTTTGTCTGTCGTTAACAAGGGTGTCCATTTTCTTGAAGTAATCATTCCTGTCCATGACCACAGTCACACGTCTTTTGTGTGATGGTAAAATGAAGATGTTGTTGTCGTATTTTAGTCGTTTGAGTGCTTGTTCTTCGTCCTTAGTCAAGTTGTTGTCACGTATAGAGGAAGATTGTAAAGCGGAGGCTACCCTGCTTCTGATCTCGTGTTTGGTTGTCTCTGACAAGTCTCTCTGATACGCTAGGACAGCCTCGACACTTGATACTATCGTCTCAGTAGGATTCGTCTAGGTGTTATGGAATGTTTTAGTCCGTAAGATAGTAGTCGTGTTTCAATTTCGATTAATGAGCGGGAAGAAATATTTCTCACCCAGTTATTGTCATGTTTATGTCTTGCACGTGTTTTATTGCGTTTTAAACGTTCAAGTTTTTGTTGTGTTGATTTGGTGTTGTGTCTCTGTCTTGTTTGCTCCTTTCTCTGCAATAGTTTGTATCGTAGAAAGTAAAGTATCACTTACTGTCGTTGGTATGAGTTCCTTCATCTTGTTCAGTCTTTGTTCTTGTTCCTTCATGTAATCAATGATTCGTGCGTGACAGTCGTTAATCCGTGCTCGTATCAGTTGTCTGCTGGTAGATTTGACAATATGAATAGCCTCTTGTGTGTTCAACAGGGACTTAATTCTAAGTCCTGCCGGAACGAGACCAAAATTTTCGCAGCGTTGGTTGAACCAGAGTTGTTGGAGTATGCGTCTGACGTTGCTTGCAAAACGAATGTAGTCGTTAGCAAGTTGTTCGCTCTGTCGTCCAAATGATCGTAATAAAGTAAATGGCTTGAACCCGTGAGTATCGTTACATGTTTGTAAATGTAGATCGTCCAGGTTGGTATAGTCCTGAGAACGACTGTTTTTGTTGTTGTTGACTGACGTTTCGACAACTTTACTGGTATTCGCTTTTTGTTGTTGTTGACTGACGTTTCGACAACCTTAGTGGTATTCATCTTCAGAGTCAAATGAGGAGTAAACGTCAGGTTAGCCGTGTTTGTACTGGAAGTAAGTCGAGGTGAGGCAGAGCTCCAGTAGCTCCATAATGTCTTCTGTTGGTAATGGCAGTAGGTGTTTGTAATGAAGGTTTTTCTACAAGTAAGTGCCAGATTAAGTGGAATACTGGTGAACAGTGATTTCACATCAAAAGACACTAGTATATAGTTGTCCTGTATTTGTATAGTGCTCAGTTTTTTAATAAAAGTTTCAGTGGATTGTAGCTTGTGTTTTGATTTGCTTGTAAGTGGTTGCAGTATGTCAGTCAAGTACTTCGAGAGTTCGTAAGTAGGCGAACCACAAAATGATACAATTGGTCGCATGGGTATTTGTGGTTTGTGAAGTTTTGGTAGTCCGTATAGTCTGGGTGGTCGTGGTACTGAACATCTAAGTCGATAGTAAATACGCTCAGATATAATGTTAGATTTTCTCATAGAGAAGATCTTGCTGTTATGTTTGCCTACAAGTGATGGTGTTGGGTTTCGTTTGAATTGTTCTTACTCGCCTGAGTTGGCATCTTGTTTAATCTTAGATTATTACATAGATATTGTAAAAAAGTAAATGGTTTGAAACCGGGAGTATCGCTACATGTTTCTAAATGTATATCGTCCAGGTTGGTATAGTCCTGTTATTGTTGTTGTTGACTGACGTTACTACAACCTTAGCGGTAGTCATCTTCAGAGTCATTTGACGAGAAAATATTGAAATGTAACCCGCAACACAAGGCCCCCGACAAACTTAAGGCGGTAGAGATTAAAAATACTGAAATGCTTTTACCTTTCATGACAACAAAGAACAAAGATAAATGAGTTCCCTTTCCAAAACCATCACCATTCATATAGATCTTAGCACACATCTTGTAACCATATTGAGAACTGTAGAATGGTGCACTGTACAATACTGTTTTGATACCATTAATGGCGTCCTGTCTTTTCCTATTGTAGTTATCTATTTTCCAAAGTAACGTACCATTGTAGCTGTGTATGGCTTTATTCGACCCCAGTGCACGCGAGCCACGTTGCGCTTCAAGGTCCGTAATCTTCACCGTGTTTCTAGCTAGTGATTCATCAATTTGATCTAAGCACTCACGATATCGTAGTAAAGTTGAGGAATTTTCTCTCACTTGTCGTTCGAGAGTTGGAATTTTATCACGCATCGAAGAAACCTCTAATGACGAGTTGGCATTATTACTATCGTTATCACCACGAGCCTCGAGACTCTCAATCCTTCTTTCAAGACCTGTAAGTTTACCCACTAACATAACAAATTTCTCTGAAAGATTTGCACGAACAGCAGTAACTTGGTCAGCCATGTTTTGAACAGCAGTGGTAAACTCTGGACGTGGTACATATTTACTTAACTGTGTAACAAATGCCATAACATATCGTAACAGGAGGCTCACATGATCAATTAGATTGTCATTCAAATGTTGTCGGATCTCCTTCGTTTTATAGTCTGTGAAAAAGACAAAGATAATACCAACATATTCCTCACACAAAATTACAAATTAGCTACAATAAATCGATGTTTCAAAACAAATATAATTAAATATAAATATTGAAATATAGTTAAATCTAATAAAATTATAACAACCAGGGTGTTAATAAAATCAAGTATGCGAACTTGTAATTCAACAGTACAAATGTAGAATCATGTCAAGGATTCTTGATGAAAATTTTGTTTAGAAACAGTTTCAAAGTTGAATACTTCAGTGCGGACATGTGATAACAAATCACTTTATATTCTCTTACTTTATCAGGGTTACATCCAATAGCTTGAAATTCACATTTAGTCGGCACTTCATCACAGGTCGTACTTTGATGTTGTTCAATATCTTTCCTTGGTATCTTTTTCTTACAATATTTACAAACCACAGGATAATACTCACACACATTTTCCATGTGATCCTAAATGTTAAATGAAGTAAACAAAAACTTAGAAAGTAAAATACGGTATAATGTCTTGAAATATAGAAAGATGGTTGGTAAAAATGATAGACAAAAATATAATGACGTTTAAAGTCATACAATTTTATAAATATTGAAACAAGAGAAAAGCGCTCATTTAATTTACTCCTGTATTTTTGTGCAAACAGTCCAACGATATGACCCAACGGGTATAAATACATCGTAATGAATACAGATTAGCACTTTTGGCTATATCTCAATTCTATTTTCCTTTAATCCGCCTGAGAATATTCCGCATACCTTAAGTAAAGCATACGGGACATCTTTACCACAATATTCACATTTTACATTGCGATATTCACATTCATTCTTCAAATGTTCACCAAGGAGAGAGCGAGGTAACTGAATGTTACACTGCTTATGTACGCAGCTGATGAGCGCATGCTCACAAACTTGATAATGACCCTGACAAAAAAAATTAATAAGTAAAAATACCAAACTTTTTTAATAAATTTATCAACTCACTTCCAATTCTTCGTAGGAGCCAAACCATTCACATTGTTCAGAAGGACAATGTAAACGAATACTTTTCAACTCACGTTTCGTAAAAGCATCAGGGAAAACCTGTATATAAGTTTCATAGAAGTTCAAAGATTGGTGTAATAATTGCATATTAGTAGATGAAGAATATTTTGAGAATGGAAGAATATTTTACAGGAGTTTCTCAATCAACAATTGATAAAGCTGTATGGAAGTTTCCTTTTAAAACTTTAGAATATTTTCCCCTACATCATTTCGGCTCAATTTTTCTTGATCTTCAGGACATTTTAGATCAGGATCTCTACAGATTAAAAGAACATGAAAATAAGTAGAAAAAATGTTAAATGTAAAACAGAGATCATGTTGAGAAACCGAACAGACAATCTTCGGTAAACTGCTTGAACTATGATGAACGTAAATTTAGGTTCTAATTATCATGTTTAAATGAAGTATAACAAGTAAAAACGAACGCTGCTGACATCCTCGATGTCAGACTTTTGGGATACGTCGTGTATAAATGAAATGTAAGATACCACATAGAGATAAAAAATCACGACGCCTAGATAAGAGAAACTACATAGGGGCATTTAAATTTTGCAATTTAGGATATATGATCACACTCATGCTATATCAGGATATATCATCAGCTCATACTTGTGGTTGGAACACACGATACAACATTGGATGAGATACAACATTGCAAATAATCTATTTAATCGACAACTTTAAACCACACTTTCAGTTGATAGTTTTGATAGAAAATTATCTTACCCAAGTATAATGTTAATACAAGATTGACAAAACAAGTGTCCACACATTGTCTGCATTGGATTGACAAGGAGGAGATGACTACAAATATACTTCGCGTTGATTTTTTCTCGATCTTCATCACGTATTTTGATTCCAGGCATCTTGGATGAGGGTAAATCTCCTCACACTGCAGAAAAGAGAGCACTCCATGTTATTGTTTGTTACTATTTGTATAATAAAATAGAGACTTTGTCGTGCTTTTCATTTAGCAGATGTTGACACCTGAGGAGTAGTCTGCCGAAATGCATTGTGTGGTTTAGTTTCATAACAGTTTTTTTAGAACTATTGGGTTAGTTTTCTGTGCTTAAAACAGTTCTTTTAAGAACTATTGACTTATTACTTTTGCCATTCACCATGGTATTTGCGATCTTCAAAACAATTTACTATCCGTGTCCAAGTGCTTTTAAGCATGCAGTGTCATTTTAGAGCGCAAGCAATTCTTTTAGCTGTGTCATTCTAGAGATTCAACACAGAAAATTGACATGGTACGACCAAACTTGCAGGCTGGCTGCCCCACTGCATGCACGACGCACCGAGCAGATGCGAAAGCGTCGACATTCACTCTCGATTGATCTGTTCTCGAGTTTTGTTTTAAATTTTGGAATACTCTCCAGATGATTCGAAAGCGTCGACATTCGCTCTCGATTGATCTGCCTATCGAGTTTTCTCAAAAATGTTCTTCATTTGCACAAGCCAGTGCAAACATGAGACATATCTTTTATTATTTAAGTTAACTGTCTTCGCAATACTTTATTTTGGAGTAGGATAAAGTAAACCGGATGTTCAGTTCCCCCAAAAGTCGAGTACTACAGTTAGCATCTCAATAATCAGCGTTAAATTTGCGAGCAAGTTAGTGCACCTCACGTTACAGTAAGTATTAGCCAACATTTAACAAAATTTTATGAGGTCAAAAATCACACAACAATTCGATACACAACTGTTTTGTCAGCATATAAGCAATTATATGATTTACAAAGCAAGACAATATTCGCGGGAAGATTCCTCGTGTGACTTCCTAGGTAATTTACCAATGCAAGGTGTTTGATTTACTAAGCTCTGTAAAACTGTTTAACACCTCATTCACTCTATTTAGCACTAATCATTTGGATGGTTAGGTGTTAAATGGTTTGACACAGGTGTGGTCTGGGTGCCAAATATCTGTATATCTGTTTATTGAGTCGAGATTAGGATTCATGTTTATGATGTCCTAAGTTGACCACACCATCAGATCTCAATTAACACCTTTATACCAATAAGGTGGTTGTACGTTGGACATAAAGAGAACAAAATAAAAAAAGCATCTTAACCCCTTTGGTGCATGCATTTGTTCGCTGCGAGCTCCATCGTGTTCGGTGATTGTTGCTTCGAAGCAACACCATGCAGCAAAGGGTTATTTCAACAAAAGTCGCTTGCAGCCTCATCTGTAGTAGACTGCAGCCCTCACAAGACAGCTGCCGTATGTATTTTGTCGCGCGTGTTATGTGTTGAGGTGCAAGACTTTGGTGCACGTACACATCACGTACGCCACTGTTTCTTATTCCATTGACCCTTCGCTTCATGAATTTTTGCGCCGACCGAGCTCCTTCGTGTTCGGTGATTGTTGCTCTGAAGCAACGCCATGCAGCAAAGGGTTAAGTTTTACTGTTTTAGCATTACGGTTTACTGTTATGTGCTCCATGTAGGTATTGATTGTCAAGTCTATGCTTCAAATGTCTGTCGCTAACAAGCTGTTCCCATTTGAAATATACAGGCATGTAAAATTGCGTGATCGCAGTATATTACTTTTTCTTATAGAACTTGATTGGATAACTTTACAAACAATACACTGGCAAGACATGCAAAAAGCTAATGTTTCTAATATAATTCACAATGCTTTTGCCGTCTTGTTCCGCCATGTTGATTTTTCAATTAATGCAAACCCCAACTGTGTTACACAGCAATCTATAGTTTGAAGACCTTCGCAAACATCAACAGCCGTAAAATTACTGATATAGAGAAGACATGTTGTTCATTTGTTATATTGCCATAGATTGGTCGAAGAATGGCCTATATTTTCGAAAAATATCAGCCTTGGCGGTAGGTTATTTTATTTTAAAACTACACATCTTACGAACGCTTAGAATACAAAAATATAATAAAAGATAACCGCTATTCGTGAATCGTAAACATTTCGAGAGTTTCACATGGCAACTGTAAGACATGATCATTTCAAATCTTTAACGCTCTGAATTTTCGCGTTTTTCATACAAAAAAATCCATGAAAAGGATTTCTAAGAAATAAGCTCTTGCTCTGTCACAGTGTTATCCAGTAAAATATGTTTCACATAGGAAGAAAGCGCCTACAATACATTATTGGCGAAAGAACCATGTCTTTTACCAGCAACCTACTCCTTCCTTTAGTAAGTTAGTATAATAATATAATATAAATAGTAATCGTTTGAGAAAAACGACGATTTTTTTGAGAGCAAACATGTTTCGACATTATCAGAATGCCATCTTCAGTGCAGAATGGTTAGTGTTAGGTAATATGATACGTAATATGATATAAATACATTAATTACAATGAATAGGATTATGATTCAGTTACTAAATATAAAATATTTACAAAAAAGGAAAAGAAAAATAAGTATTAAGAACTTATAACAAAAAATATTATTATAAAGTAAATATAGTGTTGTAGTGGTGAACTTGGATATTTAAATCGGGATTAGTTTTATTAATGTGTAGAGCTTCCTTGATTTTGAGTGAGAAAGTGGATTGATCAGTGTCGATGATTTTAAAACAGGAAGGTGAGAATTTGATTTTACATGAAGGAGAGGCTTGAAGATGTTTGTAGATAGTGGAGTTTTTGTCTGTGTGAGTATGTTCCTTTATCCTGGTAGATAATTGGCGAGAAGTTTCACCAATATAGCGGGAATTACATCCCGCACATGAAAATTGATAAACTACCATAGATTTGGAAAGTTCGGGAAGTGGGTCTTTAAACGAAAATAAAGATTTTATTTTAAAAGGTGTGAAAATAAGTTTAACGTCAATGTCAGTGCAGTAGCGTTTAATGATTTGTGTGAGTTTGCGTTGTGTGTCGTGAGTAATCACCTATGTAAGGTAGTTTGAAATAACGTTTATTGTCAGGTTGTTGTATATCGTCAGTGTTAGTTGTGGAGTTAGATGAGTCAGTGCTTTTCTTGTTGTCCAAATAGTGTTGTATAGTGTTGTTGATGAAATGAAAAGGAAAAGAATTACGTTGGAGAGTGAATATTAGTTTCTTTAGATCACGTTGAAAGCCGATATCTGTGTTGTTAAGTTTCTGTGCTCTGTCGGTCAGTGTTCGTATCAGTCCAATTTTGTAATTTAATGGTGTGAAACTAAAAAAGTTAGTCAGTAGTCCTGTATATGTTGGTTTGTGGTACGTAGAGGTCATACAGTTTTCATGTGATTTAGTTAGTAAGATGTCCAGAAAGGGTAACTGATTGTCTTGTTCGGTTTCGTATGTAAAGTTTATGCTTGGATGTTGTTTGTTGATGTATTCGTAAAAGAGTAATGCTTCGTCTTTGTTATGAAAATACAAAAATGTCATCAACGTATCTGCGGTAAAATAAAGGTTTGTTGTTGCTGTAGTTATTTAACCAGTTTCGTTCGTGAAAACCCATGAAAATGTTGGCTAGAATGGGTGCCAAGGGTGAGCCCATACTTACCCCGTCAATTTGGTCGTAGTACTTACCGTTAAATAAAAAGTGAGTCTCGGCCGTAGTGATTTTAAACAATAGTTTTAGTTCTGTTCTGCTCATTTTGAATGTAGGGTTGTTGGTAAAAATTAAATCAATAGCAATGTCTATGGTTTCAGTCAGTGGTATGTTGGTAAAAAGGCTTTCAACGTCAAAAGAAATAAAGAATTTGTCATGTGGAGCGTTAGTGTTAAAGGTCACCTGAAATGCTTGATATAACTTTGCTTCATATGAAAGCTTAGCTAATGATTAGCCTATTCGCCAAATTTGAAAGTCCAATGTTTTATATTTTATGAGATATGGTCTTCTGAATTCATGACATTGACGATTTCCGAAGGCCGAATTCAAATAGCGCGAGCGAATTTGAATTACCAAGCTGGGGCGAGTTTGACGTAATAGTTGCCATTGCATGTTTTTGCTCAGTGCAGCCAGTAGCAGTAAAATTAAATTTCGCCAATTTTCTTTTTGTTGTTGCTGCTACTATTAATGCGTGTTTATCTCGATGTCTTCAACGGAGGAAGAAGTCGAATTTGACATCGAATATATTGCTACGGAGGTCCAGCCTTACATGTTTGAACCGCTAGCTAGTAGCAATAATGTTGAAACTGACGAAGATCTGTCTTCGTCGTCGTCAACGGACAGCTCATCTGACGAATATACTCACAGGATTGGAAATACAAACTGGTGCGTTGCTTTTTTTCATGATTAACATTTCAGATCGCGTCATAAAATTCTTTTCTTTATTTTAATGGCAGGTGTGAGTGTGGACACTGTGTGGCGATGACAACCGGCCGGGAAAGCATTTGTTGCCATGAGGAACCGAAGACAGACCCTAAAATTCATGGTGACCATTTATGCATCACAGAAGAACAAGAGTTTCACATGGTCTGCATCAACGAAACAGTCGTTAGAACAGCTATGGTTGTATTCGTTCACGATCACGGGGCAATACCAGACGCTCCAGAAACCGAGTCAGTTTCAGCTTTTGATATCTCCTCATATATCGACAATAATTTGCTTATGTTTGATTTTGTTTTGTTTCCCAGAACTTTGCGTTACACTGCCTATAGGCAATGGACAGCATGGATACATGGAAAGCTTGGCAAGAAATATCGACTTCCTATACCATCCTGTGCTGTTAAAGAAATAAGGAAAGCATTTCCTTCACCTTCTGGCATATATAAAGGCTTTGAATATGCACAGCATTTATAAATACCTGTGAGTGTTAGACTTCAGTTTATTTAAGATTGAATCGTGAAGTATGTTGTTGCACTGCTGTTACTTTATCAACTTTTCAACTCTACTAGTCAGTGGATCTGGTATTTTTTGTTGTCTTTCTGTTGCAATTGCTTGGTTTAAACTGGAATTAGCATGTCTGCACCTTATCACTTCCTCCATTAGTTGTTTCACATAGTCTGTAAAACAGGGGGAGAAGAATTAAACTGAGAAGTGCAAGAAATGTACCATCAGTAGAACAATTATTTGGCTTTTGAGTGCTAAAACTTGTCCTTACCATAAGTACTATCAATTTTAACACCTTTGATGACTCCACATGACTGTCTTGATTTGGGGTGAGACACTTTCCACATTAATTCCCATTTTCTTTTTACGCCTTTGTTCTTTACTTCCATTTTCATTGAAATGGAGAGCAGCAATCAGTAATCTAAAAATTTAATTTTACTTTTAGTGTGCCACCTTGCAATCATTTTCAGTATGAAAACAACATTGTTTATTGTTTGTTTACCTAGCTTGCATTGCCTTGTAAAAGAAATGTGTATGCTTTGGTGCATATAGTATAACAACTCGATGAAAACCTTCAAGAGCTGATGTTTGTTTCTCATGGCTGAGCTTCCCAATATCTTTCATGAGATACCTGCTTTCAACAATCGATGCCAATTCAGTAAATGCTCTAGATCCTTGGAAAAAAGATAGAAAATTTTATGGTGCCCATTTATGTCATATGTTGACAAATAACACCACATTGTGGCATTGGCTGGCAATTGAAGTTTGTTGATAAAGAAAGTATCAATTACTGTAAATAACTATTATGTCTTATACCAGAGCATTTAGGATTAATTTGTACCTTTCTTTATCCATAAGCGAGGCTCAAGAGTACCATGCTCACATTTTGGAAATAATTCACTATGACCATCATGAATGTTGCAAATGTGATTCAGCAATGATAGCCATTTAGCCTTAAGTAGTTTCTCATCACCACCACTACTTGCAGCACACCAGTAGACATGGTTAGATATTGACTGTGCCCAATCAAGTAGCAATCTACATCCACTCTTCTTACCGGCTGCCATTACCTTTTTTGATACCTGTAGAAAAAATAGACACTGTACATTGGTTAAAAATTGTAATGCAAAACATAGCAATAATTGATCAAAATATCATGAAATTAAATGCAATTAGAAAAATTCTAAAACCTCTTAATCACTTGGTAATTTATGATTATAAAGATACTCTTTGATCAAATCAGGAAGTACTTTATTTTAAGACCCATTGCTGTACTTTGAGCAGCTTTTGGTAGCCTTAATTTTACCTTTGCCACATGCCAAACATCAAAATAGTGCTTCACTCCTGGCTGTTGGGTTTTCATGTATTTTTTAACTTGGCAATGCCTGTCTGTGATAAGATGACTCACTTGAAGATTGTGTGACTGAATAAGTTTAAAAGATCTTTTCAGTCCTTCCAATTCCATTGCCCCTGAATTTGCAACTTCATTTGACTGTAATAGATATATTAATGTAAATAAAATCATACAGTGTTTGGGATATGTATGTCTGCAAGTATGCATGTATGTTGGTGTATATCACATGATTTAGTTACACACATTGTATTCATGTTGTATAAGTACATATTACACATTTCCTAAAATGTGTTTGCATACAATACTGTTTTGAATACAATACTATAAACTAATGAATTGAGCTAGTTACCTGAACTAATTGTGTGTCTAGAATTTTATTGCTTTCTAAATCCATGCAGCTGTATGAGCAATATTTTGCACAATAGCCTGGTGATAGGAAATCATCATTGTCGTTTTCATCTACGGATAAACTACCTTCCGTTTGAGTGCTTCTTGCATTTGTCGTGATAATTTCGGTTTCTGTCCCTGTGCAACGGAATAACATAATTAAGGAAACACTTTTCAAAATGTTTATTTTCCGCTGAGTTCATGTAAAAAACTAACCTTGAGACGTCACTTGTGCATTCGTTTGAGTGCGTTTGCTTTTTGCTTTGACTGGGATTTTATATCAGATTGACACTTTACATGTCTGCGTTTCTACATCATCAAGCAACAGTTTAGGCTTTTGCACAAAACAAAACTGCATTGCATTCCCTTACCACTTTGTCAGTTTGTGTTCCATTGTCACTTAGGTTACATTTATCTCTTGAGTCCAGTTGTCCACTCAAAAAAAACGAACATGCTTTTGATGTATTTTCGTCCTCGTCAGGCTGTTCAATATTTTCACGGAGTTCTCAAGAGCTTCGTTTATTATCTGAATTGTATATGCGTTTTTTTAAAGTAATGCATTATAATTACATTAAAAACTGCTTGGCTACAAGACTTTACCTCTAATTTCCTGCGCTTTGCATACGCGTTTCTAGTTGCCTCCGGTTTCCGTTTATCACCAACTTTCGACCTCGAATAGTCGAAGATCGTTGGTATTGCGTCTTTCTTTAACCTTAACCTGGTTGGTCGCCATCCTAAAGATTTCAGGAGTCCGGGGTTTTGGACAAAACAGCAGGCTTCAAAGTGTGCCGAACAGAGCTTTGACCTTTCGAAGGATTCCAATCTTTCCTTTTCACCTTATCGACCCATGCTTGGCGTAAAGGATTTTAGCGGGAAACTGAAAACCCAACTTTTTCCGCCTTAGATTGGTTCTTAGAAGAACCGTTTTGCAGTTAAATGCCACACAGTAAACCATCTTAAAATAGCCGATCAAAATCAAACTTTATTTATGAATTCATATTTGCCGCTTTCTCGCGCGAAATGTCAATGGCAACTATTACGTCACGCCGAGTACTTTCCGACGATAAACCGACGGAATATTTTTTACTTCTATTCAAATAAAACACAAATTCACACGTTGATATCTCTTGAAATAATCGTGGGATTGTTTTCAAATTTTCTTTGAATAGTCTACGCAATATATACATTTTATATGTCAAATAAACAGAAATATGAATTTTGCATTTCAGGTGACCTTTAAAAGATAAAAAATCATCGACAAAACTAAAAGAATCTTTAGCAGAATGGTCATTAGGTATTAGGGGTTGGAGTAAAGAGCTGAGGTATTTGGCTAATTTATAGTTATACGAATTGATTGAAGAATTTATAGGTCTGATAGGAGGTATGTCATTGATATTGTTTAATTTATGAAGTTTAGGTAAACCATATAATCGAGCTGGCTGTGAACCTCTAGGTACATTTCTTGAAATGATTTTTCGTTAATAGAGTTCTTTTCTTTAACTTACGTAGCAGTCGTTGTAACTTGGCTTCAAATTGTGATCATGATCGAGTGGTTTGAACTTAGATAAATTGTTAATTATAGTGAGGCAAGAGTTACTGTATACCTGACGATCCATAATGACTACACCATTGCCTTTGTCAGGTTTAAGAACAATGATTTTGTCATTATTACGAATGTTCCTTAGAATTTTATGTTTCTTCAGGTCTTTAGGAGTTGGATGGTAGGAAGTTGTACGTGTGTGCCAAGTGACCAAGTTCCGTTTTAGTATTGAATAGTCCTCTTGTTTGATAAGTTTATTTCTTAATGAATAGTGGATCTGTTCGAATGTTGCCAGAATGTCGGAGGAGTGGATTTTGAGGTTTGATGCTGAAATTGAGACCGTTTTTAGAGCGTTAAGTTCTTCTTCACTAAGCTTTACAGATGATAGGTTGGTGACAGTGTCTTTATGAGAATGGTATAGCCTTGTTTTTGGTCAAATTATTTAGTTTCTTACGGTGCTTGAATATTTTGTTTAGTTGTTTGTCGACATTCTTTTGGAGGGCTTTATTCAAGATATGCCAGTCAATTGCTAAAGTTTTGATTCCATCCATATTTACTTTATAATAATATTTTTGTTATGTTCTATACTTATTTTTCTTTCCTTTTGTAAATATTTTATATTTAGTAACTGAATCATAATCCTATTCATTGTAATTAATGTATTTATATCATATTACATCATATTACCTAACACTAACCATTCTGAAAATGAAGATGGCTTTTCTGATAATGTCGAACATGTTTGCTCTCAAAAAATCGTCGTTTTTCTCAAGTGTTTTAAAATTGCTGCTAATTAGAAATTATGGTAATATTATCTTACGATCAGCACAAAATTATCATGGAAAGGTTTCCTGTCGGTTTTCGAAATTATGAAAAGCTTATTAACTAAGAAAACGCAAGGCTGAACTTGATGTCGCCTTCTTAAAGATTGCAATTCACGGAGTTTTCCAAAGTTCCTGTGTTTTCCACTCGCCTAATGTTGACAATCGAGATACATACCACATTCGAAAGCGTTTACTACGAACTACGATAGCGAAGAGATCTAAAGAACTACGGACACTGAATAGGGACCTGACGAACAAAACAGAAGAAATCAAAAGCTTTCTTAACCCAATTGACTGGCATATCTTGAATAAAGCCCTCAAAAAGAATGTCGACAAACAACTAAACAAAATATTTTCGACACACCGTAAGAAACTAAATAATTTGACCAAAACAAGGCTACCATTCACTCATAAAGACACTCACCAACCTATCATCTGTAAAGCTTAGTGAAGATGAACTTAACGCTCTAAAAACGGTCTCAATTTCAGCATCAAACCTCCAAAATCCACTCTCCGACATTCTGGCAACATTCGAACGAATCCACTATTCATTAAGAAATAAACTTATCAAACAAGAGGACTATTCAATACTAAAACGGAACTTGGTCACTTGGCACACACGTACGTAACTTCCTACCATCCAACTCCTAAAGACCTGAAGAAACATAAAATTCTAAGGAACATTCGTAATAATGACAAAATCATTGTTCTTAAACCTGACAAAGGCAATGGTGTAGTCATTATGGATCGTCAGGTATACATTAACTCTTGCCTCACTATAATTAACAATTTATCTAAGTTCAAACCACTCGATCATGATCCTACAATTTCCCGTGAAGCCAAGTTACAACGACTGCTACGTAAGTTAAAGAAAAAGAACTCTATTAACGAAAAATCATTTCAAGAAATGTACCCTAGAGGTTCACAGCCAGCTCGATTATATGGTTTACCTAAACTTCATAAATTAAACAATATCAATGACATACCTCCTATCAGACCTATAAATTCTTCAATCAATTCGTATAACTATAAATTAGCCAAATACCTCAGCTCTTTACTCCAACCCCTAATACCTAATGACCATTCTGCTAAAGATTCTTTTAGTTTTGTCGATGATTTTTTATCTTTTAACACTAACGCTCCACATGACAAATTCTTTATTTCTTTTGACGTTGAAAGCCTTTTACCAACATACCACTGACTGAAACCATAGACATTGCTATTGATTTAATTTTTACCAACAACCCTACATTCAAAATGAGCAGAACAGAACTAAAACTATTGTTTAAAATCACTACGGCCGAGACTCATTTTTTATTTAACGGTAAGTACTACGACCAAATTGACGGGGTAAGTATGGGCTCACCCTTGGCACCCATTCTAGCCAACATTTTCATGGGTTTTCACGAACGAAACTGGTTAAATAACTACAGCAACAACAAACCTTTATTTTACCGCAGATACGTTGATGACATTTTTTGTATTTTTCATAACAAAGACGAAGCATTACTCTTTACGAATACATCAACAAACAACATCCAAGCATAAACTTTACATACGAAACCGAACAAGACAATCAGTTACCCTTTCTGACATCTTACTAACTAAATCACATGAAAACTGTATGACCTCTACGTACCACAAACCAACATATACAGGACTACTGACTAACTTTTTAGTTTCACACCATTAAATTACAAAATTGGACTGATACGAACACTGACCGACAGAGCACGGAAACTTAACAACACAGATATCGGCTTTCAACGTGATTTAAAGAAACTAATATTCACTCTCCAACGTAATTCTTTTCCTTTTCATTTCATCAACAACACTATACAACACTATTTGGACAACAAGAAAAGCACTGACTCATCTAACTCCACAACTAACACTAACGATATACAACAACCTGACAATAAACGTTATTTCAAACTACCTTACATAGGTGATTACTCACGACACACACAACGCAAACTCACACAAATCATTAAACGCTACTGCACTGACATTGACGTTAAACTTATTTTCACACCTTTTAAAATAAAATCTTTATTTTCGTTTAAAGACCCACTTCCCGAACTTTCCAAATCTATGGTAGTTTATCAATTTTCATGTGCGGGATGTAATTCCCGCTATATTGGTGAAACTTCTCGCCAATTATCTACCAGGATAAAGGAACATACTCACACAGACAAAAACTCCACTATCTACAAACATCTTCAAGCCTCTCCTTCATGTAAAACAAATTCTCACCTTCCTGTTTTAAAATCATCGACACTGATCAATCCACTTTCTCACTCAAAATCAAGGAAGCTCTACACATTAATAAAACTAATCCCGATTTAAATATCCAAGTT